CCAGTCCAAGAATTCTAACTTCTGCCAATTGACGATATAGCGCAACCGCTAGCCAATGTCTTCTGCGAGTATTTGTCCTCACACCCGACCTGGTGCACCATACTGTCATCATTACTTATTCAAGTGCTGGTTTTAAGAGATTTGACAGATTACAGGATGTTCATCACGATCTGACATTGGTTAGAGAAAAATGAAAACTAGACAGGGAGTACTGAACCGCCATCTGTTTCGTCAGCCTAGTTTCGGTCTATGCAGAAGCACTCACCCACCTCCAGAGATCGAACCCTAGACATTCCGGTTACAAGAAGAGCTCGTAGACCATTCAGCCACTAGCACATGATCCAATGGTCAGCCCACGAATTCCAACTTGTGCTAATTCATGACATATGGCGACTGGCACTAGCCAATATTATCCCTAAATTTACACAAAAATAGACACTGTGGGCGTCTATGGTTGTCATCAGTTCAGATGACAACTCTCCCTCCATAAGCTCTTACACAACTGATTGAGTTCGAGTAGAGTGACTTGATCAGTGAGATGTATTTTCTCGGGATTTCCTTCTCAGTCAAACATTTCCATAACACCTGTCTGTCGACAGAGTCGAGTTCCGCCTTCAAGTAGAGAAACACGGCTATTGTTGTTGGGCGCCGCACTGGAAAGTATGTTCCAGAATCTCCCGACTGATGAATAATATATATAATCAGTACACTCTCTTCTTGGCTTATTCGGCCTACCTATTTTTCTCGGGTTGGTGTTTCTCACGAGTAAGTACCACTTAGTCTGAGCATGATTTTTGAGGCTAGAACTTTAGATACAATATTAGTCAATCTTATCCCCCTATGATGATTATGACATGAAGACTTGCCTTCCTGTATACTGGGATATTCGGTTACTTACACCAACCTAACGGAACTGTCTCTGATTCTCAGTTATTATTTAATACATTGGTTAATCCAGTTCCTCAGAACCGTTTTTTAACATCTCTGGAGTCATTCCACTGGGACCTGCTGTTTTGCCTCCTTTCAGGTTAGAGAAAGCCTTTCTAGTCTCACAGGTGGAGGATTGATGTCTACATCTCTTTCAGGTAAGTGTTAGTTGCTTCTGGCTAGGCGTGGCTGTATACCAGTTAAATTGCTCTCCCCAGCGTTCCAGTCGTCTGTCCTGATAACTAATAACGGCACCACCTTTTTCGGAGACTGTCTCTCTCTCTCTTATCATCTACGCTTTGTGAACTGTTTTCCCAATAAGGATAAATAGTTGTTTTGTTTGGTGTTACCTATCGCCTATGTCTAATCCATCTGTGTTGCTTTTGTCGCCCACTAGAGTACGTGGTCATTGCGAATACTGTTGGTCAGTTTGTGTTTGAGCAGCTTTCGCTCTTCATCATGCCAGGAGGCTATCCGAATAAGTTTTCTTGCGTCAGTCAGTTCCAATGAAGCAGCAGCAAAAACAAACTAGCACTTTCTAACCTTTGGTTTTACGTTTTCATCAACAGCCTTTACCTCTCTCTCTCTCTCTCTCTGTAGCTGACGGGATATTATGCCAGTCTTCCCCAGGATGAGTCTTGCTGTCAATCCCAGATATGCGTTTGACTATTTCTTTCTTGTATAGGGAATTTGTGTTCTGACCAACCTGGAAGCGTCACGGCTTCTTCGCTGTATGTTTTCTGTGTCGTCTAATCGTAGGCGCATACATATATGGCGTGAGGTGTAGTCAGAGCCTATACAAAAGTTCCAGAAGGAGCGTTATTCTCCCACCAACCCTCGTGATCGACAGCTCATCGCTATGTCGTCTATTTGAGATCATCGTTATTTTGATTATGGAGACCGACAGGTTAGGCCATGCCTGTCTCTATGTTTAAAGTTAGTGCTGACCGGGAATAGATGATTATTTGAACAGAACTGTAGAAGACGTTGACTGTTGTTGGTTCCTCAGCATAGAACACCGTATGTGCCACCGGCATGCCTCTCTGATTGGCACAACTTCCCTACTTGAGCATTGAAGGCACCTGCTAAGACGACTATATCTCAGAGTCTTGCTTTTAGCAGATAATTAGACAGTTTTTCAGGAGTTTTTGTAGGGATTTGATATGTTTGAAGTTTGATCACGGAATAACATGAGTTAGAGAACCAACCACTGAAAACCAGGGAGTACTGGGCAGCTGCTTCATCCTAGTTTGGAGCTACTCGACAGCACGCACCCACCAGGTTTATCTTCTAACAGACAATGAATGAGATTACTCGTCGGCAATAAAGATGGTGTAAGTTGACAAACATTAAAAGAAGATCTTTTCTACAATACAACTAGCATTTCGAATGCATGTGTTCCATTGTCAGAACGACTACGACTCACTTCACCAACAGTCAGTTTCCATTCATTGGTTTTTAGAATTTCATGGAATTCATAGATGGACGCCATGTTTTGATTTGACAACGGAAAACTCAGCGAGGTGTTTGGAGTAAACACAGTGCTTATTATCACCAATGATATTCCTAATTGTGGTGGAGTGGATTATGCGTCAGACAGTGAGTGGGAAACGAGAAGATAGGGACATCCTGTCTGAACCAACGTGAAGAACTTAGGAGACCTGGATTTCGCGGACGATTTCTTTGATATCACACAAAATCGAAGACCTACAAGCGAAAACCGACAAACTGGTCGAAGAAGGTTACTTCATTCACTTATCTAGGGAGCACTGTCTCAACTACAGGCAGTCGGAACGGACGAGGATGTCAAATCGAGCGAGAATTGGGAAAATCGCGAGAAACACATTCATCAACCTGAAACAACCAGTCTGGAAATCTTCGTCACTCAGCCAGCCGGCATCAACAACAAAATCCAGTCGGATTTTCAATAAAAACGTCAAGTCAGTCAGCTCTTCTATACGGATCAGAAACTTGGCGGGTGGGTCACAAAGAATATTTCCAACAGCCTGTTGCAGACGTGACCTTTATCAATAACTGTCTTCGCTGGCTTTATACTGAAGATCAGATGGCCAGGCCGGAAAGAATCACCAACAAGAAACTATGGCTGGGAACAAACAAACAGAACAAGAACCAATCGATCGCCCAACAAATATGCAGGAGAAAGTGGAGATGGATTGGACATTCGTTGTGAGTAGGCCACTGGGTGATATCGCGCGAGCGTCAGGCCATTACTCGAGTGGAACCAGGTCGAAAGGGAAGCGGCGGCGAGTGGGATGTCAGTGCAAGGGTGACGCGGAGGAGATCGTGTGAAGAGAGGGGAGTTGAAACAGTATGGACTAAGATGGAGGCATGTGAAAAGTACAGGAGAAGGAAGATAGAAGCAAGTGGAGACGTACAGTAGAAGCCCTATGTTACACTAGGAACCCAAGGGAACAATAATCATATAATAATAATAATCCATAAATCCTTTCCAGCCTTATTTTATTTTACCTAAAAACTGCTGGGAGAGGAAGGCAGTGCAGTGCCTTAGCATGCATAACCCTTTTTATCAATGGATATAGCTTCTCGATCGACTTTTCGTCCTTATCGAACTTCAAAATTTCTCACCATGAGAGGCAGAACACACAATCGTTGATAGTCGAAGATGGCCAGCTTTTTCATATCCTCCACTTGTCTCTCTTAATTACAAAAAAGGATACAGCGGCATACTGCATAGTAAACACGCCCTTTGCTGGATAGTTAGATATCATGCCTGAGTCAAAGATTTCAATTGATAGATTTCATCATGAACTAATATTTTATCAGATAGAATATTGACAACCAAGGAGTACTAGGCAGCAGTTTCGTCCTATTTCGTGACTCTACAAAAAAGCGCATCCACTACCCTCAACCAGGGAGGTAGAACTCGGGACCTTCATTGACCATTAGGAATCAGTACATTATATGGTTGGCAGACCTTCCATAATAAGTCGAGTGGTCAACATATTCAATATTACTGTCTATTCCTAAACTAAGAGTCAGTACAGACCAGTTCTGAAAAAAAAATCATCATCGTCTAACAATTGACATTGGCGAATCGGATGTCAAAAATGCTACGCTTTTTACTCAAGGTGATGGGAATAGATACGCTTCATTTTATGAACCATCTTCACCTAGAACGACTATACTCCCTATAGTATCAACTAAACCTTGATTCCTAGTGTGTAACGCCTCGGTCGATGGCATAGCGGTTAGGACGCTCGCCGACCATGCACATGGTCCGGGGTTCGATCCCCGGCCGGCGCACTCTTTTACCTCGCTAAGCCAGTAGTGAAACTGGTGAAGAGGAAAGGTTTGGCATGAGGCTAGCAACCCCATCCTGTAAAAAATAATCACCACTGCTACAGAAACTTCAACCATCTAGCTTCGAGCCCTATGTTCCACTGGGAACGTGCAGGAAAACAAAAAAAAAGACGCCTCGATCCCTGAAATAACAACAACAACATTAAAGACGATCATCGTCATAAGACGCCTCTAGACTTCCTTATTCCATTTCTTTGAGTTCCAAATCAAATATATATATATATATATATATATATATATATATAAGCGTTGAAGTTTCAGTAGCGGTGTTGCTGATTTCACAAGGGTGTAGGGTGGGTTACTAACCGCCCACCTCATGCCCCGCCCAAACTTCCCCTCACTTTCGAGGTTACAAAGTAGTTGGCAAGCATCCTGCCAAAAAAAAGTAAATCATTATTATTATTATCCTGATGGACCAACACCACCACCCAACCACTCTTCATTCAGGGTGCATGAAAGCTGTTTTTTTCCTTCACGTTCCCAGTGGAACATAGGGATTCAAGCTAGAGGACTGGAGTTTCTGTAGCAGTGTTTATTTTTACAGGATGGGGTTTGCTAGCCTCGTGCCCAACCTTCCCTCTTTACCAGCTTTACTTCTGGCTGAGTGAGGTAAAGGAGTGCGCTGGCCGGGAATCGAACCTCGGACCATGTTCATGGCTGGTGAGCGTCTTAACCGCTATGCCAACGACGCACATGAAAGCTGTACTACTGTTAATTAAATCACACACACACACACAACAAACACAGACAGACAGACGCACACAAAAACAAGGTAAACAAAACGCGGAACAGAATTTTAACTACAACAATAACAACAGGGGAAAACAGAAGAAAAGAATTTGTACTTAATCAGAGATAGTATTCATCTTTTTGATTTCTATCAATTCACACGGAAAAAAGGGGTTTCTTTTTGTTTTTTTTAAAGCTCTTTTACAATAAATCTTTTCTAGAAAAACGAACTTTGGTAGATAATAAATTGAAACACCACTGTGTGTGTGCTCACCGATAACATACAATCCCATCCCCCCGGACTATTGAAGTTACAAAATAGAAAAAACAGGACGACAGAAACATGAGCAACAATAATGACAACAGGATACATCGTGTGTGGGTATGTGAGTGAGTGGTTGATATGTGGAATGTATATGATAGTTCAATCAGAGGGGAGGGGGATGAGTGCGGAGATTGGACCTGTGATCTGACGGTCCTACCGTCGGTGATGGTGATGAGAAAGAGGGACAGTGACAGCGAAGGATTGAATAGAAGACTGAAAAGATTGAAATATTCCTACCTAAGTGCAGACAGATCTGGGAATCATAAAATACCTGAAATTATCATCATAATAATAAGACTGGAGAGAGCAACAGAGAGATCCGCCGGGAGAAAAGAGAAAAAACCCATAAGATTAGAACATTCATGGTAACAATAACAATAAGAATGAGACAGTCTCTGTGTAGTGTGTATAGTTTGTCTTGTTTAAACAATAATGCAGTAATTCACAACACGGATTTACACAGTCACCACTCACTCACTCACGAGCAAGCACAAACACGCACATATACACACATCGGTGTGTAAAAGAAGGCACCACCAAAAAAAGTATGGGATTGGCGGGGAGAGAAAAAAAGAAACAATTTAAGAGCCTGGCATTTCCACACCAAATTTTGCTCGATGCGCTGCTCGCTTCATTTCCAGTAATGCCTGTGTACATAGTAAAATGCAAAAAAGAAAGAAAGGAAAATATAATAATTGCGAGAATTGAGTGGGTGGAAAAAGACAAAGCAATGGACAATATATGTATATTGTGCAACAATATCCTCGAATACAGCTGATTTGACTCGACACTGAAGATCGGATTAGCCAATCAGCCAACTAACCAAGAACTTATTACCTAACAAATATTCTAAAGGAAATCGAGATGGATTAGAGACACGCTGACAAGACCTCTGAGTGATATCAGGTAGGCATCAGGTATACCCTCAAGTGGAACCCGATTTAGGAAGGATGTGTTGTACGTCTGAGGGTGACATGAAGGAGACAGTGAGGAGGGGAATAAAAGCCTATGGGCAATCGTGGAGCTCGCTTAAGAGGACTAGAGACACAAGGGAATGATAATAATAAATAATAATAATAATTCAAGTACTTTAAATCCTGTGCATCAGTGTCTTCACCTATCAGGAGAATGTCATCCGCATACTCTAAGTCAACAAGACTATAGAGCCTGATAACGACTTAATGTCTAAGTCGCTACAGGCAATTACGGGCCCATTTATTAACTGATACATACGTATCTATGATGAAATTAAACAGAAATGGGGATATTGGGCATCTCTGGAGGAAAACGCTGGTTTTCATTAGTTTAGATGATGTACTTTTTCAGCACTTCATTTAAGACTAAACATTTTCATAGCAGCCTTTGGTCGACACGTTCGAATTCCGCCTTCAAGTGAAAAAACATGGCTATTGTTGGGCATCGGAGTAAGTAAGCCTATGTCCCAGAATCTGTCGAAGGGTGAAAATATATATCATCACAATACACCCTCTTCCTGGCCTAAAGCCTCCTACAGTATTGCCAGAGTACTGACTTCATTCAATGGTTGAAGTCTGAAATGTCGTCATACGATAGTTAGGAGGTTGGAGACAATTCATAAGTTCCGTGCTTATTGGCGTTAATCAGGATGGTGTAATGCGCGACATCGAAGAAACTGATACGACTGAGAACGATAAAACATGCTCGATACAATTCGACATCATTGACTCAGAATTCATTAGCTGTTAATGGTAAACAGTGGAACCCAGTACGCAGGTTTCGTCCTCTTTAGGACTCATCATCTGGATGTACCCCCATCCCTTGTGAGGAATGATGTTCCTTCCGAGATTCAAATTCAACACTCATTATTTCAATTGACAAGCGTTATTCAATAGTGAAGCAAGGCATTGAAGAGGAGTTTATCGTAGAAGTCTATACAGCAAAAGAGTTCGACCGTTTCATGTCAATAATAATCAGACAAAGGAGTAATACAAAATGCTCCACCACTTATTGTGGGTCAAATTTAATTCTTTCTAGACATTATAAGGTCAAAAGGTCAACAAGGAATTATTTTGAATCATAGGAAATATTTAAAAAAGACGGTGTGTGTAGCAAAGGGAAACTTTGTCTATTCGACAAAGAAGTTGTCTAGTAAATAGGTGAGAAAGTTGCAGAACTGATGACCTTAGTAATCCGCATACTAACTAAGTTTAAATGAAAGTTTGACCAGATCATTCCTCTTGGTATATGTTGATATATGAAAGAGGGAGAGAGACAGAGAGAAATGAAAGGGTTAGAGGTTCCATATTCTGAGGTCACCTCTGTCTATAGACCAGACCATAGGAACAATGTGGTTAAAAAAATTTTTAAAACAATTTATGATTACATCACGTGAGGTCCAACCTTTGTCTTTACCGTGGGGTCATTAAAACACGATCAATTTTCTAATTAGATCTACTTAGATCACAAGAATTATTCAAAAGATGGTTATAGCGAAGAAAATTGCCTTCTCAACAAAGAAAAAGTCATCAACTCGGGCTGTATAGTCGTGTATTTATATGAGATGAATAAGAAAGTTTTCAGAACTATTTTTGGGTCAAGGGTCAAGTTAATAAAATTACAAAGTTTAATATATTCCATATTAGTTTGTTCATTCAAACCTGCAAACTCAATTAGAAACAAACTTTGTCGGTTAAAGGATCCTGCCGATAGAGCCTTTAAAACAAAACAATTTAGTTTGTCTAATAGCCTGCTGGAATGATTGTCAGGTCAAATACATAGGTCAAACTAGTAGAACAGGAGCAGTCAGACTAGCCGAACATAAAAACCTAGCAGTGAAATCTAGATTGGTTGACCCAAATAAGATAAGAAATCTAGAGAATAGTTCAGCTATAGCACTCACTACATGCAATTACACACAACCATATGCTAAGATGGGGCAGGATGACAGTTTTAAAATCTAACGTGACAAGGTGAATGAAGGGAGAGATTGATAACAGAAGCTTTGTGCTTATCGAATCAACTGCAAATCAACACGTGCAATAGGAATGATTCAACACCTGTCCAGTAGGACATGTAGGGAATTCTACTAATCCTGAGACGACAAATAGGAGAGAACAAAGAAAACTATAAAACTCAAGTTTCGAAGTCGTGTGATTATAACTGATGGAATGATTATGAACAATAAAATTTGTCCGAAACTGTGTCATCCAGTAAATAATAACACTGTTTCCTCACTGTGTGATACATCTAATAAACAAACTAATATGGAATTACTTACTACCACTACAGTTTCCAAGTTTTACACACATATTAAGGTTTAATATACATCGAGATCGGTTAAATAAATGTAGTAGGATAGATAGTAGTACTATTCCAGAAGTAATTCATGCATCCGCTTGTAAAAGCCATTTGGGACCACTATCCAGCATGATTAGCAAAAAGGAGAACTCAGGGGCGTATATAGTTCAGTAACATAATCCCTCTGGTGAGTTCACGACATTCAGCTCCATTCGAAAAAGTCCTTCACAGTCACCTGAAAGATCTGATCGAAGTCTTTCTTGTCCCAACGATGGCCATCGTTAAAAAGTCAGTCCTATGAATAATAGTTATCCTGTTACCTTTCTTATCCAGTCTTTATGTTTATTTCTGTAATTTTTACGTTTCTCAATTCCTATCTGCGCTCATTTATTTTTTTATTTTATTTCTGATTTATTTTTGATTACAGCTTGATTCCACACCGTATGTTTGGTACAAGTATGGAATTTTCAGCGTGGATATCGGTAGCCCAAATTTCGCAGGCCGACCATAGATATCAAGTGTGCGTCGGCGTGGGCTCGAACCCCGGACCATGTGCATGGTCGGCGAGAGTCCTAACCACTGTGCCACCGACGCACATATGTGTTTTATCCGAACTCCACGCCTCTTTCGTTACTATTACACTTTTAATGCCTAATTGCACAAACAGTCACGTTTCTCAGTAATTGTCATCTCACTGTGTTTGTTTTTCATCCGATCTCCCTGTCGATTACACTTTATTTTCATTTTATTGATTTTTTTATTACAGCTTGATTCCACACCGTGTTTTTTTGGTACAGGTATGGATTTTTCCGCATGTGATATTGGTAGCCCAAATTTGCAGGCCGACCATAGATATCATGTGTGGGTCGGCAGGGGATCGAACCCCGGACCATGTGCATAGTCGGAAATAGTTCTGGAACTTTGTTACCCATTTACGATAACTGTTACCATTAATATTACTCAGTTCTTTTTTTAATGACTCACTGTTTATCTAAGTGACGTAATTAACGCGTGATGTATTATGCCTTAATTTTAATTTCTCATACTTCCTTCTCACTATCCATTCGAACATGACTTGAAAAGAAACGTTCACACATGTCGTTTAGCACGATTAATTCAAATGCAGTGAATTTGCTTATCAGTCTTATATCTCTCAATGTATCTCTAATAGTATATGTATATGTATCCCTGTATGTAGAGTATCCAGCTGAGGAAGAGTTCTACCGGAATTTGATGAATTCATTAAATCCTTCCCTTACTAAATTTTGTTGTTTGTTTTCAATTCATATCGGGGAATAAATATAGCAAAAAACATTTACTAGAAATACACGAATGTACAGTATCGTCAGGTTGACAACTTCTTCGATGAAAAGAAAAATTTTCTTCGCTGCTGATATGTATCCACATGATGTGTGTTTAGTTTTTGACAGTCTATTTTGCTATATTTTGCTGTGTATATGGATCGATATTTCATTGTAACTGACAAGATGATTTTGTCTGTCCACTAACTAAATAAACATGTATGACCTTATTATCACATGGCATTACAACCAATCATGTTAAGACTGGCTATTTATAGGATCGTGTGTATTAGTCATTTTCATATATACTCTTGCTTTATCATTCTTCTACATTCTTGTTCCCACGCGTTTTCGTACATTGCGTACCATTTCACTCACACTCTTGTGTGACATTTATTTTCCTTGTCTGGAAAATACAAGTATCATTGTAAACCTGGTGGTCTTGTGATTTCCCTCTTTTCGCGTCAGGACTATTAACTACTCGACGAGTACATAACACCTGCAACCGTCTTTTTAACAAATTCCTATGATCTATTATTCTTGCATTTTTAATCCCTATTTGTAATTTTCTTATTCGTCCAAAACTTGACTCTCGACGGTTAATAGGTTTGTAAGTGTTTTACCCTTTTACTACATATTTAACAAACGAATGTACAGCCTAGTTGACAACATATTCGCTGAAACCGTCTTTTGTGAATACATTTATTTCTCAAAATGACGAATTGATAAAATGATTGAAATTCAAGTAAATAGCGTTTAGCTTACTAGTGATATGCTGCTATAATAAAAAATGTTTAGTTGTCTCACATTGTAGGGAGGTTAAGCGTGAATACAAGGAAAACATAAGATTACGACGTTCTTCTCATGAACCCCAATGGGTGAAACTTTCTTTATTTAATGTTTGACACAATGGATGCTGATTTAGAGTCTCTTCGGGTGGAGAGATACCATTACTAAGTCACTATCACAGGAATGTAGAAAAGTCCATCTATAGTCCTGACGAGTCCCAAGACGGGACGAAGCTCTTTTGTATCAAATCCACTTCTAGCCATCATTATCATAATCCTTTGATTGGACACTAGTCAGTAACTAGTGTAATTTGTCTAGTCTTTCGTTTGATGCAAAGTGAATTCTGTCAATCAAATTTGCGCAATGTGGCCACCATGCTGCTAGGCGACAGGAAGCCTTGTCCACACATGGGTTTCGTGCTAGTTGGCATTCATCAGTCGGCAAGGTGCATCTGCAACTTTAAAGGAACCGGTGTCATCCCACTCTTGCAGTCAAGAACAGTACAACTGAACTATTCGGACTAGCGACTGACCTGGTGTAAAACTGTATTGGAAGAGTGCCAACTAGCACGAAATTTAGGCCAAACGAGGCTTCCTGCAGCCGGTTGCCTCCAACGATCTAATATTATCATCATAATTATCAACCAAAATAAAACAAAATGAAATTTCAGGATTTCATCATGAGGTGACATTAGTTAGAGAACCATTGGAAAACCAACTAGGAGTACTGGACAGCTGTGTAGTCCTAGTTTGGGACTCCTAAGCAGTACGCACCCACCGCCAAGGTTCGAACCCAGGACCTTCCGGTTACAAGGCGAGCTCGTATACCATTAGGCTACTGGGACCCATTCCAATGGTCCTTGAATTCTAACTTTTGCCAATTCATGACATAGAGCGACCACTAGCCAATGTCTTCGGCGAGTATTTGACTCCTAAGCAGTACGCATCCACGGCCAGGGTTCGAACCCAGGACCTTCTAGTTACAAGGTGAGCTGGCTATTGGATCGGGTCCCAGTGGCTTGATGGTCTATGACCTCGTTCGGCTTGTAACCGGAAGGTCCTGGGTTCGAACCTTGGTGGTGAGTGTGTACTGCTGAAGAGTCCCGAAAACGAGGCTGACGAAACAGCTGTTCAGTACTCCCTACAGGTTTTCCAATGGTTCTCTAACTAATATCAGCTTATCATGATGAAATCCTGAAACCAATCAACCAAATCCCTACAAACCAACACTTGATATTTAAATTTTTTTTAATATCTTTAATAAAGCCACCTTACCTCATTATGTACATAAGATTCGCATTCATAACACCATGACGATAGATCAGCATAACTAAGGACAATAGGATGTCGTGATGATGAAAAGTGTTCAACCATATGTGAATTAGCATAACGACCACAATAAACCTATCACAGGTAGAACGAGCGAGAGAGACGGAAAGCAAAAGAGAAAACAAATTAGCAATTCAAATGAATAATATACAACTATGAAAGCAAAGGTTAAAAACAGGTCACAAAGTAAACAAACAAATACCCTAGTGACCAATCAATTTATTTATTTGTTTATTTATTACATTCCTATAGATCAGTTGTGAACTCGAGTAACTTTACTGGTGACGTCTCTGACTGCAGAACGAAATGACACAGCTTTCCACCTCTAGTGGGGACGACAACTCTTTCAAATTGGCAGGTATGCCTTGCTGACAAATGTCAAAAAGCATAAAATTTAGCTAAGTCGACGACTTCCTTTCGATTGCCTCCGACCAGCTTATATATATATATATTTAAACGCAGAAAAAAAACTTGGTACAATATGGCACCAAGAAGGATACGCCACACAATAATAATAAAACAACATAGACCAAAAGAAAAAAAATTTATAAGTAGAGAACGGATAAAGAATTTCATCTGGAAGGAAAACAGTCATGCTTAACAGGTTCAAACAGTGTTCGTTAACTATCATCGGGAAGGGAAGAAAGAAGGAAATTGCAACACGTTCGCCATTGATTACGATTCTTGGCCATATCCGATAACGTTTCGAGCTGTCTCTCAGACCCTAACCAGGGAGTCGTGACACACCAACCGATGCTAATCTAGCACAAAAATCCTTCATCCCACGACGCCACGTCATGGACTGACCACCTCTCCGCCCTTTCCATCCCGTTCCAGGGCTGGCTAGCGAACAGAGACCTGTACGGAAGCCTCTGGGGTGACATTTGCAGCACATGCCCAAGCCACCGGAGCCGGTGTTTCCAGATGACGACACTCAATGAATGGTGATCTCCACTGTGTTCACAAACACACGCCGCCGAACCTCAGAATTACTCACGCGATGATGCCATCGAACGCAAGCAATCCTGCGGAGACAGCAGTGATCGAACACGCAGAGTCGCCGAACGTCCTCAGCCTAATCGGAGAGGCCAGGTTTCACATGCGTAGAGCAGCGCAGCCCGCACCGAAGCATTGTATACCTGACCTTTGACAGCCAGGCTAACGTCGCGACGGCGCCATAGGTGGCTCAAGTTGATGTATGCCACCCTAGCTTTCATTATACGGTTGGAAATCTCATCCGTCACCCCTCCGCCAGCACTCACACAACTGCCCAACCAGGTACACAAACTTATCAACAACTTCAAGTGGTTCACCCGCAAGAGTGATTGCAGGTACAGGCTCCTGCCAATCTTGTAACAGTACTTTGCACTTAGACGGCGCAAAGTACATACCATACTTACAGACACTGATCGCCAACTGATTAAGTGCGATTTGGGCAACCTGCATGCCATCACACAGTAAGACGATATCGTCTGCATGCTCCAGGTCGAAAAGTCTATCTCCAGGTAGCAGATCTACACCACCTTCACGCACATCCTTCAGAGCTGACTCCAGAATGTCATCGATGGCAAATTTAAAGAGAAACGGAGAGATTGGGCAACCCTGTCTAACCTCACTGTTGGTTGGGAACAGTGATGATAGTTGGTTGTATGCCCTACATTCAAAATAATCAATTGGCCAACAAATAATATAATACTTCAACTTTGACAAGGTCTTTGACAGACCGATTTGACCATGAAGTAATTCGGAGACTACTTTAACATCATGGAGTGAAATGTACCAAATCTTTATCAACCTTATTCAACAGCTGGCTAGTTATATGAGAATGCGCCGTGTTAGATGGTTCAAAGCGGAAAACTCACTGAAGTCTTTGAAGTGAAGACAGCAGTTAGACAAGGCTGTTGCCCATGATTACCGATCATACACTTAATTGTGGTGAACTGGATTATGCGTCACACTGTGATGAGAGAACAAAAGGGAATAACGTTGAACTGATAGGAAGACTCTGGATTTCGCGCGTGGACGACTTATGTTTAATGTTGCACATACTCAAGGACTTGTAGGCGAACACCAAAAAAAACTGAGAGAAGAGCCAGACAGCGATGACAGGACTTCAAGTGAACATAGGGAAGAGGGGTTCTTCAGCAGTACACACCTGTGACTCCACCAGGAATCGAACCCAGAACCTACCGAAGGCTCTCAAACAAGGATGAAGTAACTGTCCAGTACCCTCCCCCCCTCCCTCACTGATCTTCAATAGTTGTCAAAAATGAAAATGAAAAACAAACTTACCGCATAACAAGATAAACAGACCCAATTCTCGCTAAGATTATCACAACGTCTGCATAACGTGTGAATATCTGGTTGCCAGGTAGGATTACTTTGTACAGAGGTTAAATGTGGACACCAGTTTAACGGAGCGACAGCAAACAGACGAGATGGTAGTTGATGTGTACTAGGCTGCGTTTAATAGAAAAAGGAAAAACAAACAAATAGAAGAATCATGAGGCTAGATGATGAGTAGTTTTACTTGAAGAAATGAAAGAAAAAGTAAATTTGCAATTAAGAAGGATAAATTGTAACTCTGCCACCATCCTTGAAGTCAATGACGCAAATCAGGAACATGAAGAAAAATACAGTTTATTCCTTACGAAGTGAACTTAATGACTTCTAATAATTATACTTACCATTATTGTTCTCTTGAGTTCCTAGTCGAATATAGGGCTTTGCAGGCCTTCCGATGGCCCATAAGTACTTTCATCACTTCCTCCTCATGCGATCTTCTCCATGTCACTTTTATTATTATTATTATTATTATTATTATTATTATTATTATTATTTCCTTTAATTCCTAGAGGAACATAGGGCGCCAGCTGCACGTCTCCATTGCCTTCGGTTTTCTGCCAACTTTTTCACCCCACTCCAAGTCTGCTCACACGCTTTCATCTCCTCTTCACATGACCTCCTCCAAGTCATCCTTACACTGACGACCAACTCGCCGCCCGCTTCCCTTTCGGGTTCCACTTGAGCAATGGCTTGTCTAGTGATGTCATTCACTTGATGGTTTCCTCAGAGTATGGCCAATCCACCTAACTCCATTTCTTCCTGCCTATTTGTTGCACACTCGGTTCCTGCTGAGTTGATTCACTCATTGCTAGAGATCCCTGTTGCTGATCTTTTCTAGCCGGCCACCTGATCTTGAGTAGTATTGAGCGAAGACAACTGTTAATGAAAATCTGTAGTTTGTTTGAGGGTGTCACTTTTAGACGCCCAAATCATAGTTTCGTGCATTCAAGTTCCATCCCAGAGCATGACTGGCGCGCGATGTTACTCAACCCTCCACCTCAGCGTGTATCTCATCCATCACCATTTATACTTCAGTAGGTTCTTGGTTGTTTCATTTCCAGAGTTCCCCTTTGCTACTTCCTTTCCAACAGGCCATTTGAACAGCTGTTGATAAAAGCCCTCAGTAACCTGTTAGCCTGGTCAAGTTTCTGACTCATGTAGAAAAACTGACTTCACATTTGCGTTGAAAATTTAAATCTTGTCCTTTATGCTGGCTGAGTGACAGAAGAAGATTTCCAAACTGATTTCTAAGTGATGAAGGTATATCTTGACTTTCCGGTTCTCGCTGGTTTTGACCTCTTCATCCGCGTGTCGACTGCCTGTAATTGAAACGATGCTTTCCAACCAATTAAGTGAAGGAAGTAACCTCTTTCAGATTTCTCTTGTTTACAGTGATTGGTGCTTACTGTTACTAGTTGGAACGATAGACTACCACCACCTACTCTACCTGTTAATTGATATCCGACAGTATTTAACACTGAAAAAATAAATATTTTCCGTTATTGCCTCAAATCAACAATCTTTAGAAAGATAGAGAGACTACGAGCTCAATTCGTAATCAGATTGTTCTGGGATTGAAGAAATTTTCACGGTGAAATAGCTGTTAAACGCCTTAATACTTTTCAATAGTTCTCTTACTGGTGATAGTTCGTGAAGAAATCTGCAATGAAGAAGTTTTAAAGATAGTCTGGCTACACGATTGAGAGTAGTAGTTATGATCGTATATATGTTGCAAGGTTATTTTATCAAAGGTGATAAACAATACAATCAAAACATGTTGCTAAGTCATCCACAAAACATGTAAGTGTATTTATTGGTGAACTAAAATTTTGACATATTTGTTTTCATGTATTCGATTAGTCTAAAAAAAAGTGAATTAATTAATGTGTCCAAAATTTTAGCCCATTTACTGCCAAATATGTTTTGAATACTTTGGCAACAACGTCTTGTAGCTAGCTAGCTATGTTCTTGAGCGAAAAGCAGTGAAGTGTACACTCTATGTTATCCAACCTTTGATGCTATTATTACTTGTTACTTGCATTCAGAGTGGAATATAGAGACCTTTATTGTACAGTTGGAACCTTTCAGCCTTCCTTTTGAATTAACTCTTTTTTGGTTGTCATGATGCTGGAGAAGATTGGTTCCAATCGAATGCATAAGAGCCTCTGAGACAGTTAGTGATATATATCATGATAATATCACGAGCATACCTTCCTTCCTTCAGCGTGTTCATGGTTGTCACCTGAGTGATTGTAGTAGATAATTAGCTATCCACCTAGTTAACACCTAGAAGAGTTTTTGATGTAGTTGTGTTTTCTGAGCTGAGTTGTATACAGACACTATTCAAGAGAGCTAGGAGTCCTTGCAGCGCTCCCACCTTAAGGTAAATTGACGTCTTCCAAAAGAATGGATATCCACTGTACTTCATCAAAAGACACATACTCCGAGGCAACCTACCAAATCAAAGGCTCCCAAGGAAAGCACAAATAAAATAGTCCTGCCATATATAGAGGACATCTCAGAAATCACTACAAGACTCTTCAAACCTTTAGGAGTTGACATCAAATCTTTCCCATAATAACTTTGAAGCGTTCACTTCCACTGCAGATGGTTTTACAGATTTCTAACCCTTCATTTTACCATATCTTTTTTTACTGAGATCTGAGCAGTGAGAACACTTCACATCTGAAGGCTGTCAACAGCAGGTGAGTCATACGTTCCCCAATAAAGGAGTCTTGTCATTTCCCCCGTGCTCTGAAGTTTTCGTAGTAATGAGGGAGGAGTGTTGCTAGCTCCACACCCAACCACCTTCCCTTTGCTCCAGGCTTAGGACTGGGCTAGTAGACTAGATAGTGTGAGTGGGGAGGGGTTAGCTGAATATCGATCCCATCCATCAATAAGAACAGAAACAACATACACACAAACAGACAACCAAACAAACAAACAGACTTACTAGCCCAAAGAATTCATGAATATCCTCTGAAGTGATATCAGTTAAATTCATTAAATCTTGTACAGTTGTCGTTGCAGCAAATCCGTTTGATGTTGTTGGCTGTTGTTGTTGTTGTGGTGGTGGTGGTAGGTGTTGAGTTTCATTAGGATTTCTTTCTGCATTTGCTGTTGAACCGCCAACATTTAATGCGTCTGAAATATTTGGTTGATAATGTTGTATTTGTGGTGTATGAACAAGTTCTGAGGCTAAACTTGACCTGTCACTTGTATCAGTTGCTGGATAACTAACTGTAACAGAGAAGAGGAAAAAAAACCATGAATGTAAGAAACGGACGAAATAAGTGAAGAAAGTGAGACTTATGTTTTAGCGAAATTCATTGTCGGTTGTGAGGACGAATACTAGCCGAAGACATTAGCTAGGGGTTGCGCTATATCATGAATTGACAGAAGTTGGAATTCATGGACTGAACATTGGATCAGGTCCCAGTGGCTTAATGGTATAGGAGCTAGCTAGGCTTGTAACCAGGAGGTCCTGGGTTCGAACCCTGTCGGTGGATGCATGCCGATGAAGAATCCCAAACTAGGACGAAACAGCTGTCCAGTACTCCCAGGCATTCCAATGGTTCTCTAACCAACGTCAGGTCATGATGAAATCCTGTAACCAACCCACTAAATCCCCACAAACCAGTACTTGAAAATTCATTGTCGTTTATAGGGGAGGGGGGTAACCGTAAACAGTAAAAACAGACTAAAACGAACCATCTATCGAATTGACTCGTGACCAAGTGATAAAGAGAATAAGCCGCATTGTAGAAAAGACAGACACTAACAATACAATGTCTACTAGGGTGACATTTTGCATTTTTATACCAACCGTCAATATGAAAGAAAAGATTAGGGAGCAAATTAACGCCTAGTCCGTGAGCGATATTTATCTTAATAGAGGAACAATCTGATTGGTTATTCTAGGTTATTTGACAGGTCATTCGTTTTGACCACTTATCTCTACATGCTCACCGGTTACAGCGGTACCATGAGGATTTTTTTTTGATTATAGCTTGAAAACCCACGGTATTTTGGTACAACTATGGAATTTTCAGCATGTGATATCGGTAACCCAAATTTTGCAGACCGACCATAGATATCAAGTGTGCATCGGCAGGGAGTCGAACCCCGGACCATGTGCATGATCGGTAAGAGTCCTAACCGCTGTGCCACCGATGCATGGAAATAGTTGAATGAGTTGTCGAGTTGCCACGCATACACATACACACCATGCACCATACAGAGCAAGAGGACAGAGTAAAGAAACATTCAAGAGAGAGAGAGAGATAATAAACACAGGTGTGAGTGAGGGAAAAAAGAACAGTAGTAATATGGAGGGACAATAGAGTTTTATCGGATGACATGACAAATCAGAAAGAGTAAATGCATCTTTGCCAGCCATTGATAAGGAAGATTTTTAGGCATACCACCACCAGTACATTGGTTCCTACTTTCCCTAGGACCACAATCAGACAGCAGTCTACACCTCATTACGTGAATGGCTTCAACTAATTGTTATTGATTCGATTGACTAATGAAGCCATGTTTTGGTTTGATTATCACTAGGTAACTCTTTTCTAGCCTAATTCTATGTCAGTTAACATTGCCCGTTGTCGAGGAAGGCGACAACTAGGCATACGTAACACACATGTCCATCTCCTAGTCATCTCCATCAATTCACCTCCACACAGTCCCACCAATCGACTTTCGCTTCTTACCTAACACTCGACACCTAACCTCAATATTACTAGCCGTATTATAACACTTATCTTATCAAGGAGATAGGATAGGACGAAGACACTTATGATCAAAGACAGCAAGCCACGCTTTTCATGTCTTCCACATCCAATGGTCATGTTTCCCTTACACAGCCATAAAGAATGACGGAGTGAACTGCTGCTGTACAGTGCACACGTCCTTTAATCAATAACCAACCAGCCAGCCAAACAGACATCACATATACTACGCCACAGGTGGCGTAAGTTGGCAGGGATATACTAAACGAATGAAATAAACAAGGAAATAAATGTTTTCAATATTACTAAACGAGCCTACTGTATCCATGCTGAAATTTCATCAGCTATCAACCCGTTGACGCTGGCTGATGCTACTTCCCAAATAAGTGAAGTCGTCAACAAGCTCCATAAAACAACTTCACTCCCTATTTCTAAAGCTAGGAGTCGGTGGCACAGTGGTTAGGACTCTCGCCGACCAGGCACATGGTCCGGGGTTCGAGCCCACGCCGACGCACACTTGATATCTATGGTCGGCCTGCGAATTTTGGGCTACCGATATCCACGCTGAGAATTCCATACTTGTACCAAAAATACAGTGTGGAATCAAGCTGTAATCAAAAAAAAAATGTAGTCCAGTCCAATCCTGTAGCATCATCTTACATTTGACGGGAGCGAATCTCATGCCAAACATTCGCCGATTGTAGCTCAAGGTGTTCAGAAGACTATGCTCTATTTTGTCAGCGTCTTCTCCCAGATGGGAGGACTATATCATCTGAATATTTTAAGTCACCGAGTTTATTCCCAGGTGGTAATAAGTCAATCCCTGAGTCGCCGAAGTCAGTTAGGTTTAATTCCATTGGAAAATTTATGAAGAAATTATTTAGAAATAGGGATAGTGGGCATCCCTGATAGACACCACTAGTTGTCACCATTTCAGATGACAACTCGCCACAAGCTCTTACCTGCCTGAATGGGTTCGAGTACAGTAGTTAATCTAATGTACTGTAATGACTGTGAGGTCAAATACGTAGGCCCAAAGTATCCAGGAGGGGTCAATTAATTTAGTGGAGCACAAGAATTTAAGAAAATCTAGTTTGGTTAGCCCTAAGACAAGAAATATAAAGAAGAGCTCAACTAGAGCATGCAATTACACACAACCATACAATAGGATGGGATAAGATGACAGTTTTAAAGTTGAACGTCACAGGGTGGAGGGAGAGATTGATAACAGAAGCTTTGTGCTTATCGAATCAACTGAATGAAAATACATGTAATAGGAATGATTCAACACCTGTCCATTCGGATATCTAGAAAATTCTACTACCCCAACGACGAGAAATAGGAGGGAACAAAGAAAACTATAAAATTCAAGTTTCGAAGTCGTGTGATTACAATTGATATGATTATGAACAGTAATAAATTTTGTTCGAAACCTTGTCATCCAGTAAATAATACTGTTTCTTCACTGTGTGATATATCTAACATGGAATTACATACTACTACCACCACAGTGCCCAAGTTTTGCACAAATATTAAAGTTGTTATTGTTATTCAATAACATACGATTTTCTTTTAAACTAACCTCTTAAATTTGATAATTCTTCAATTAAATACGGTATCGTACCAGCACCTTGAAGTGTACCAGACGATGAAGGTGCTGCTACACTAGTAGATAACATTTGACCAACAGTTGCAGTATGATGTGTTGTAGATACTTCACTACGTGGAGGATTCACATCGGGTCGGATAATTGTACCCCCACTATTTGATGCTATCGATGTTGATCCAGTGACAACACCGCCACCGCCACTGCCACCGCTAACACCAGCTTGTTCACTGACAGCTAAAGAAAGTGGTGCGCTGCGAAGATGTGAAAAGTCATTACATGTTGGTGTAGTGAGAACACCATCATCCAGGCTTAAATCGTCCACCAACTGTGAGTGAAGGATTAGATCATTTTCATTTGTAGAAATATTATTCTGTGGATTTTGTCGTGTATGCCTAGAACTCACCATACGACGAATTGAATCTGGATCACAAAAATAATCAACAGGATCTAATTCAAAAAAAAGATAAAAGTATAAACCATCTATAAAAAAATTAGTAGTATTAAAGAACATAAATTGAACAGAAGAGAATCTTTAACGTAGAAATACGTCGCGAATGTTACCTAAACTGTATCAAAAGGGATATAATGATAGAAAATAAAAAGTACAAAGTAACTAAAAGATATGCAAGTGAAAAGCAACAAGCTGACAGAAGAAGCATCAAAGATAGGACTTCAGGTGAACATAGAGAAAACAGAGGTGATGAAGATTCCTGGCCAACACCAACAGCAACAGACAACAATCAGCCGGCATAAATGGGAGGAACCTGAAAGAAACAACCTCCTTCACCTACCTACCTACTTGGGAAGCATCGTTTCAACTACAGGCGGGCTCAAGTGACGACGATATCAAAGCAAGAATAGGAAAAGCAAGACAAGCTTTCATTACTCTCATGTCTGTGTGGAGGTCAACAGCACTCAGCATGAAAATGGAAATGAGATCCGCTTTTTCAACTCCAATGTGAAGCCTGTCAGTGCTACTATACGGATCAGAGACTTGGAGCGTCATAAAGAACATCTCAAACAAACTATAGATCTTCATTAACAGTTGCCTTCGCTCAATACTCAAGATTAGCAACAGGGAGGGATCTCTGGGAGCGAACCAACAAGGAACCGATTGTGAAACAAATAGGCAGGAAGAAATGGAGATGGATTGGCCATGCGCTGAGGAAACCATCAAGTGACATCACTAGACAAGCCATTGCTCGAGTGGAACCCGAAAGGGAAACGGCGAGTTGGTCGTCAGTGTAAGGATGACTTGGAGGAGGTCATGTGAAGAGGAAATGAAAGCATGTGGGGAGACTTTGAGCCAGGTGAAAATTCTAGCAGATGACCGAACGCAATGGAGACGCGCAGCTGGCGCCCTATGTTCCTCTAGGAATTAAAGGATATAATAATAATAAAATAAAAGAAGACGGCCAGATAGTCTACAACTCCCAACGTCGTTCAAATCGATAATCAAAAACCTCAGAAGATGATACCATTTTTTGGTTTAACCACCCCTAACTCTTTTCGAAACCAATCTTCTTTGAACTTATAATCCTTGATAAGGAGGGAGATGACTTGTTATGGATGACACACGTTCCAGCCACTTACATCAGACAGCTTCATAACCTCATCGACTAGCCTTTCTAACACTCTGTTCTATGCCTGATCTGATTACTTGCTTATGTTCCAAGTGGAGTATAAGGACCCCAGTAGTACATCTCAATTCCAACCTGTTATTTTCGTTCTTTTTAGCTGAGTTTATGATTTCCTATAAGATTTCATCTCCTCATCACACGATCCCATCCATGTCACATTCGGACATCAAAACTTCATCGTTTCCCATTCGAGTCCCACTCAAGAACCTGGAGTGTGGTATCATTCATCGTTCTTCTGAAAGTATGCTCACAATCTACCTTCATTTATTTGCATATTTGTTGAGAAATAGGTTCTTGGTAGGCTTGTTCCTAGCCAGAGTTTCTTGTTGCTAATTCTTTCTGACTTCCCATTTGATCTTCAGTACAGAGCCAGTGAACGCAACTGTTGATAAAGGTCTGTCGCTATCTACTGGATGCGCTTTTTGTGACCTATGCAAAGTGCAAGTTTCTGACCCAAAGAGAACTAACTGACTCAACATTTGTGTTGAAGCAGAAGATGCTGTCCAAACTGGTTTCAGGCTGATGAAGGCATATCTTGCCTTTCTGATTCTAGCTGGTTTTGACATCTTCATCCGTGCCACCGCCTGTAGTTGGAACGATGCTTCCTAGAGAGGTTAAATTTGAAAGAGGTTACTTCTCTTTGAAATTTCTCCCACTGATAATGATTTCATCTCCCTATCCTACTATCCAGTTATCTAGACAGTAGAGAAATGCAGTCAGATTCGTGTTCAAAACCCTTTAAAAATATAAGCTTAAATACTCCAAACAGTGCGCCAATCACCATCAACGGGGAGGGATTTGAAAGAGATTACTTCATTCACTCACTTATCTAGCATTGAGCATTGTCTCAATTACAGGCAGACGGAACGGACGAGGATGTCAAATCGAACGAGAATCGGGGAGGGGGGGCGAGAAACACATTCATCAACCTGAAACAACCAATTTGGAAATCTTCGTCACTCAGCCAGCATCAACAACAAAATCCAGTCGGATTTTCAATACAAACAACGTCAAGTCAGTCAGTTCTTCTATATGGATGAGAAACTTGGAGGGCGGGTCACAAAGAATATTTCCAACAGCCTGTTGCAGACCTTTATCAACCAACAACTGTCCTCGCTCAATACTGAAGATCAGATGGCCGGAAAGAATCACCAACAAGGAACTATGGGAACAAACAAAGCAAGAACCAATTGCCCAACAAATATGCAGGAGAAAGTGGAGATGGGTGGATTGGACACTCGCTCACTGAGGAGGCCGCTGGGTGACATCGCGCGAGCGTCAGGCCACTGCTCGAGTGGAACCCGACACAATGGGAAGCGGGGAGTTGGTCGTCAGTGCTAGGATGACATGGAGGAGATCGTGTGAAGAGGAGTTGAAACAGTATGGACTAACCAACATGGAAGCAGGTAAAAAGTACAGCAGAAGGAAGACAGAAGTGGCAAGTGGAGACGTGCAGTTGAAGTCCTATGTTCCACCAGGAACCCAAAGGAACAATAATAATAATAATAACCATTGGAGGACATCAAAGTCAACTCCCCCTCCACCTATTAGACTGGATCGAACTCTAATGTATCACATGACCTGAAATCTGTATCAAATCATGGTATAACTATACTGTGAGTGCAGTGCGCCTCCGTTGAGTAAGTCACAACCATGCATACATACAAACATGAATTCAAAGTGAATCTCACTTTTAGAAATAAGTTGATCACGGATTGATATCAGTTAGAGAACCATTGAAAACCAACCAGGGAGTACTGGACAGCCAGCTGTTTCATCCCACTAGTTTGAGAATCATCGACAGTACACACCCACTGGGATTCGAACCCAGGACCTATCAATCCGTGATCAACTCGTAAAAAACATAACTAACCCTTACAAACCAAACAAGAGAAAATTTAGAAAGAAGAATAAAACTTACAAATACATTGACCCCTTTATTTGTTCACCTTACAGTGATTGATTAACCTAGTGTGATACACTGTTCCACAACAAAATATTCATGCTATATTAGTCGGTTAGTTAGTTAGTTAGTTCAACATTTTATGATGAGTCATAACTTAAACATTTAGTCTATTTTTTTCAAACCAATATATATATACCTTTGGACTAACGATATAAGAGACCTGTTGTTAAGTTTTTGCAAAGACACATCTGACAATAATAATAACAACAACAACAATATACCTCATATCTGTCAGTCTACCCTTGGTATGCATGATTTATGTCTGTACTATGATTTTAGAATAAAGTACTGAGTGACTCATCATTATTCGTGTACACCCACCAAAAATAGATTCCACTGCATGATTGAATTACTAATATTATTATTTATAAAAAAAGAGATGACTCCAACAGCTACTTCAAACAAGCCGTGTGTGTGTGTGGGGGAAGCCATCAACAATTGTCTTCCTGATGTCGTTGTGTTGTTCTCTGAGCTAGCTGGATGGTTTATTTGCGAAGCCTTCATTGCCCAACTTAGGCAACATCTTCCTTCAGCGCATCGTACTTCAATTTGTTGAAGTGAGCTTCTGGATTTCTCCACGAGTTCAACATTAGTCATCACTCCTGGTGACCTGACCTTGAAGGTGATTGGTTGTTTTTGTGTGTTTTCAGACCCTCTAGGCTACTTGTATTCATAGTGTTTAAGTTTTCTTTTTTTTTGTGAAGGTGAGTTCACCAGGTATGTTGGACGTCCGACGCGTATCTTGTCCAATAGGGTTCAAGAATTACTATCTCACAGACTAGCTATAAAAAGGTAGTAGTGACTCTATAATAACACTAATCATTTCATCGCAAAAAAAATGCCTCCTCTCTTTTTAAAGTAATCTACAAGGTGAAGAATAATCTATCAAAGGCATTAAATACGCTTTCATCTTCATTCTATTGGCTGAATTCCCTAGTCATTCAGTTGGAAAAACCATAGTTAAGCATACAAAAGAAAATTATTCAAACCATTTCTAATAATCCTATTGGTAATAACCTTGTTGATTTCTGCTAACTTAATTTTTGTTTGTCTGTTTTTTTCAACTCCTACGTAACTCTTGTATTTATTATTATTATTTTTTATTGCTCCCTTGGGTTCCTAGTGGAACATAGGGCTTCAACTGCACGTCTCCATTTGATTGTCTTCTGCTATACTTTTCGCCTGCATCCATGTTAGTCCATATTCTTTCAACTCCTCTTCACACGATCTCCTCCATGTCACCCTTGGACGTCCCACACGCCGCTTCCCTTTCGGGTTCCACTCGACGGCTTGGCGCGCGATGTCACCCAGCGGTCTCCTCAGCGAGTAACCGATCCATCTCCACTTTCATCGCCAGATACTAGCTTGCTAGGCTACTAGCTTACTAGTTTTCTCGCCGGCCCCAAGCCCGAGTAAAGAGGGAGGGTCGGGGCGTGGTGCTAGCAACTCCACCCTGTAAAACAACCAAATCGCTACAGAAACTTCAACGAAAAAATATATTAAAAATTCTAAAAACTCTTGTATTATTTAGTATTTAATTGGTTGAATAGTGACTAGCAGTGAAATCCAGGATAACGCGCGTTTCGTCCTATTTCGGACTCGTCAGTCAGCTGGATGTGCCTGCATTCCCCAGTGAGTCAGTGATGATGTTCCCACCATCGAGGCTTGAACCCAGTGCCCATAGTTTCAAACGCCAGAGTATTATCCATTCGACCAGTAATACACAGTGCTTGACACAAATGGATTGATATTTCTGTTCCACTTGGATTAGTCTTCAGGATGGTCGGGGGTGGGTGTCTTGCGCTGCGGGTTGGCCACTCCTCCGTACACCTCTTGAAATGCCCCCATATGACCGGGCGTCTTACATAGCCTCTCCTGAGGAAGTCCTACTCACTGCCTTCACGTGGCGGAGGTGTTTTTCACCAAAGTGAGAGAGCAAAAGCGGATGCCCGGCGCTCTTCACCGGGTTGACTGTCCATTGGATGACAGTCTAGGGGAGATGGCTAAACCCTGATTCCCAACCTCCAACGACTGGCGTATGAAGCTCACCGGCAGACGTGTGGACAAAGGGCTTATTGGATGCCCCGGATGACTGGCCCCAATCAAAAAGGCGAATGAACCGGACTCCGGTCACCGGCTGCCAATGGATAGTGGACTCCCTACTCCACTCCTACTGCCTTGTAGGTCACACTTGGTTGTGTAAAGGCTAGAGCTGCACTCTCAAACAAAGGCCCAGCGATGCTGGGGACATCACTCGTACCCAATTCCCATGAAACTTCATGGTTCATGAAGCCGGCTCATCCTCCCGTAGGAGATAGCCGAAGTAAAGTAAGTAAGTCTTCACTATTTACAACTACAGGCCATTGGCACAGATGAGGAGGTCAAAGTAAAATCACGATCGGAAAGGCAAGACAGAGAGACAGACAGACATTCACTAGTTCGAAATCAATGTGGAAATCTCCAGTATTCAACATAAGAAACAATTTTAGAGAAATTTTGAACACTAATGTCCAAAGTTAGTTCTTCTATGTGATTCAGAGACTTTACACGTCACGAAAGGTATTTCCAATAATAGCCTACTGCGGACTTTTATCATCGGCCATCTCCACTCCATACTGAAGGTCAGAAAGGATGTCTGGTAGCGAGCCGGTGAAGAAACAACTACCTATTAAATATATACAGGAGGATATGAAGGGATAGAATGGACATACGCTGATGAGACTGTTCAGTGGTATCGCGTGTCCCGCCCTTAAGTGGAATCTAGGCGGGAAACGATGAGTTGGGCGTGTGGCCGAGGATGAAATGGGGGAGATGACTGTCAGCTAAAAGAGAACACGATGAAATAGGGATGTGCTGTTGAAGCCCTTTGTTCCATTCGGAACTAAAAACAAATCATAAGAATATTTACAAGTAACATTTTCTATTTTGATTTTTTTTTTGAATTTTGTTGCCATCGTCGTCGATGTTGTAAACATTGTATATAAAAATTCGATTGTACTAACGAGTGACTGAATTCATCGAAAGCAGACACTTTACACTGATCTACTAGTTCTCTTTTCCTTTTAATGGTTCTAATGGCATTCATTATTCCTTTATCGGTGAGGAGATCTATCGTACTTACTTCAAGGTAGGGTTCATCCAGAGTATTTCCAAATGGCTACAGACTGCAGAGACTTTCATCACCAACTACTTTTGCTCGATACTGAAGATCACATGTTTAGATCAGAAGCTTTGGAAAGCAATGAACCAGACAAGCATTTTGATTTAGTGCTCAACGAATATGTAGAAGCAATTGGTAGATACTAGATTACACATACTCTAAGAACTTTAAGTAACATCATATGCGAGAGACTCTCAAGTGGGATTGGAATACGGAGAGATGAATAAGCACATCAGAGGTTGGCATGAAGAAGAACACGTGATTAAAAGAAAATGAAGGTCATCAAGTATCGAGTGCAATACAGATGTGTTATTGAAGCTCTATATTCCAGTCGGAGAGGAATCCCTATGAAGTTTCTTCTCTATGTAGCACAGAACGAACATAAGTGAGTCAGCCTGATATTAGGACTACTAAGGGATGACAGGCTTTCATTACCCTTAAGTCTATGTGGAGGTCGACATCACTCAGCATCAAAAATAACATCCGGATTTTCAACTCCAATGTGAAGTCAGTCAGTGCTACTGCATACGGATCAGAGACTTGGCCAGCAAGTCATAAAGAACATCTCAAACAAACGACAGATCTTCATTAACAGTTGTGTTCTCGCAATACTCAAGATCAGATGGCCGGCCAGAAAAGATCAGCAATAGGGATCTCTGGCAATGAGCGAACCAACCCAGCAGGAACCGATTGTGAAACAAATAAGCAGGAAGAAATGGAGTTAGGTGGATTGGCCATACTCTGAGGGAACCATCAAGTGAGTGACATCACTAGACAAGCCATTGCTCGAGTGGAACCCGAAAGGGAAGCGGGCGGCGAGTTGGTCGTCAGTGTAAGGATGACTTGGAGGAGGTCATGTGAAGATGAGATGAAAGGATGTGGGGAGACCTGGAGCCAGGTGAAAACTTTAGCAGATGACCGAACGCAATGGAGACGTGCAGCTGGCGCCCTATGTTCCTCTAGGAATTAAAGGATATAATAATAATAAATAATAATAATAAGGGACGAAGGTAACCGATACACAAAAATCGATACAAAAGTAGTCATTATTACGTAAATATCAATATATATATATAGGAAGTTGATCAAAATATTATTAGAAAGCAACGCACCAAAACCTTTAAGCATATTCCAGTATTTTTCATGTACTTCAATTGCTTGTCGAATAGCTTTACAGCCTCTGTAAAATTATCGATTCGTTTAAAAGAGAAATAGAGAAAGGAAGAAGGATTAAACAAAATCAATCATGTGAATGTTTATTGAGAAACAAAAGAACCCCGTTATGCATAGAGAAAAGCTTTACGTAAGACAATGACGCAAGACGACACTGCAGTTTGAAGGGGGTGGGGGGTGGAAGGAAGCAACGACACGATTGAGCTCGTGTATGTGTGTGTTTTTGTGTTTTCTTCTCTAACAGCATAATGACATTCTGAACAAAGAATATTCTTTTCAATAATTTCTCTTCAGGTTTTTATAATTATACGTAGAATAACAGATTAGCAGTTATTATGAGGTGTCAAAGTAAATAGTCGTATTTCAGTGTGACAAACGTCGTGCTAGGCTGAAATCAATTACCAAAATATTGTAAAATGAGAACGGATATCCAGAGAAGTTCATTAAAGCCAACATAGGTTACAATAGTTGTAAACATGAACTGGCCGTGGCTAAACTTGGATGGATGATTCTTCTTCTCACCAAGAGTGCTCCCTCCCCTTGACCCTCTTGGTTTTCTTTTCCTTTGCTTATCATTACAAATATTCATTATTATTACAATTATTATTATTATTATTATTGTTCGTCATAATTTATGCCCTTTATGCAAACATTCCATCAATACTATCGAATTTTTCACTTATACGGACTTCTTAGTAGTGATAACATCTCTTTTCTCAATGTACATGCCTCCACCTGTTTCATTTCACACTCTCGTTATTTCCTTACGAACGTCTCATTGCAGTCTTATAGGAACTATATGCCCGCACTAGTAAGTACAAAAATTCATCCATACCCTACCTAGCTCGTGTTCTGTGCGATAAAGAAAGCATTAGGCGTGAAACCTTTAACTTATTAAATAGTCATTGGAACAACTGGATCTCGTCTTTCCAACTCACATCATTTACAGGTACAACGTTTTCTCTCTACTTTTTTTTCATTCTGTATTTATTTTTTGTTATGTGCCGTTTTGTTTCTCTCTTCCTTACAAACTCTACCTAAAACACTCTTCTTCGTTCTTTCACACTCTGTATATCTCGACCATTTTGCTATCGCTTACGCCAGTAAATATGCTAGTAGCATCTACTTTTCTAACACCTTTAAACATTCTGTTCAATTTTTAGTTTTGCTACCGACATGTCAATAAGTTGTTGTTAAAATTAACTGAGATTACCCTTAATCTATGTAGAATTTCATTTATTGTTAATGTACTAACTGGATGCAATATTGCAGTAAAAATGCTGAGAATTCCATTCTGTATCACAAGTACTGATTTGGAATAAAGCTTATTATTTTATCTTATCTTAGTCTTACTATCTCCTGTTTAGGACAAACCACTTTGTCCTAGCCACTCACCTGACACCTTCGATAACCTTGAACTGATTCGTCAATTTTCCTACCCTACACTCTTTACAAGTCTATTATGATTAATCACCACCATTGTCTCCCGTTTTACAATATTTTGGCAATCGATTTCAGCCTAGCACGACGTTTGTCACACTCAAATACGACTATTTATTTTGATACCCCATAACTGCTAATTTGTTATTCTACGTTAAAGATGTATCCGCCGCATAACTGGCTATCATTATTATAACGACAACAAATATTATAATATTTTATAATTGTAAGAACCTGAAGGGGAGAAATTACTGGAAAGAATATTCTTCGTTCATATTGACTTTTAATTCATAATATGGGAATATCTCTTCACACTATCAAATCTTATAACCAAATTCCACTTAATTTTGATTTTCACTTGTTCAGTTGAACACTTTATTATTCCCATCCACCCTCTGAAACTCTCCATCATAATATGTATAAATCTAATCTGTTGTTCTATCTTGTAATTTGTCTCTAATCCATCCTTATCTCCAAGAGAAATCTCAATCTCACGCCTTTGTCTAATGACTGCATAAATAATTAATTACTCTTTCAACACTAAGTAATTCATCTACTTACATTATCTTTGAAATTATAATTATAATACTTGAAATCATTGTAAAACAAAGTATGTTTACAGTCAGAAATTTTGTAGCCTAACTTATAATTGACATTGTTTAGGATGTACGCAGCATTTGAAGAGAATCCACGAGATGCAGACGACCTTGTATTATCCACACTGCAAATATATTCGTTTTTTTCTTTCCTTCCGAGTAAGGTATTAACGGGGGGGGGGCTTCAAGCTTTAGCTTTGACATCTCAATAACAGTGGTGTTAGTTTGTGCAGAGTGGATTTTCTAGGGTCACACACTCCCCGCCTTCCCTATTTCCAAGGCTTACTACTACTACTACTACTACTACTACTACTACTACTACTACTAGCTATGCGAGGTATAGAAGTGTGTCGTCCAGGAATCGAGCCTTAAAATCCTAACCGCTGTCCCACCGACTATTATTAGGGTAAAGAAAATGTATAAATATCATATTTTGTTTTCTAATTGATGTACAATACACAATATCTTACAGTCACAGGTCAGCCTTTGTCTTTTGATATTTGCGCGACTCAGTGAATCGGAAGATACAACTGACACAATGGACGCATTACTGTTCATTACCGTTATAGTAGTTAACAGACGCACACATAATAAAGAAGCGATAGATTTATTCAATTCACTTCAATTCAATTCGGTTATAACAGTAACTTCAACCAATTAGAAAAGTCAGCTAGTCAAATGAAGATAACCTCATCACACTCGATGGCAGTTTACATGAATTATTGATTTAAGGATAAAATTTGGGCACTGTGGTGGTAGAGTATAATTCCATTATGCATAAAATTTTATTTTGATAAATTCACACAGTATTTTACGCTAATTATTTACTGATGACAACGTTTCGAGCAGAATTCATTGCTGCTCATAATCATATCAGGGAACTACTCACACAACTTTCTTGCCTCGTTTATATATATATATGAGTAAAAACTGATTAGATACACAGAGTCAAAATTCTACAAAAGAATATAGGTAATTGGAGAGAGATATTTATTACTGAATCCTGGTTCACATCGAGTCTACACCTCAACACAACGCATGCAATAGAAGTGACTCAACGCAAATACCAGAGATATAGTAGATATTATAACAACCAGTCAAGTCAGAGGAGGATAATAAATAAATAAGGGTAAAATTTATTTCACTTCACATTATAACATTCTAACAAGTGACCTGTTTTTACTGTAAAAAAAAACATCTTATTTCTTATCTGATTGCATTTGATTGATAACACTAATATTCGTTCCGAATGTATTACGTAGGATGTTAAAGGTTGTCAGCAGGGTAGGCCACAGGGTGCCACTTAACCAACCAGCTTGTTAATACTCTGGTCGACAGGCACATGGAATCATGTGAAAAATGGGCTAAGTCCATTTTATCTATCTAACTCACACCACCACTCTCTTCATTCACAACTCTCCCCTTGTATCTCATCAGGCCAGACCAGACCAGAAGCCTATACAGAAAACTATGTGCTCGCACTAGTAAGTACAAAAACTCAACCATACCCTACCTACTTATCTCGTGTTCTGTGCGATAATCAAAGCATTAAGCGTGAAACCTATAACTTATTAAATAGTCAGTAGAACAACTGGATCTCGTCTTTCCAACTCATATCATCATTTATAGGTACAACGTTTTTCTTTCTTTCTTTTCCTTTCCTCTCCCTTTTTTTGTTATATGCTGTTTTGTTTCCCTTTTCCTTACAAACTCTACCTAAAACACTCTTCTTCGTTCTTTCACACTCTGTATATCTCGACCATTTTGCTATCGCTTACGCCAGTAAATATGCTAGTAGCATCTACTTTTCTAACACCTTTAAACATTCTGTTCAATTTTTAGTTTTGCTACCGACATGTCAATAAGTTGTTGTTAAAATTAACTGAGATTACCCATAACCTATGTAGAATTTTATTTTATTGTTAATGTACAAACTGGATGCAATACTGTATGTAGTAAAGTGCTGAGAATTCCATTCTGTTTCACACAAGTCTTCTATTGACTTTATTCATATGTCTAATCAGTTTTTATTCATGTATATAAACAAAGCAAAAAAGTTGATATGATTATAAGCAGTGCATAAATTGTGCTTGAAACGTTGTCATCAGTATATATATTACTACTGTATAACACTGTGTGACTTTATCAAAAGAAATTTTATCTATAATGGGGCTTAGAGGAATATTTAAGTACCTATTATGGATAAGATAAACACTGTGTGATTTATAAAAATAAAATCTTATCCATAATGGAGTTATACTCTACCACCACAGTGTCCAAGTTTTATACTTATATCAGTTTCAGTACCTACTCTGAGAGATTTGATGGCTAACTAAAGCTACCTCTTTGAAAATCAATAACATGAAATTGAAATATCAGACAGACACACACACACACAGAGTATAAGCAACACTATTGACATACTACTACTACTCATGAAATGAATCAATATGGTTCTCTTACAAGAAAAAAAGTGGACATACTTTTCAGAAGCTGATAGATTAGCTGCCAGACGTGGACAACTATCTCCAAGGAGAACAGAAACACAATGACATAGTGATTCAGCTGTACCCGATAACTGATATCCCCCTTCGAGGGCAATAATTACACCACCAGAATAAGAAGCTGATTTCTCTTGATGTATACGTTGACGTGTTTGTCTAACTGCATTGGTTGAAGGTGTTGTTATACTACTATTAATACTACTACCTTCTTGGCTTTCTTTTTGTTGATTCAATGTATACGCCGATGGATTTAAATGAGCAACAGTCATGAGCAAGTGAGTAAGATGACCAAAGCATTCTGGAGATACGCCTAATCCACCCTAGAAAGAAGAAGAGGAGGATAACGACAAGGGCGTGGTATCAGATGACGGTGATAGATAAACGAAGATCATATCTAGATTAGAAATTGCCTATAAAAATAAGGTCATCATTACTACTGGCTAAATTATAGAAAATTTATTCAAAAATGTCAGCTATAACTTTATACTACTTATAAGTAGGTGAGGACAGAAAATAGAATAAAAATATTTCCAACAGTGGTGATAGACTGACCGGTTTCAACATAGACCTCAGCACAGGTGCGCAGCAGTTCCAGTTGCCACTCTCCCTCCATGTACCACACAAAGCGAGAGAAGAGACATTCAGAAGAGAGATAATAAACACAAAAATGAGGCAAAAAAGAATAGTAATATGGTAGAAGGATAAAATTTTAGATATGATAGAGAAGATTTGTAGCTCAGGTGGATGATTTTGATGTGGTTTTGTTCTCTGAGCTGGATGGTTAGTTTGCGAAGCTTTCATCACCTTACTGGGTGACATCTTCAGCGCCTATAAAATTTTATTGGAGATTATAAATGACGCTGGTTGAATGCCTCTGTGCCAGACATCATTGAGAACCATTTTGAGCCACATCACAAATTTTCTCCATCCTTCATTGGTTTTTACTATCCCGTACCCAAACAAGACAGTTAGCCAGTCTCTACATCTCCCTACGTGACTGGTTGGCTGGGTTAAACCAACTAATATGGATTTGATTGACTGATGAAGCTGTTGGTTTCATCAACATTAGCTCTTTTCCAACCTGATCCATTCTATGTCAGCTAACACTGTCCGTTGTCGAGGAAGGCGATGCAGAATGAAAATGTTGTGTTATTCACTAGTTATGTATAATTACTAAGAAAACAGATACCATAAATGTAGCAGAGTGGAAATGCAGCCATTGTGGTAAAATGAAGCTTCCCACAACGGAGATGGGTCAACTATACGGATGTGAGAAATTGTCAAAGGGTGGAGGAAGATGTGATATCACACTTTGATGAAGACTAACTTTTTTCTTCAGCAGATATAAAACAATAGGACTATATCCTTGCATAGTTCAAAACAGCCACAGAAGCAATTGGGATTTCAAAGTTTTGGGGATTCAACAGATTTCAAATGACATCGAAAAACAGATATCGATTGAAGAACCAACCACTGAGAATCAGAAAGTACAGGTGATAGCTGTTCAGGAGTATCCACCCATGACTCAACTGGTAATACACCTCAGGATCTTCAGTTTTTGCCAATGATTAGAGCATAAACAATTCACACATTGATTGCAAAATACATTTTTATTATGTCTTAACGACAAAAGGAAGCAACTCTACATGTGAAAGATTAACTTACTAGTCTATCACCACGAACAGCATCAAAGCCAGCAGAGACTAAAATTAACTGTGGTCTAAATTCATATAGTATTGGAATGATGATATTATTAAAGACAATAATATATTCCCCGTCTTTAACATGTCTCTAATTGATGAAAAATTAAAATGAATGAAAAATAAACGATCCGAAATATTCAGTAAAAAAAAAATCGAAAATTACTGTCATGCGAAGAGAAGAAAAAGACTGTAAATTCAAGTATTGGTTTGTAGGGGGATTTAAATGATTGATTACAGGATTTCATCATGAGCTGATCTAGGTTAGAGAACAATTGAGAAACCAGTACTGGAGCACTGGACAGCCAGTTGTCTCATCAGCCCAGTTCATGACTCTTAGGCGGTAGGCAGCCTCCCTCCCCGCCAGGATTCGAAACCAGGACCTTCTGGTTACCTGGTGGGCTCGTAGACCATTAAGTCACTGGAACCCGATTCACTGGTCAGCCCATGAATTCCAACTTCTGCCAATTTACGACACAGAGCGACCACTAGCCAAAGTCATCGGTGGCGAATATTTGTCTTTACATCCGACCTGCTGCACTCTATCGGTCACGACTTCCCACTAGAACACGCCAGTTAACTACTTCCCTGAATACGGCTAGTCGCTAGTGAGCATCTCATTGATATTCAAGTATTAGTTTGTAGGGGGATTTGATTGATTAGTTACAGGATTTCATCATGAGCTGACATCGGTTAGAGAACCATTAGAAAACCAGATGGGAGTACTGGACAGCTAGCTGCTTCATCAGCCTAGTTTGGGGCTCTTCATCAGTAAGCATCCACCGCCAAGGTTCGAACCCAGGAACTTCTGGTTACAAGGTGAGGTAGCTCGTAGACCATTATGTGTGAATGATGTGGGGATCTATCTAAACAACAAATTTGTACAGATAGTGTTAATTGGTAAAAAACAGGTGGATACATTGTACATAAGTTTTATGTAGTCCACTTCTTTGGTGTTCGAATGGAAATATAGTCGTGATGTCCATCACTTTTTCGTCTCACTGGTTCCCACTGTCCTCTAACTCTCTACTAATAGCCGTGTTATATTCTTTGGAATTTGTAGGAGCATCTTCATTCTTGTTCGAAGAATATTTCTACAACTGGTAAACAAGTTCTACCAGTGGAACCGACCACAGCAGTGAAATGGATCTGTGGATTATAATATTAATTTGTAGAAGTGGACTTTAGTAACTGCATTTCCAAGTCAGCACTAACTTTTATAACTCATTATCTGTATTCCTGATTATACGACACGACACCTTTACGTTCCCAGTGGAACATAGGGCTCCGAGGTAGAGGCTTGAAGTTTCTGTAGCAGTGTTGATTTTTACAGGGTTGGGTTCCTAGCCTCATGCCCAACCTTTCCTCTTTACCAGTCTCATTATTGGCTAAGTGAGGTAAAGGAGTGCCTCGTCGGCCGGGGATCGAGCGTCCTAACCACTGTGCCACCGATTCACTATTCCTCATTATAACACTGACTGAATTTGTTTTTCGGATTCTGACAGAAACATCCTAATAACGTAATGCTGATTATTTCCGTTCAAGTATTCAGAATACTTTAGACACTGACATAAGTGACACATAACACTGTTGGTTACACAACATATGTGTCATCTGTTTCATAAAAAAACTATTGTTCATATTTCAAAGTGCTATACAAAGTTACTACAGGAGATGTAAATTCCGAATTGATAAAAACTAGATCCGTTTTCAGGCCTTCCAGAGTAATTTTGTCATGGTTCTGCTACCTTCCCACATTTCACTAGCTTTATGTTACTCAAGATTTCTGCTCCTATTGGAGGATTGATGTTCACTGACAGTAGTTGATGGTATTTCTAGACGAGTGACACATGGCGGTGGTGGTGGTCCGTTCAGAAGTCATTTGAAGTTGTCAGTTTCTCCTTGTTAGCAATTACGTTACACTATCCTTTCAATGGTTTCGTTTGTATTGATCTCATCTTGGATAATCACCTGGTATAGTGATCTATAGTCCCTCTTAACTCATTTATTTCACAAAGAGCCTCCCCTAATCCATGGTGAGTTCTCTTCCTGTGTTGGCTGTTCCCATTTTAGAATTCATATCAGCCAATAGGATTTTGATATCGTCATTTGGGATCTTGCCCATTATTATTTGCTACTGTCAATAGAATTCCTCCTTCTTTTCTTGTTCTGAGTTGTCTGTAGGAGCGTAGCACTGGATAATAATACGCCTTTGATGATAAGTTCTCATGTCTTCTGATATCATATCAGTGTAGATTTGTGTAAATAATTTGGGCTGTTTAGGTAACAATTTATCACCTAATAATGCTACCTGTAAACACTGTATGACAATCTGATGGAGGGTGACTGGCAGTGGAATCCAGGACAACGTGCATTTCGTCCTATTTAGGACTCATCAGCTAGTAGACACACTTGCATTCACCAGTGAGTGACAGTGAGAGCGGTATTCCCATCGAACCCAATATCTACAGTTTCAAACGCCAAAGCATTATCCACTAGACCATTTGCGCCACGAGAACTAGCCACTACTTGTACAACAAAAATGAGTTATTATTTATTTCAATTGGGACTTTCCCGCTAACTGTGATTGGATCAAAGTGTTCAACCTCAGGTTGAAATGTCGACTGCTTGTACGGATGCTTAAACGATGTCTCTGACCAATTCAACTGGAAGCAAATTGGTCGGTGATTCAAGTTAAATAATCAGACATCTTTGAAGTATCTGCACAAGAAGTAGACATGTCAACCAGAAGCCAAACACTTCGATCCAATCACAGTTAACGGGAAAATTCGAAATTGAACTAGATAATAACTATATGACTATATCGTTTGGTGTTATGACTACTTTATTTAGTGGTATAAAATGATAACTATAATCATAATATTAATAATAATAACACTAATAATAAAGTTACAGTTAGGAAAACAGTTCACACAAACACAAACCCCATTCCATGCCACATGTACTGTACGACCTAAACCTTCATCTAGGCCACAAAATTGAGCTGAACTGAAATCAGTATTTGGAAAAAATCGACCATTATCAAAACGATGCACTGAAATGTATAAAATGCTAAAGAAAGAGGAAAAGAAAAGAAAGAAGGATGGATAGAGAAAGGGAGGATAAAAAACTATTACTATTATTATTATATCCTTTAATTCTTAGAAGAACATAGGGCGCCAGCTGCGTATCTCCATTGCCTTCGGTTTTCTGCCAACTTTTTCACCCCACTCCAAGTCTGCCCACACGCTTTCATCTCCTCTTCACATGACCTCCTCCAAAGTCACCCTTCCACTGACGACCAACTCGCCGCCCACTTCCCTTTCGGGTTCCACTCGAGCAATGGCTTGTCTAGTGATGTCACTCACTTAATGGTTTCCTCAGAGTATGGCCAATCCACCTAACTCCATTTCTTCCTGCTTATTTGTTGCACAATTGGTTCCTGCTGGGTTGGTTCGCTCATTGCCAGAGATCCCTATTGCTGATCTCTTCTGGCCGGCCATCTGATCTTGAGTGGGATTGAGCGAAGACAACTGTTAATGAAGGTCTGATGTTTGTTTGAGGTGCTCTTTATGACTCGCTGGCCAAGTCAATGATCCGTATGCAGTAGCACTGACTGACTTCACATTGGAGTTGAAAATCCGGATCTTATTTTTGATTCTGAGTGATGTTGACTTCCACACAGACTGAAGAGTAATGAAAGCCTGTCTTGCTTTTCCGATCCTTGCTTTGATATCCTCGTGAGTTCCGTAAGCCTGTAGTTGAAACGATGCTTCACAGGTAGGTAGGTAAAAGAGGTTTCTTTCAGGTTCGTCCCATTTATGCAGGCTGATTGCTGTCTGTTGTTGTTGTTGTTGTTGGCCAGGAATCTTCATCACCACATCTGTTTTCTCTATGTTCACCTGAAGGAAGTCCTATCTTTGATGCTTCTTCTGCCAGCTTGTTGCTTTTCACTTGCATATCTTCCAGTTTGTGGGAAATCAGACATATATCATCGTTGGCGAAGTCCAGATCCTCCAAGTTTTTTGTGTGAGTCCATTTTATGCCTGTTTCCTCATTGGCTGGCCGGTCCGCTGTCTGTCTCGTTATCCAATCTACTGCAATCAGGAAGATCATTGGCGATAGTAGGCAGCCTTGCCTCACTCCCATCCTCATTTCGAAGGCTTCCGTAAGTATAGTATAAAAAACTATAGAAGAATATTTTACACATATAGATGATGAGTTTATAATGATTTGATTCAGTTTACAACAGAACAACTAAGAAAAAAAATATGAAGCGCTGGAATACTATTTTGTTCTTATATAGTGAACATTCATAGCCCAGTGAGAGATAGACACAGGAGCAGACATATATTATTATAATATTCATTATTGTTCCCTTTAATTCGTAGAGGAACATAGGGCTTCAACCGCACGTCTCCGTTGCGTCCAGTTGTCAGCCAACGTTTTCACCTGGCTCCACGTCTGCCCACATACTTTCGTCACTTCTTCGCATGACCTCCTCTTCCATGTCACCCTCACAATGTTGACCAACTAACTCACCGCTTCCAATTCGAGTTCCACTCGAGCTATGGCCTGGCCTGACGTATGGCCACGTATGATGAATGTCACCAATTTGATGAAGTTTTGCTTTCTCAGAGTATGGCCAGCCAATCCACCTAACTCCATTTCTTCCTGAACATTCTTAGCCCAGTGAGAGATGGATACAGAAGCTGACACACACACACACATACATAAACATTATTTTTATTGATATAAAAGCAAGTAATCAATAACGAATGACTTGTCAGCCTCGACTTTGACTATACTCATCCTTCAAGAAATTAAATCGACACAGTTCTCTACGCTGTTGAACTGAAGATCTGGGGTTATCTAGAATGTATCTTTCGCATATAACACTCTATCAATGGAGCAATCATATCACGTAATCACTAAGGTGGGATCCGGGTTTGGGATCTACAGGGCTGAGGTCTGAGTACTAAAGCTAAAAAGTTAAATAAATCTTCATTGTATATTTCCTAATCGTTTTGTTAAATAATTGATTAGTTATTATGTTTCTACGAGTTGATCGCGGATTGTTATCAGTCAGAGAACCATTGAAAACCAGTACCAGAGTACTGGACAGCTGTTTAATCCTAGTTTGGGAATCATTGGCAGAACGCACCTGCCACAGGGGGGTCAAACCCAGGACCTTCCGGTTACAAGTCAAGCTAGCTAGTATACCATTCAGCCACTGGGACCCAGCTCAAAGACCCATGAATTCTAACTTCTATGAATTCATGATTTACCGCGACCGGAAGGTCCTAGATTCGAACCCCAGGGACTGCATACTGCTGATAACTCTCACACTAGGATAAAACGGTGTGCTGTCCAGTACTCCCTGTTTGTTTTCAATGGTTCTCTAACTGATATCAATCCATAATCAACTCGTAAAAACAAATCTAATCCCTGCAAATTAACTACAGAAAATAGTCATTGTGTGACAATAAATATGGAGGCAACACATCTAGTAATCTTAACGCATTCTAATAATAAGGTGTTTAGAATTCATTATTCCTTTCTTCGGATGTATTTATATTATGTCGGATTCCATGACGTGATTCAAGATACCTAACTTTTGTTAATTAATTTTATTAGTAAGGCTGGAGATGTTCATCTAGGGAACTGGATATTCATACCTTAGATTTATGAGGAATTCATCTGATTCCGTGGTGTATATCTCTTCAATGACGGACATTACCTTGTTATCACCATTAACAAGTCATTATTGTAGTAGTCAGTGATCAGGTATTATAGTAGTAACATTAAATATCAATAAATTAACTGATTAAAAATAATGCCTATTAAAATTTTTTCCAAAGAATGATTACTGAACAAAGGGTCTGTCTGTCTGTCTGTTTGTTTTCGACATAGAACTTTGCACACATATGCGGAATTTCAAGTCGCCACATTCCGTGTAGCACGCGAAGCAAGAGAAGAAAGTACAAGAAAAGCATAATAGAAACAGTGAGCATAGGTGTGAGACAAAGGAGTAATAAAGAAATACAAAACAGTTTCATTGAAGATCATAAGTCACAGGGAGTGGATGCATCTGCGCCACTGAGAACGGTTTTGAGCCATGTCACCAATTGTTTCCAACCATAGATTTTTACCGTCTCGAGGACCCCAGCCTGGAAGTCTACACTTTTCTAAGTGGCTTAGACCAACTGTTGTGGATTTCATTGACTGATGCCAAGTTTTTGTTTGACCGCCGCTAGCTTTTTTCCAGCCTGACCCTATATCCGCTAACATTGCTCGTCGAGGGAGGCGATGGCTTGGCATACGTAACACATGTCCTAACCATCTCAGTCTTTGTAGCTTCACGACTTCGTCGATTGATTGAACAAAGGGTATTCTTTTCGGTAACATCTTTTTCATCAGTTTCCATAGTTATATATCCCCATGCATAATAGCGAATGAATTAGTGTTATTAGCAGTATTAATGCTGTTTTAAGAATAATACAGAAGATTTGTAGCTCAAGTGAATGATTTGCAATTAGTTGTGTTCTTCTGAGGTGAGTGGTTTTAATTGCGGAAATTTCGTTGCTCTTCCCCACAACATCTTCGTCAGTGCAAGTTTTAGTATAAAGTGAACTGATTTATATTCTCCATGAATGATGATAGAATTGTTTCTCCTGGTAACCATCTTCGTAACTGATAGTCGATTTACATCTACCTTGATCATTTTTTTTATTGACTTGGATTTTGAACTTTCACGTCACATGTGATTTACTTTTTATTAGTTGTTAGATTTGGTCTATATTAACGTGTTTTTGTTAGTCGCCAATTCGCTTGAGTACCAGGCTTCAAAATCCAAGTCAATAAAATATGATCGAGGTGGATGTAAATCGACTACCAGTCACGAAGATGGTTACCAGGAGACAAAATTCTATCATTCATGGAGAATTTAAGTCAGTTCATTTTGTGCTAAAACTTGCGCTGAAGATGTTGTGGAGAAGAGCGACAAAATCTCCGCAATTAAACCAATCAGCTCAGAGAACACAATTAATTACCAATTTAATGATGTTTAAATAACACCGAATCAATTTTAATAATAACCTCGCCAGATACTAGCTTGCTAGGCTACTAGCTTACTAGTTTTCTCGCCGGTCCCAAGCCCGGGTAAAAAGGGAGGGTTGGGGCGTGGTGCTAGCAACTCCACCCCTGTAAAACAACCAAATCGCTACAGAAACTTCAACGAATAAATATATTAAAAATTCTAAAAACATAAGCAATAGCCTTACTTTTCGCTGGAATCGGGGAAGTGAAATGACGCAGGCTGGTGAAAGCCTTCGGGAAGCCAGTCAGCCGATGTGCCTTCTTTCGATGAAAGCAAAAGTAAGGATGGGTACCTGGAATGTTCGTACAATGTACGAAACTGGAAAGGCTGCCCAGATAGCCGCTGAAATGAGAAGGTACAGAATAGAAGTGTTGGGAATCTGCGAGAGCAGATGGAACGGAACTGGAAGGTGCCAACTACCTACTGGAGAGACAGTAATCTATTCCGGCCACCTAGAGGACAACCATGAGCACACCGAGGGAGTGGCCATCATGATGTCACCAACAGCAACCAAAGCTCTCATGCAGTGGGAACCAATCTCCTCCAGGATAATGACAGCCAGGTTCAACTCAAAAGGAAGGAAAGTTACAGTCATTCAATGTTATGCGCCTACAAACGTCTCAGAACAAGAGAAGAAGGAGGCGTTCTACAGACAACTACAAACAGTAATGGACAACGTCCCAAATGGCGATATCAAAATCCTGATGGGCGACATGAATGCGAAGCTGGGACGAGACAACACAGGAAGAGAACTCACCATGGGTCGTGAGGCCCTCGGTGAAATGAACGACAATGGTGAACTCTTCTCAGACTTCTGCGCCTTCAATGATTTGGTGATTGGTGGTAGTGTGTTCAAACACAAGGATATACACAAGACGACATGGATTTCACCAGATGGAAACACCAAGAATCAAATAGACTTCATCTCAATTTCAAGAAAGTGGAGACGGAGCCTACTGGACACAAGGTCAAGGAGAGGAGCAGATGTGGGTTCAGACCACTATCTAGTAGAAGGGACTTTCAAGGTGAAACTAAAAGCCTCGAGGATAGCTGGGGATAGGCCACAATGCAAGTTCAACACTCAATTACTGAAGGACACAACCACAAAAGACACTTTCACTGCAACTGTCAGAGCAAAGCAGGAAACACTACGCGACATCACTGAAGAATCATGCGTGGAAGAACATTGGAAGTCTCTGAAGGCGATTCTCAACGAAACGTGTTCAACGGTTCTAGGAAGAAAGAAGAGACAAGACAAGGAATGGCTCTCAACGGACACTTGGAAATTAATAGAAGAGAGGAGAATGGTGAAAGAGAAAATGATTCAATGCAAGGACGGACAGGAGAAGGAGACGATGAGCTCAACTTACAAAGCATTGGACAAAGAAGTGAAGAAAAGTGCTAGGAAGGACAAAAGACGATTCTACGACAATCTAGCTACTGAAGCTGAAAAGGCAGCAGGCAAAAGGGACCTGAGGACACTATATCAGATAACCAAATCTCTATCCGGGAAGAGACCAACACAAGCGAAACCTATAAAAGACAGCCAAGGGAAGCCCATTACCAAGGAAGAAAAACAGATTAAACAATGGGCGGATCACTTCAAAGGACTCTTGAACCGACCATCACCTGCAACCCGTCCAGAAATACCAACAACAGCGCGCACACAACTGCAAGTTGACACCAATCCTCCAACGAGAGCTGAAGTCTTGAATGCAATCAAACTTCTGAAAGCTGGAAAAACAGCCGGACCAGATGGAATACCCCCTGAAGCACTGAAAGCAGACCCAGAGACGACAGCAGACATGCTGACTCCATTATTGCAAAAGGTCTGGAAGGAGGGAAAGGTGCCTACTGACTGGAGGAAAGGTTACCTCGTGAAACTACCAAAGAAGGGCGACTTAGGACTCTGCAAGAACTGGCGAGGAATCATGCTCCTATCGACGCCAAGTAAAATCCTGAGTCGCATCATCCTGGAGAGATTAAAGGACGCACTGGAGACAGAACTCCGACCAGAACAAGCTGGATTCAGGAAAGGCAAATCATGTACTGACCAAATTGCAACTCTACGCATCATCATCACAGAACAAAGCATGGAATGGCAATCAAACCTCTACCTCAACTTTATAGACTTTGAGAAGGCCTTCGACAGCGTTGATCGTGAAGTAATTTGGAAATTACTCGAGTACTATGGCGTACCCCAAATATTCATCAACCTTATTCAACAGCTGTACGACAACGGCACCTGCCAAGTGATCCACAACGGAAGACTCAGCGAGGCGTTTGGAGTAAACACAGGAGTCAGACAAGGGTGCTTACTATCACCAATGATATTCCTAATTGTGGTGGACTGGATTATGCGTCAGACTGTGGGAAACGAGAAGACAGGAATATCCTGGACCGACGTGAAGAACCTAGAAGACCTGGATTTCGCGCGTGGATGACTTATGTTTGATGTCACACAAAATCGAAGACTTACAAGCGAAAACCGACAAACTGGTCGAAGAAGCAACGGCGAAGACAGGACTCCAGGTAAACATAGACAAGACGGAGGTTATGAAAATAACCAACCAACAACAGCAACAACATCCAACGTCAATCACCATCAACGGGAGGGATTTGAAAGAGGTTACTTCATTCACTTATCTAGGGAGCATTGTCTCAACTACAGTTGGAACGGACGAGGATGTCAAATCGAGCGAGAATCGGGAAGGCGAGAAACACATTCATCAACCTGAAATCAATCTGGAAATCTTCGTCACTCAGCATCACCAACAAAATTCGGATTTTCAATACAAACGTAAAGTCAGTTCTTCTATACGGATCAGAAACTTGGCGGGTCACAAAGAATATTTCCAAAAGGCTGCAGACCTTTATTAACAACTGTCTTCGCTCAATACTGAAGATCAGATGGCCGGAAAGAATCACCAACAAGGAATTATGGGAACAAACAAAGCAAGAACCAATCGCCCAACAAATATGCAGGAGAAAGTGGAGATGGATCGGACACTCGCTGAGGAGACCGCTGGGTGACATCGCGCGCCAAGCCCTCAAGTGGAACCCGAAAGGGAAGCGGCGTGTGGGACGTCCAAGGGTGACATGGAGGAGATCGTGTGAAGAGGAGTTGAAAGAATATGGATTAACATGGATGCAGGCGAAAAGTATAGCAGAAGACAGAAGAAAATGGAGACGTGCAGTTGAAGCCCTATGTTCCACTAGGAACCCAAGGGAGCAATAATAATAATAATAATTTTAATAATAATATCAATGGATTACTGTATAAAAGATATCCAGATAAATGCATCGGAAAATATATGGCTATGAGAGTTGAAAGGAACCATTCACTCCCCGTAAACAAGAAGCCTGTAAACATACGACTGCAATTCAAGGGGGATATATCTAGCGAAATAATTACAAAGAGGTTTAGAAAATCAGTTCAAAGAACTTTTAATATTGGTGAATTACAAATCATATTTCCTACACGACCGATGGTGATTACTCGACTGCAAGATGAAGTACCTAGACTAGCCACTTCTAATTCTATCTACCAATTCAGCTGCGCTTGTGAAGCTGTGAAGTTATATCGACCGTTGCCCCAGGGAACTTGATTTTTCGTGCTCGCTCAGGAACATTTCCCAGAATGGTTAGGTAAAACTGTAGTAGAAACCATCAACCGCGAAGTTAAACTTTCGACACCACTAACTACCAATCAGCGAATTATCCAATGAGATTCACGAACGATGTCGAATTATCCAATGAGGTTTACGAACGCAGTATAATGTTGTATAGCGCTTGATTCATTTCTGATGCGTGACCTTACAAGGCTATTGTTGCAATTCGAGGAGGTTAGTGTTTTCCAGTATTTCTTGGATTTGAGTTGCTCCGGAAAAAACGAATTTGTTTGTATGGTGGTATCATGACTTTAAAAAGCTATACCAAATCAACTGATGGGTTTGTTCATCGTTGTGCTACATGTTTGAAGCCCACTAACACTAGAGAGGGTAAGCTGATAATTTTAATATTTTGTAGGAACTTTTTTCGCTAGGTCGCTTCTCTCCCTAAGGATAGCAGATAGAAAAACAACTACTCTTACACCTATTATTACCAGACTTGTTAAGCGGGGGTCAATTATACACACGGACGGGTGAAAAGGCTACAATTCGCTGTCATCGCTGGGATATATTCATCATAGGGTCAACCATTCAAGTGATTTTGTGGATCCCGTTACGAGGACACATACAAATTCCATTGAAGGATTTTGGGGCAGGTTGAATAACAGGATAAGGGCTATAAATGGATCTAAAAAGGATCTCATTTATAGTCATTTGGATGAATATATGTAAAGGATATGGTGTAACTTCTCCATTGACAGTCCCATGCTAAACTGAGAGATGTTTCTCACACATGTTCGAGAAAGATATCCCATGTAACTTTTTTATTCCCTATTTTATGCATTTTTTCTATAAATATACATTTCCATTCATCATATATGCCCCTTTAATGTGATTGGTCCGTTCAACGTCGTTTGCTGATTGGTTGTTAGTGGTGTTTGAAGTTTAACTTTGCCCCATCAACAGTTGGATATTATAGACCAGTTGGTCGAAACTGGCCACAAAGCTAGCCAGCATTGATGAATCTTTGTCTATCATCTATCGGCTACAAAACAAATTACCAAGGTACCAGGTACCGAATTCTCCAAACAGCAGAGGCTATCGCTATTCACATGAAACAACCAGTGCTTTGTGTACAAAAGTAGCAAGTCCAAACACTACTACTGCGCTGGCCGGCCTTCAGTGGAGACTATAAATTGATGAATTTGTATTATTATTTTTCCTAATTTTTCTAATATTCAGTGTGCGTTGTTATGTTGATGTTGTCGAACTGTAATCCATTGATATTATTGATGATTCGATATTATTTAAACAACATTAATGCTGTTAATAACACTAATTCATTCATTACTGTGAATGTATAATAACAGTAGATCCTGATGAAGAAGGTGTTATCAAAATGGTCAATATTCTTTGTTCAGTAACCATTTTTTTGAGAAAAAAAATCAATAAATCTAGTTGGTGGATGGTGACTAGCAGGTGGAATCCAGGACAACGCTCACTTTGTCCTATTTGGGACCCGTCAGCTACTAGGTGTACCTGCGTTTTCCAGTGAGTGATGATGTTCCCACCGAGGTTCAAACCCAGTGCCCATAGTTTCAATTACATCAATAAATTAATTGAATAAAGTAGAGAAGGGAAATTTATAATGATACTACAATGATGTTATATATATATATATGACTTTACTTTGGATCATCTTCGAAAATCTTCGCTGTACCATTTCCATGATGAACATCCCAATCGATAATTGCAATTCTAGAATTGAACAAAAAGAAAGAATGACAGACAGACAAAAAAAATGGAACAATGAATGTATCTGTCAGTTTTTTTTTCATATTAAATAAGTTCAAAGTGTGGAATTACACATTCTATCACAGTGATCATGTTCTACACTTTCATATTATCTCTGTCACTCTGTCTATCATCAGTTTCGTCGTGAACACAGTAAATAGTGACCTACAACAACTAGTTAGCTCACATGGCCCCACTATGATTGACGGCCTAGGGGTTGAAAATACATCTAATGTCAAGTACCTTGGGCTGAGTCTTTCCACCGATCTTTCCTGGTCCTCCCACATCTTGCTAGTTACTGGAAAGATGTTTCGCTTAACGTTCTACATTAGGAAGTTTAGAAAGTCTAGCATAAAGCAGTCTTTGCTTTCTCAGTTTGTCAATTCTTGTATTCTACCCATCCCTCTTTCCTGGACTACTTAAGAAAGACTTTGCTTCGCTGAGAAGGGCACTAAAAGCCGTTAGTAGGGCAAGTGGGATATCGTCAAACCAACTGGTTAACACTATTGTGAATAGACATATAATGTCATGTAAGAAACTTGCAAATACAATATTGTCAGACCCCGAGGATCCTCACTCTCCCCGAAGCTCTCTCCTTGCATTTCATCTGGTAGAACTGGAAGCGGCTATAAGAGGCTGGCTATATGCTAGGACTACCAAGTACAAAAACTCCACAATATCATATCTGGTACAGCTGTTATGTGATGAGAAATCCGTTAGGTATGACACGATCAACTTACTGTGGCACTCTAACAAATAGTTCCCATTAGTTTTTGTTTTCCTTTCCTTGTTACTATTACACTGTTGTTCACATCTTCTATTACACATTCATTTTATATTTCATATCCTGTGGTGCATTGTTTAAAATGTAAACGCTACGCTGTTCTTTTATTTATTTTTTATTTATCTTCTTTTTTGGAGTGTTGCTTTTTGATTTTAAAATCTTATAAAATGTATGAGGTAATTAGATGCAATATATACTGTAATGCACGCTGAAAATTCCAAACCTATACGACAAATACTGTTTGGAATAAAGCTGTTATTATTATTTGATAAAGCTATTAGCGTTAAATAGCGAGACGTCGGTAAAAACAGTAATATCGTTTTGTTTTTCATTTATTGGGAAATACAAAAAAAGCCTTTATTATAAGGGAAGAAGTTGTTGAAAAACCGAAGGGGTAAATATTTCACACTTGTATCAAATTGTGTCAGACAACAAATTAATACCCAATCAACACTAATTTTAATCAAACATATTTTTTTGAATAAAGTTATTTTCCGTAAGTTGGATTCAGTTGATTTCAGGTGGATATAGACAATCGACAAGAAGATATCAAGACACTTAGGTTTCATAGGTGTGGGCACTGTGATCAGCACAGAGTAGTTATAACATTTAAAAGAACTAACGTCTTCATTGATATTCAAACTCGTATCATCCAGTGCTGGAATTAGAGAGGCTAACATTGAGTTATTCATCAGATTTGTCATTGACCTCCTGCCGGACTGTAATGCATACATGGGGTGTACAATAAAAAGTAACTAATTTTATGGTATAAGATGGTTGGAGGTAATCGGCCACTGGAAGCCTTGGACCCAGGTTTCGTGCTAGTTGGCATTCACCAGTCAGCAAGGCGTACCTGTAACCTTCAAGGAACTCATGTCCCTTCTGAGACTAAAACCTGCGTCACCCAATGCTGCAGTCAGAGACGTTACCACTGAGCTATTCGGGCACTGGGTGACGCGGGTTCGAATCTCAGAAGGGACATGAGTTCCTTCAAGGTTACACATACGCCTTGCTGACAGATGAGTGCCAACTAGCACGAAACCTAGTTCCAAGGCTTCCTGTGGCCGATTGCCTCCAACCATCTAATACCATCAAATCAATGTGCACCGTGTTGGCGAGCTAGCTAGAATGGTGGTCACATTACAACCTGACTGATAGAATTCAGTCTACACCAATCAGAGGGCTAGACACATCACACTAATTACTAGTGTCAAATCAAAAAGTAACTAATGTCTAATGTGTGTGTCAAATCATCGGTGTTAATGTGTTTGACTGAATTCTTATCAGTCAAGTTTGCGAATTTGACATTGGTTAGTTGGTTAGTGACGCTTAAGTGTTAGAAGTGATGAGTTCTGATTCCGAGTCTCAATGGGAATACACCACCGCTCCCTGGATTGAAGGGACCTGGCACATCTAGCTAACCAGCTCCAGAATAGGATGAAACGTACGTTTGGGCTTCTATTGAAAATGTGGGGGGTATTACTGATCAGATTTATCAGTAGTGCATAAAGAGAGGTTCATCGACATAAAAACATCAGATAGTAAGGAGAAACTTAATTAAATTTTTGACTTTCCCGTCGATTGATTGGACCGAAGTGCTCGCTTTCAGGTTGACATGTCGGCTTCTTGTGCAGAGAAAGGGAACACTTCGGTCCTATCAATCGACGGAAAAATCTAAAATTGAATTAAATAATTAATATGACCCATTGCACAAGAGGTGGCCAGCTCTCGTAACCCAAGTGGTCTAGTGGATAACGCTTTGGCGTTTGAAACTATGGGCACTGAGTTCGAGCCTCGTTGGGAGCATCGTCACTGACTCACAGGGGAATGCAGGTACACCCTGTCTGTCTGTCTGTTTTCGACATAGAACTTTGCACAAATGTGCGGAAGTTCAAGTCGCCACATTCCGTGTAGCACGCGAAGCAAGAGAAGAAAGTACAAGAAAAGCATAGTAGAAACAGTGAGCAGAGGTGTGAGACAAAGGAGTAATAACGAGGAACAGAACAGTTTCATTGAAGATCATAAGTCACAGGGAGTGGATGCATCTGCGCCACTGAGAACGGTTTTGAGCCATGTCACCAATTGTTTCCAACCATAGATTTTTACCGTCCCGAGAACCCCAGCCTGGAAGTCTACACCTTTCTACGTGGCTTAGACCAACTGTTGTGGATTTCATTGACTGATGCCAAGTTTTTGTTTGACTGCCGCTAGCTTTTTTCCAGCCTGACCCTATATCCGCTAACATTGCTCGTCGAGGGAGGCGATGGCTTGGCATACGTAACACATGTCCTAACCATCTCAGTCTTTGTAGCTTCACGACTTCGTCGATTGATTTCCCCTGTTTACCTAGAACTCTACGCCTAACTTCAATGTTGCTCACCTTATTATGCCACTTTACACGGGAAATAGAGCGCAGGCACCTATGATCAAAGACAGCTAGTCTTTTCATGTCTTCCACTCTCAGTGGCCAGGTCTCACAACCATAAAGGAGGACGGAGCGGACTGATGAGCAATACACCCGCCCTTTGGTCGATAGTCGAACATCTCGTCTACGCCAGAGTCGGCGTAAACTAACAAATGCGAAACGAGCCCCTTGCATTCGTGCTGAGATTTCGTCAGAGATCAGCCCGTTGGGGCTGATGGTACTTCCCAAATAAGTGAAGCGGTCAACGTGCTCTACCACTTCACTTCCTATTTTTAAACTAGGCGTCGATGTAGTCCAGTCCTGTAACATCATCTTGCATTTGGTAGGAGCGAATCGCATGCCAAACATTCGTAGATTGCGGCTCAAGGTGTTTAGAAGACTCTGCATTTCGTCAGCGTCTTCGCCTAGAAGGACTATATCGTCTGCATATTCCAAGTCAACGAGATTATTCCCCGGTAGCAAGTCAATCCCTGAGTCGCTGAAGTCACCTAGGGTTAAGTCCATTAACACATCTATGATGAAGTTGAATAGAAAAGGGGATAATGGGCATCCTTGACGGACACCACTGGTCGTCATCAGTTCAGATGACAGCTCGCCATAAGCCTTCACCTGGCTGTATGAGTACGAGTAGAGTGCCTTAATCAGTGCAATACATTTTCTTGGAATTCCCTTTACAGCCAAGCATCTCCAGAGAACTTCCCGATCGACAGAGTCGAATGCTGCCTTTAGGTCAAGAAATATAATGACTGTTGGACGCCGGTAGGAATTCCTATGTTCTAGAATCTGTCGGAGGGTGAAGATATGATCAATACACCCAGTAGCTGACGAGTCCCAAATAGGACGAAATGAGCGTTATCCTGGATTCCACTGCTAGTCACCATCCACCAATTAAATAAGGAGAAACATTTGATGTCAGACAAGACAAATGATACAGCGCTGTAAAGATGTATGGGGAACGTGAAAGCAACACAAAGAAACACACACACACAATATGAAGGCTAGAAGTACCAAAACACAAAGATCTGTGTAAATGGTGCGTTGAAGATAACATGTACATAATTTCGCTATATAGAGATACCAAATTGCAAATAAAGATTCCTTAACAGAGTCGTTCGCCTTCTACCGTTTCAATAACAACCACAAAACGCGTAAACTTTAAGTTAGTAATCATAATACTTTCGAGATATCTGTTCAAGGAGCCACCAGTTGATCCATTTCGGTCGGATCTACATCATAACTAGAGATCAGAAGTAAGAACAATTAATTTCACAAAACATAACACGTGTTATTAAAATAATTCATATACAATAAAAGAATCAGGTATATGAATTATCATTATTATTATTACCTTTCCAATCCATGTACTTGTTGTGCATGTCTAGCACCGACAGCAATATTATTAAAAAAACAAAATCCCATACAACCATCTTTAAGTGCATGATGACCAGGTGGACGAATGACTGCCACACCATTTAAACTCTGTTGAAATAAACAAACAACAAAGAGAACACAATTAGAAATGATTGAAATGAAAATTATACCAAAGTTAAACTACCTAAGTCCAAAAAAAACACAATGACCTTGAGCAACCACCAATCAGAATTCAGGAGCAAAAAAAGTTATATAATCGTTGAAAAATACACTATAAATATATATTGCAAACGTGATTTTACACTGTACAGTTGTAGCTTATTTGTTGTGAGAATGTCTTCCAGTCAATACACAGATGATTTATAAGGGAATCGTACTATGCGTGATATACCCATTCATTTAGGTGACTGTAGGTGGCGATACTTTGAGATCCATTGATATTTCTGACGCTAGTCTTCAACCTACACCTAGCTCTAACCACAATCCTAACTCTAACCCTGAACTTAAGCTTAATCCTAGATCCTGAACATTGATCTTAAAGGCTATAACCCTATCCAACAGTATAGATCTGCAGATAAAGTACCTAGTATCCTCTCCAAGTCCAAAAAGGTAGACATGATTCGATTTTGAGTGATATTTCATAGCATTCCCTGTGTCTGATCGGTTCTTCAGGGTCAACTTTTGAAAGGCATTGACTTTGGCTACGATACTTTCTTTTTGATTACAGCTTGATTCCACACCGTATTTTTTGGTACAGGTATGGAATTTTCAGTATGTGATATCGGTAGCCTAAATTTTGCAGGCCGACCATTGATATCAGGTGTGCATCAGCAGAGGATTGAACTCCGGACCATGTGCATGAGTGGTGAGAGTCCTAACCGCCAAGCCACTGACGCACAAGCTTCGCCAAAATTATTGTTAGAATAAATCCAATACGTTACAGTGAAGTTGTATGTTTTTACATAAAATTAGGTTATAATACTAGATAGTGATATCGACAGGGGGGGCGGTATGTGGCTAAACCCCACACGGTCAGAGAGGATAGTGTGAACTATATAAATATCGCCATGGTCATCCAAGGGTGACTTGGAGGAGGTCATGTGAAGAGAAGATGAAAGCGTGTGGGAAGACTTGGAACGGGGTGAAAAAGTTGGCAGAAAATCGAACGCAATGGAAATGCGCGGCTGAAGCCCTATGTTCCTCTAGGAATTAAAGGATATAATAATAATATAAATATCGCTGGTGTAGGTGAAGTCCATTAAGATGTACAAATAACTTGGAGAATTAATGGCTGGTGATATGAGGTAATCGCCAGTTAAATCAATTTAAAATTAATAATACCGATATGGATCCAGGAAAAGAAAGCAAAACAATTAAAAAACAAATTCATTAGGATCACTGTGATCAACTTTAAATGAAAAAAGTCACACACACACACAGAGTCTTAGCATATATATGGATATACATTACTTCCTAATACGCCTCAGAACACAGCTCAGACACTGAATGTCACGTAACCATTTTTCAGCGTGATTATAATTGAATTAACCCCGTGTGTGGGCTGGTATTCAGCAGATTGTTTTTCACTAAACAAGGGAAAATTTATTGCCTAATCGGGTTTTCATAACTGTCGTGATATAGTAAAAAGGCTAAAATTAAAAACATCATGTGTTTATTTGCACATTTGATTATGCGGTATTCTCCCCCATGAAACTGTAATTAATTAGTGTAGTTCATTTCTCTTGTTGAAATTTTTAATCGGATTCATCACTGATTTGTAAAATCACTAACTGTTTAAGATGGTGAAAGAATCCATTTAACTCAGGAGAAATTATCTGTATACCAACCAAGCCATGATATACACACTGTTTTATGGAATGATGATGATAATACTACTTAGGTTCAGTAGGTGGAAATGGACTCGAACTCAGGATCTACTAACTGAAATCAATGAGCTATATATATATACACCCAATTCCTGTAAATTAAAATATTTGCGTATATTTTCAATACTTATGTCAAGATTTTGCTTGCACATTGTTCAGACACTTTTGGTGTCACGATAAAAGCGTTTCCAACAGGCTACCGTAAAAGTTTAGCAACGTCTGCCTTCTTCACCAGTATCATAGTGAAGATAAGATTTTTGACTTTTTTATTACAGTTTAATTCCACACCGTATTTTTTGGTACACGAATGGAATTTTCAGCATGTGATATCGGTGGCTCGAATTTTGCAAGTCGACCGTAGACATCGTGTATGCGTGGGCAGAGGATCGAACTCTGGACCATGTGCATGATCGGCGAGAGCCCTAATCGCTGTGCCATCGACGCACAGAATAAGCAACAAGGAACTCTAGGAACAAAGCAACCTTTTAATGCTGGTAAACTACAAGTCATATTTTCTGCACAACCAGTTGTAATTTCTTAACGGAAAGACTGGTCACGTCTAATTGTATCTACCAGTTCAACTGAGCTTCTGGAGCGAGTTATATTGACCGTTGATCTAGCAACTTGATATTTTGTGCTCGGGAATCCCTACCAATGTGGCTAAATAAAGGTGTGGTGAAAACCATCATAAACAGTTCGATATCAAACCACCTGGCCCAAATCGGCCGGCCACAAAGCTAGTTAACATTGAAGAATTCTTCTCTATTATCTATCGGGTATCAAATAAATCGCCAAAAACATCCAGGTACCACATACGACAAACAGTAGAGGATATTGTGATCCACTTAAACCAACTGGTGCTCTATGTGTCGAAGACAACAGGTCCATCCACTACAACTCCCCTGACTTGCTGTGGAGTCTGCAACTTTATAAATACCGTATTACGTCGGCTTCTTTTTTGATATGGTCCTCTATCCTGTATGTATGAATTTCCCTACCAATCGTTGTTACGCTTGCGTTAATTAACCTTCTACCCAAAATTTTTTCCCCTTATCCTTGACATGATTATTCATTCGTCTGTAGTTTATAATCAAGATGAATGGAATTTAATGTGAACATCACTCGTGAAAATTTATTAGTGTACACTCGTTGTCACTCGTTCAATTTACTATTATAATTTTACATATTACCATATACATACATATATTTTGGACTATAATCGATTAACTATCTAATTGGTGGTTGGTTTGCTCCCAGAGATCGCTGTTGCTGATCTTTTCTGGCCGGCCATCTGATCTTGACTATTGAGAGAACACAACTGTTAATGAAGATCTGTCGTTTGTTTGAGATGCTCTTTATGACGCGCTGGCAAAGTCTCTGATCCGTATAGAAGCACTGATTTTACATTGGAGTTAAAAATCCAGACCTTATTTTTGATTCTGAGTGATGTTGACTTCCACACAGACTGAAGAGCAATGAAAGCCTGTCTTGCTTTTCCGATCCTTGCTTTGATATCCTCGTGAGTTCCGTAAGCCTGTAGTTGAAACGATGCTTCATAGGTAGGTAGGTAAAAGAGGTTGTTTCTTTCAGGTTCGTCCCATTTATGCAGGCTGATTGTTGTCTGTTGTAGTTGTTGGCCAGGAATCTTCATCACCACATCTGTTTTCTCTATGTTCACCTGAAGGAAGTCCTATCTTTGATGCTTCTTCTGCCAGCTTGTTGCTTTTCACTTGCATATCTTCCAGTTTGTGGGAAATCAGACATATATCATCGTTGGCGAAGTCCAGATCCTCCAAGTTTTTTTGTGTGGGTCCATTTTATGCCTGTTTCCTCATTGGTCGGTCCGCTGTCTGTCTCATTATCCAATCTACTGCAATCAGGAAGATCATTAGCGATAGTAGGCATTCTTGTCTTACTCCGGTCTTTACTTCAAGGGATTCCGTGAGTTTCTTGTTGTGGATTACTTGGCATGCAGAATTGTCGTACAACTGTTGGATGAGATGTATAATTGTCAGTGGCACCCCGTAGTAGCGAAGTAGTTGCCAAATGACCTCTCGATCGACGCTGTCGAGGGCCTTTTCAAAATTGATGAAGATGAGTGAGGTGAAGAGCTGACTGCTATTCCACGCTCTGTTAAATGATGATCCTTAGTGTGGCGACTTGATCAATACATGACTTGTTTCTCCTGAATCCAGCCTGTTCCGGTCGAAGTTTTTCATCCAGAGCGGTGTGTTTGATTCTCTCCAAGATGATGCGGCTTAGTATTTTGCTTTGGATGGACAGGAGCACAATGCTGTGCCAGTTTATAATCAATATGAATAGAAAATGAATATGAACGTGACTCACGAGAATTTATTACTGTACATTCGTTGTCATTCATAATCATTTATTTTATAACATGGGTGTTCAGTTTAGTATTATTTTACAATCATACATATTACCACATGCACCCACATAAATTTTGGACTATAATCTATTAACAATTGAATTGCAAATAACTTTAGGAATTCTGATCTAAATGATTCGATATTACAACATTAATGTTGTGAGTAACAATCATTCCTTCATGCATTTATTCCCCTTGATAAATTTGAATAAAGCAAGAACAACAATTGTGGTTTGTGCAGAATAATATGGTACCATCACTGCCTTATTCCGTCAGCTTCTCATCAGCTGCTGCTTACAGGCAGCCTAAATAAATTATGAGTTTTAGGTACAGAAAAGTTTTAACATACTTGCAAATTTTACATGTTGTCAGTTGACAGAAAGTTTCACAATTAGTGAACAGTGCTCAGAAAATTACGTTTTGGATATAGAAGTGTTTTTATGTATACAAGTGAGGTGGTTGGCGCCAATATATCACGATGTGATATCATTCGTATGTTGGAAAAATGCAACAACACCAACCATTAAACAGAGTAAGGGAAACACAAATACCGAAAAGAAAAAAAAACACAGCTACAGAGCACTTACACCACCTGAACACACTTCATCCACAACAGCAATGACGGAACCACTTGCCAAACGAGCACTATCATAAGTATGCTGAAAAAAAAATATTGGGAGTAATAACAATAATAATAGTAATAAAAATAGTGGGTTTACACTGTACAAAATGTTAATACAATATATAAAACTGTTAGAGAAGTTTATTGCATAATATTTTCTCTTGATTAAGGATCTTAAAATTCAAGTAAAATAACAATCAACACTATTTCATTTGACGCAATACTGTTCGATTATGAAGAATAAAATAACCGCTTGTATAGATGGTATTTCTCTCTTCTCTCGGAGAAATGCTCAGGAGTAGGTAGAAAGTCAGTTGAAAGAAGGCATGTATTAATCAGTACAGAATGGTTTTACCGCATATCCCCACTAAATGTAGCATCATTGTCCGTTGAAATGATGGTTTATTGATTAAAAAGAGGTTTTTTCCGGTGTACATACTATCAGTGGCATTCATGTTCTTGTGAACTGTGTTACACATTTGCTGGACTTTTATATCAGAAAATCTTGCTTGATATTGATATCTGCACAAAATTGTAATGGATTAAACAAGACAGTAAGCGCAAAAGTTAGACGTATATTATTGAATTTTCATGATATCATACGGATATAACTTTGGCCTATGTGTTTAAATACCCACCCACCCGATAAAGCAGATGGCACCACTTCAGTGAAGGAATATACCATATCATCATAACCGTCAGTTAAAACAAAATGAGATACACAGATTTCATGTATTGTATTCGATGGGAATTCAGGTAGCTCAATGATTCAAGCTGGCCGTTTGTTATAACTGTAGGGAATTGAATGAAGACGTTTTCACCTTGCTCTGTCTGCGCCTGAACTAATCTGCCTATCTGCTTGTCGTACCTTCCGATTTAGTAAAGCACGCAAATATCAAAAGACAAAGGCTGGACTGTGACTGTGTATTGAAGTGCAACAACGACAAAGAAAGCCATGGTATTTATACATTTTACAACAATATGGACAGCTAACAGCATTTGAAATAATTGATCTTAATAGCCAATAACAAAATGTGTGGGAATGATAATATACCATATATACAAGATTAACAGTCACTACCAAAATGTGTGAGAATGATAATATACCATATATACAAGATTAACAGTCACTACCAAAATGTGTGAGAATGATAATATACCATATATACAAGATTAACAGTAAATACCAAAATGTGTGAGAATGATAACATACCATATATGCAAGATTAAACAGTCAATACCAAAATATGTGGGATCCTATCACCGTTGTCATCAGAGAGTGAGTGAATAGTACATCGGATGATATGATAACTCATAAAGAGTGAACGCATCTTCACCAGACATCACAGAGAATCCTTTTGAGCCATACCATCACCACCACTATCTTCAGCCACTGACTCATGGCATCCTGAGGACAACAATCAAACAGGAAGTCTGCACCTCCCTACGTGACTGGCTAGCTTAAACTAACTGTTATGGATTTGATTGACTGATGAAGCCTACTAGCTAACTCTTTTCCAACCTGATCCATCCTATGTTAGAGGCTAACATTGCCCGTTGTCGAGGAAGGCGATGGCTAGGCATGCATGCCCAATAACATATATCCTAACCATCTCAATCAATTCACCTTCAAAACCTCGTCGATTGATTTTCCCTCCTTACCTACCACTGAACCGATGCCTCACTTCAGTATTACTCATCCTATTACACTGACCACCTAACATGAGAGACCGAGTGCAAACACTTATGATCAAAGACAGCTAGCCAGGATTTTCATGTCTTCCGCTTTCAATGGCCATGTCTCACTCACAGTGATAACGGAGGACGGAGTGAACTGCTTCTGTGAGGTACACACATCCTTTGATCGATAACCAGCCAGCCAGACGGATATCACGTCTACTAAGCCAGAGGTGGCGTAAGTTGGCGGACAAATACCAAAAGAGCTTTCTGTATCCATGCTGAGATTTGGTCAGTAATCAACCCGTTGGCGCTGGCTGATGCAACTTACCAAATACGTGAAGTGGTCAACACGTTCCACCAACCACTTCACTCATGCATATGCTTAAGCTAGAAGTGAGTTGATGTAATCTAGTTCTGTAGCATCATCTTACATTTGACAGGAGTGAATTGCATGTCAAAACATTCGAAGAATGCTGCCGAAATGAAATTCATATAGTGGTCGTTCCAAAAGAAGAATCAACAATGAGATTGACAAATCTCCAGTAGAAAAGAATCACTGGAAGATGATACTCCACATCAACCTATGGGGTTATATGACTAAATTTGTACCCAGTGTACGAGACTTTACCCTGAAGTAGGTGTGTACCCTGATATTATAATATATTTGGTTAAGTTTATTATTATTATTGTTTCCTTTAATTCCTAGAGGAACATAGGACTTCAGCCGCCCAAGTCTCCATTGCGTTCGGTTCTCTGCCAACTTTTTCACCCCACTCCAAGTCTTCCCACATGTTTTCATCTCCTCTTTACATCACCTCCTCCAAGTCACCCCACCATGGGACGACCAACTCGCCGCCCGCTTCCCTTTCGGGTTCCACTCGAGCAATGGCTTGTCTAGTGATGTCACTTGAGGGTTTGTTTTCTCAGAGTACGGCCAGCCAATTCATCTCCATTTCTTCCTGCAGATTTGCTGCACAATCGGTTCCTGCTGGGTTGGTTCGCTCATTGCCAGAGATCCCTGTTGCTGATTGATAGGATCCCACATATTTTGGTATTGACTGTTTAAACTTGCATTTATGGTATGTTATCATTCTCACGCATTTTGGTAGTGACTGCTAGTTTTGTATATTATCATTCTCACGCATTTTGGTAGTGACTGCTAATTTTGTATATATGGTATATCATTCCCACACATTTTGTTACTGACTGTCAATGTCGCACATATGGCATATTATGATTTCTCACACACTTTGTTATTGGCTATTAAGGTCAATTATTTCAAATGCTGTAGCTGTCCATATTGTTGTAAAATGTATAAATACCATGGCTTTCTTTATCGTTGTTGCACTTCAATACACAGTCACAGTCCAGCCTTTGTCTTTTGATATTTGCGTGCTTTGCTAAGTCGGAAGGTACGACGAGTAGATAGACATATAAGTTCAGGCGCAGACAGAGCAAGATATAACACTGATCTTTTCTGGCCGGCCATCTGATCTTGAGTATTGAGAGAACACAACTGTTAATGAAGATCTGTCGTTTGTTTGAGATGTTCTTTATGACGCGCTGGCCAAGTCTCTGATCCATCCGTATTGTAGCACTGACTGACTTCACATTAGAGTTGAAAATCCGAATCTTATCTTGGTTTGCTTTTCCGATCCGTGCTGCTTTGATATCCTCATTAGTTCGGTCCGCCTGTAGTTGAAACGATCCTTTCCAGGTAGGTAGGTAAAAGAGGCTAAGTTTGATATCACACTATTCCTGCCGAGACCTACACAGACAAGTGTCCACCATAGACTGAAGTGCTACTGCTTATTGTGATTTTGATGGATTGATTGATTGGTTGAATTGTAAGACACACATATATGTTAAAAATAGACTAGCTTTAGAATGTATGTTCTACAAACAAAAACGATGACCAGGGAGGGGGGTATACACACATGATAGGTCATATGATTTACAAAACAGATAAACAAAGAAAGAATGCAAAGAGCTCTATTTCATAATACATTTAAATTTGATGAATATATGTTTGTTCTTTTCACGAAGAAAAAAAATTTCATTGCATTATGTATGCAATTTTATAAGTAGTATATCACCACCACCAAGACCATCACTTACGCGATTGAAATAAATTGAATCTTCTACAGCGGCTAAATCATTCAGCGTTGATTGATCCACACTTGCTGTTGCTGCTATCCTGTTGACATATTCTTCTGTATGAACACGTAATAATTCAGCTTGAGTAGCATAACGTGCCTTTTTTAAATAAAATAAATAGATTGGAAAATTATTTAGATTTAGATGTATTTTTGCCTAGGGGTGTCTTTTTTGGTGCGAATTAGTACTATTCCATTGTGGAAGGTAGTTAGTAGGACTAGTGGTGTAAAACTCAGTCAGCACGTCACTACATTAGTAGAAAGGCATCTAAGTACTACATGCGAAAAATGGTCTAAAACCACCATACTCTTCGACCCCCAATACCCCACCTCTTCTATTCCCAAATCTCCCCTTGCATCGCATCAGGTAGAACCAGAAATCAGTACAAAATAATACATACGCTCGTACAACCAAGTATAGGAACTCAACGGTACCGTATTTGGCCAACCTGTGTTCTAAGTGACAGAGACAATGTTAAGCGTGAAACCTACGACTTGCTTTCTTGTTAATAACATAATTTTGGCCCTTGTTATTTCCCCCTTATACTCTCTTATTTGTACTCTATAGTGAACAACCTTCTTAAACATACTTAGCTACCTGAAATTATTAACATTGGCTTACTTTTTTATTCTTTATTCTATTCCTTCTTTTGTATATTTACTAGGTCCGACTATATTAGCACTACGATTATTACAAAATTTGTCCTGTCATTAACCTTCATGTAAAATTAGTTTTGTGGTTGTTTTTTGTTCGACAATATTAGCTGACAATCTTGTTTGTGAACGCCGTTATCACCATCTTAAAAATTTTGCATTATGCATGATTCCTCACACTACCACTACAAACACCGCATTAGAGCTGATAATAAAACAAACAACCTGAAATGTTTATTTTATGATTGTTTAGTGTAGTTCAATCAAATTAACTGATCATCTTGGCTATAAACATTCTTAGGAACATTTCATAACTTCTTGTATGACTATAGCTTTTACTGTTCACCACGCGTAAACATGTCATAGGTTCCACTACCCAATTCTGAGATATTATTTATTATTGTTGTTTATTTTCCTTTCTACTTCTTGGTATTTTTTCGCTTTTTTTTTGGTATTTTGTGTTTTTTGTTGTTGTTGTTTTTTATATTTATTTTATTTGTAACACTCCTTTTAAATGTGCGATGAAATTAGATGCAATATTGTAGATATGTATTGAAAATTCCACACTGTATCACGAGTACTGTTTCTGGAATAAAATCAAAATTGTTATTTTAATAAAGTTTTACAGTGTTATACATTAAGTGATGACAACGTTTCGAGCACAATTTATTACTACTCCTCATAATCCCAATATCGCGGCATTACTCACCCAACTTCCTAACTTCGTTTATATGGTTCCACTATTTCTCATACCTTGATTTAATTGGCAATAATACATTCCATATTCCATTTCAACAAACGCCTCCTCCTTCAAAGTAATCTACAGAGTCAAGAATAACCTAACAAAGGCAATACAGTTTCGTCTTCTTTGTATCACTGAAGCTCTGGCTGTTCGCATAGAAAAACCGGAGCTGTGAATACAAAAGAGAATTACTCAACCACTTCTAGTGTCATGGTAACAACTTTGTTGATTTTTGATGAATTAGTTTTGTTTGTTTGCCTGTTTCGTTAATTGCTTATAATTCTTGTTTGTATTCATGTAGAACTCTTACGTAATTTCGTATTATCTACCTTGTTCCTATGTGTATTCTAAGTAAAATTCACTAATCAAACTATTACATAATTTCTTTTAACAGCTGTTTGTGACAACTCATCACCTTTGCTACTACCTTAATTTCATTAACACCTGATTTTCTTGACTGGTTTTGTATTACGCAACTCCAATAACCAATCTTCACCTGCTAAATTAAAATAAGTATAACCTATTGTCAATTTGTTTGACAAACTTAATGTACACATACATACAAAATAACCCATACATATATATTTGCGATTGTACAGCTAAGAAAATGAATTCGCCGCTGGCGAAAAGAGACTCTTCGCTGAACTACATGTTTTGTTTTTATTTTCCATATCTCTAGTATTAGTGATGAGTCATTCCTATTGCACACGTTGGGTGTAGATTCTATAAACAAAGCATCAGTAATCAACCACTCTTTTCATCTACCTATATTGCTTTTTGGAATTGTTAACTCTGTCCCACCCACTCTATTGTGTGGTTGTGTGTTAATGCATGCAGTGCAATGTAGTGCTGAGTATTTTTCTAAATTACTTATCATCGTGGGTTCAATCATTCTGCCCTTAGCTAAACTATTATGTCCTGACAATCTGACTATCCCAGGTCTACTAGTTTGACTTATGTAGTCAACCTTACAAGTTTGAAAGTTGTGTGAGTAACTTGATATGACTATGATTATGAGTGGCAATAAATTGTGCTAGAAAAGACGTCATCAACAAATATTACTGTATAACACTGTGAAACTTTAACAAAATACATTCGGTCCGCAGGGGAATTATACTCTACCACAGTGAATAATAATAATAATAATAATAATAATAATAATAATAATGATAGCTTTATTCCAAACAGTATTTGTGGTACAGTTATGGAATTTTCAGCATGCATTACAATACATTGCAATATATTGTTACCTTATAAATTTTATAAGATTTTAAAATCAAAAAGCAACAACCAAAAAAAATAGATCGATAAGAAGAACAGCGTTGCGTTTACATTTTAAACAATGCACCACAGGATATGAAATATAAAATTAATGTGTAATAGAAGATGTGAACAACAGTGTAATAGTAACAAGGAAAGGAAAACAAAAACTAATGGGAACTATTTGTTAGAGTGCCGCAGTAAGTTGATCGTGTCATACCTAACGGATTTCTCATCACGCACATAACAGCTGTACCAGATATGATATTGTGGAGTTTTTGTACTTGGTGGTAGTCCTAGCATATAGCCAGCCTCTTATAGCTGCTTCTAGTTCTACCAGATGAGATGCAAGGAGAGAGAGGATCCTCGGGGTCTGACAATATTGTATTCGCTAGTTTCTTACATGACATTATATGTCTATTCACAATAGTGTTAACCAGTTGGTTTAACGATATCTCACTTGCCCTACTAACGGCTTTTAGTGCCCTTCTCAGCGAAGCAAAGTCTTTCTTAAGTAGTCCAGGAAAGATTAATGGGGAGCAGTGAAGGGGGATGGGTAGAATACAAAAATTGACAAACAAGTTTTAATCTTATATCAACAAATTAGTAATAAACAGGTTTATTTATTTTTTATTTTTGATAACAGCTTGATTCCACACCGTATTTTTGGTACAAGTATGGAATTTTCAGTGTGGATATCGGTAGCCCAAATTGATTGATGCATGCTGTACAACCGTTAGAGGTCGGGGTTTAGAACACTTAAGTGTGCACAACGTTATCATACGTCTCCGATATCTGGCTTTTTAAGCGAATCTGTGTAATCTATCGCTGCCGCCTCCAACGAATTGTTTGTATCTGTTGGCACTATCGTGTAGGCGATTTAGGATTCTGATGGTGCGGATTTGGAAATGAGATGTGGGTAGCCTTCCTCACGCCTACGTTCGTTGACCATGCATTATTTCCTTTTGTAAATATTACTAATACTGCTAATGCTTATATTTTCCATCCTACATCGTTGTATGTTCTCGCTTAAGTAAATAGAGGCTGGTGGAGAGATCAGGTAGCCGTTGTATGATGATTTCGGTGTAAACTAGCGATATGTTGTGATCACCGCATTCTGTGTCCAAGCTCTCGGCATCCTTATATCAACTTCACAATTTTTGCAAAATATATAAAAGGAATTAGTGGAGGCAGTTCCTTAATGAATGATGTCATCTTGGGGCATAGGCTTTGGTGACTGTTATATACCACTCACTCATCGGTAACCCTAGGACTGACTCCATACAAAAAGGAGAAGAGTAGTCCTATGAGATGAAGGATGGTTGTATTGGGTTAGTGTGTGCTAATGCATCACAAATCACTGAGTAGAGTTCAAGATACTGGGAGACTCGGGGCAATTCGAGAAATTATCACATACGCCTGAGAATCGAAATCATTAACGAATATTCTGTCGTTTCCTTTTTTCTCCTCTTTCGAAATGTAATGCGAAGGAATGATGAATACTTTTAGTAAGTATGCTGACCAGTTACGATTCCGTTGTCTCTCAAATATTTACTTCTCGTAGCGCACAATTACTGGTGCCCACACTGTTTCAAGTTAGCCTTTTAAACTAAACAATAATAGACCCTGAATAAAAAGTTTGCGACATGATATACTACTGACTAGTTGGTAATGAGTAGATAGTTACCGTTTATGGCAATCAGTATTCTTGTTACCCGAATAGAAGTTATCTAAACAGTGGACCACAGATTTGCCCGTTAGGGGCCGAGCAAATCAGAGATATGCCCGGTTCTACTTAGCTCAGAAAGCCAAACTGTTTTGCGTTCCAGGTGGAACACAGGGTTTCAAACTTGAGCTTTGAAGTTAACGGTCGCGTTTATGTTGTTCTTACAGCGTAGGATTGCTAACCTCACAACCAATCTCCCCTCTTTCCCAGGCTTGCGACCGACTAAGTTAGGTTTAGGAATGCATCGGTCAGGAATGGGAATCGGGACCACGCACATGACTGGTGGACAATCTACCCTTGAGCTACTACCACACACATTTCAAACCACACAGGTTCTGGTTAGCTTTTTGAGAGTATTGGTAATACAAAAAATCAAATAGATATATTACCCTGATCAGTTGCGTGTTTCTTAAAGAATACACTATTGAGAAGAGAGATTTGACTTCAACACTGAAGTTCGTACTGAAGATATTGTATAGAAGGGCAATGAAAGCCTTAAAATAAGACCGATCTAGCTAGGAGGAAAGAGAAATACCAAATACATCCACGCAAGCAACAAATCTCCTCTATTATTTCAGAGATTGAAATATGTTTTGGCTATGAATTGATACCAGTTCAGAAACTATTGAAAACCAACAGGGAGAGTACTGAAAAGATGATTCATCACCCTAGTTTGAGACTCATTGGCAATACACCCCTCCATCGGGGTTTCGAACACAGGACCTTCCAGTTACAAGTCAAGCTCGTAAACCATTCAGACACTGGGACCCGACTAAAGAAGTCATATCCAGTAGAATCCACCCGGTTGGGAATGAGGACAATTACTCATCGTTGTGACATTGGCTGGTGACAGTTGCGCTTAAGAAATAATCACGAATTGGTAGATAATATTGTGGTGAGAGCAGGCCGTGAGAAAATATGAGCAAGGCAGATTCAACAACCAATCACAGCAAAGTTAACGTGGCAAAATATGATTAGCAGATAGAGAACTCTATTTTTCGAGGAATCCCGAAACAACCAATCAGAAGCCTGCGTTTGTCTGCCTAACTTCTGATAAACAACCAATCAGATGACTGCGCTTGTCTACTTGCATAAGCTATAATAATGTATGTGAAATATGTATAAATACGTGTTGATTTTCATAATAAAACGATCTGTTGCCTGGCCCTTGTCTTCTGTTGTTACAATATAATTCATGGACTGGCCAACGAGAAGTCGGGTCCCAGTGAGTGAATGGTTAGTGAGCTTCTCTTGTAACCCGAAGGTCTTAATTTAGAAACCCCGTGGATGCGTCCTGCCGATAAGTCCCACAGTAAGACGAGACGGCTGACTGTCCAGTACTCTCTAAAATTCATTGGACTTCTAATTATTTCGCTTGTTGAATGACTGCAGCGTCTACTTTAGCCTGAGCAATAACCTGGTCGATAGTATCATAAGGCCTCATATATTAAAGTGGGTTTCAGAGATCTGGTAAATAAAAAAGTTCTATTACAGGCATTCAATCTAGTTCCCGCCAACTAACCAATGTAAAACTGAAACAGGCACGCACACATACACACACAGCCACACTTATTCAAAACTTACTTCAATTCGTTTACATCGACGTGATAGACCAAGTTCATCTAACATTTCATAAGCATATCTTATACGATTTGGCATTTCAGGATGAGTACTTTTGTAAAGCAAAGATTTGAAAAACAAACAAACATACCAGAAAAAAAACATTTAGTAAGACAATGAAGAATATACTACTGATAGACGACGAAATGTAAAGTAAGCATACATAGAAATAAAATCAAATTGGTCATATTGCAATTTGTACAGTTTGAAGAGGTGAATTTTCACCACAATTTCCTTTGCAAAACAAAATGGTGACTCTAGCAATCCAAAATGGAACTATATAAGGAACGAATGAATGACCTTGAGCAACCAATCAGATGAGTCCGTAGTGTATATAGCCGCAATTTATGGATACTATACGTCAATTAGGTAGTAAATTTCATTCAGATCTAGTATTAAGGTACTGTTTGGATAACTGAACCATAAAGAAGGGCGAAAACTTGTCGATGTGGAGGTGGGATGCATTTGTAAAGATGCACCGGCTGCATTGGATTTATCGACAGGTAAGAAGACTGCCAACGCAGGAAATCAGTTCGAGAAAGTATGCTGTTCTTGTTTTTAGTTTATGGATGCTGTAGGTACTTTCTTTGCTAAGTCGAAGATCCTGATAAAACCAGTTATACCAATGGCATTCGACTTATAGAATTTAGAATTGTTTGCATTGAAGTGGTATCAGTACTGCAGAGATATAACGTTATGAAAAATGAACAATATGACGCAAATACTTGGTGGTGTCGGTGTTATCGTTCATACACATGAAACAGTGCTTATAAACAGGATATATAATCGAATTAGATTGAGTGCCAATCAGTAGTGGGTTTTTGGATTATATGACACTACCCTGCAGAAAGTATATATCCAAACGATCCCTGATCGTAGTTTTTTTTAATTCCTTTACGTTCCCAGTGGAACATAAGGTGGCTTCAAGGTAGAGGCTTGGGGTTTCTGTAGCAATGGTGATTATTTTTATAGAATGGGGTTGCTAGCCAGCCTCATGCCCAACCTTCCCTCTTTAACTAGTCTTATTACTAGCTTAGCGAGGTAAAGGAGTGCTTCGGCTAGGGGTCGAACCCTGAAACACATGCGTGGTCGGCGAGCATTCTACCGCTGTGCCACCGACGCATCCTGGATCGTAGTGCCAATGTTTAATTACCTATCATCCATTGTTTACTCCTACCAGGAACAAACATTCACAAAGACCAATGGAGTAACTATAGCCAACTATCATCCCTGGGCTATATTCATCACAATGTGGCCAGAGTAAATCATACAGAAGATTTCCTTTATTCTTTCTATGGGACTTATATTAACTCCATCGAAAGTTTCTGGAACCATCTAGAAAAAACGATCAGAGCAGTATTGAATGGGTGAAGAGACACGATGATTTACAGTTATCTCAAGAACTCCTATGCGGACGGATTGGGAGGTTTTCTTGGAACATATATAAGGTTATCCTATGTAACTATTCTTTAATATCGCATTACTTTTATATACACGTTTATTCCAAATTATGCACTTTTACATCAGACGCCTCTGATTGGTCGATAGCGATTTGTCAAGGTCTTCATTAAGTCGTTTCGTTTGGGGTTGCTATAGTTTAGATTCATCAATAAAATTATTCAGTTCTGTTTGATACCATGACAAGTAATCAAAAAAGCAAACATAAATGCATTGAACTATATACTACTGATTGATTGAGAGATGAGTAGAGTTGTATACCCCGCAGAGACTAACCCCAACAGTGCCTCCTAGTCAGATCGAAGTGACCTATATACACCGGATGATGGTTGTTTCGCTCGTTTAGGGTTGAGATCATCAGGAAAAAGAAACACCACAGTGTGGTAACTAGAACAAGTGAGACTATGCTGGAGTTTCATTTATTACTTATTTTATAAGCAATAATATTGCAGCCAGATTAATTCCAAAAAGGGGTAATTCATCAAAATTCAAGTCTAAAAGTACTTGTTTAATTCAATTACATGCCCAGACACAAGGAGCCGATATGTTAACCTGAGAGACTGAGCACTTTGGTCCAAACAATCAACGGGCAAATCAAAAATTGATTAACAAAACTAACCCTTACAAACCAAACTATAGAAATTTAATCTGATGCTCGCTAGTGACTTACTACAGGTTGGAGTTTCCTGAGTTCTAGTGAGAAGTCATGACCAGTGAGATCCAATTAGATGTCACGTATGTGGATGGATGTCCCACCAACGACATTGGTTGGGGGCGCGCTAAATCACGAATTGATAGAAGTTAGAATTCATGGGCTGGCCATTGAATTGGGTCCCAGTGACTGAATGGTATACGAGCTTGCCTTGTAACCGGAAGGTCCTGGGTTCGAACCCTGGTGGTGGGTGCGTACTGAGGATGATTCCCAAACTAGGATGAAACAGCTGGCTGTCCAGTACTCCATTGCTGGTTTTCAATGGTTATCTAGCTGATATCAATCCGTGATCAACTCGTAAAAACATGACCTGATGTACAAGAAGTGGCTCTTGTGGCCCAAGCGGTCTAGTGGATAACGCTTCGGCGTCTGAAACTTGGGTACTGGGTTCAAGCCACGGAGTGAACATCATCACTCCACTGGGGGATGTAGATACATCCGGATGACGAGTCCCAAACAGGACGAAATACTCGTTGTCCTGAATTCCACCGCTAGTCACCATCCACAAATTAAAGTCTAAAAGGACGTCCTACATATGGGGTACATAGTATGACAGATAAATATCAATGGAAAACTTGTTGATCCTTAAAATCGACCAAACTGATGCAAGTAACCAATCAAATATATTAACAGCAGGTACCATAAGGGTAAATATTTGACTCTTATTGAAAACCGGTGTAAAAGTCTACCGGGACCGACAAGATAAACGATACTTTACTGTTAGCCTAGGCTAATACTTTCGATTCAAATTAATCCAAATGGAAGTTATTGTATTACATCAAAACAGTGTAGAATGCCAATGATGGGATGCCACTTACCGATCTTCTTCATTTTTATGATTTTCCATTCTGCTATCATAAACTAGACAAGTCCTGGAAGGGAGAATTAACAAAAAATGATTCTTTCTATTAATATTAGAAACATCAGATCAACACAGCTAACTAACACCCACCCCCACACGCACACACATACAGACTAACACTAATCATAATTGCCCACATAAACAGAAATCTTAGTAATGACTATTTAATAGATCAATGGATTTTCCTTATCATATGAAGAAACAGGATAGATGATTCGCATTCCGCTAAAATACAACGTTTTAGGTAAGAATGCCTGATTATGGTATCGATTAAATTTATACATACTTAAAATGTCCGATTGATAAGTCTGGACAGGATCGATCGGACATCATTTTAGCATTCTCTTACAGAATGCGAGAAACAGTGTAGTGAGAGCTGGTTGCAAGCCAAAATTGTAGGCCACAATTTACGTAAATGTTTGCGTTCCAAAGCGGGATCATGAGAGAAACAATAACAAAACTTAACCTTAGGGAACTCATCAACCAATCACAGCAGACTTAAAGTGTGCAAATACGATTCGCAGATATGTGGCTTAACTTTTTGAGAAACGGTCACAAGCAGTACAGAAAGAAAACAACCAATCAGAAGACGTTGCTTTTCCGCTGTGAATAATGATTTTCTCAATAAACAATCTGCTGTCTGGACCTTCTCTTCTGTCATTAAAATAGGACTTCAAGCTCTGGTGTTTTAGTAGAAGTGATTTCATTATTATCCTGAAGCCCAACTTTTCCTGTCCTCCTTACTTACTATCCACTGGTGGAACTAGACGAAACTGAAGCGTAAATATGTCGGGAATCGAAGCCGAAACGCCCACATGGCTGCCGAGCATTCTATCATGGAACTACCGACGCGACATTAGAATATGAACTCCTTGAAATAAATGCCTTGATATTTGTATGATTATTAACTTGTCGAGTCCTGAATGGGATGAAATCTGAGTGCGGCATACCACTGCTGGCAATCAGCAAACAATTAACCGTATTAACTAAAATTTTCCAGATGTATTGTGTCTACACAGTAAACGGTGAACGTTACACTAGATGTGATTTTTTTTAACGGAGGGAATAACTTGTTATACATTTCATTAACAGATGAGACGCGTTATTAGTGATGGTACCCGGTTGCTGTTAGAGCATGAGTGGCATTTAATTCTAAGACTCGTTGACTGAAACGTTGAGTGCTCGAGTTAACAATGAATTGACGTCTCTAGAACATCAGTGATTAAATATTATGCTAATAGAAATCAGTGATAAAAGTTATTTAGCTAAAAGATTTAAGAGATACACTGTATACAAGCATAACACTATAAATAAAATTTGGTGACTTTCACTAAGCTAAAATGATTCAACACGATCTTTTAGTAATTAATAGAGGAATGTATATATTCTTCTGAGAAGTCCAGAAAGATAATCAATAATTGTACATTCGATATTATTATCATCGTTCCCTTGGGTTCCAAGTGGAAGAAAGGGCTTCAACAGCAAATCTCCATTGTGCCGGGTTCACTGAAGTCCTCTTTGGCTAGCACCTTGATCGCTCATAGCCTCTCATCTCGTCACCATAGGACCTTTTCCATGTCACTATCGGACTCACGCCCAACTCGTCGTTTCCTAATCCGCTTCGACTCGAGGATCTGGTACACGATGTCACTCAGTAGTCTCCTGAGCATATGTTTTCAGTCTATCTCCAATTTCTTCATCACAATTTTTGAGCAATGGGTTCTTGATTGGTTCGTTCACTAATAAAGTTTCTTGTTGATAATTCTTTCTCGCCGGTAAGTCATCAGATCTTCAGTATGGAGCCTGCGAAAGCAGCTGATGAGAAACGTCTCCAGTAGCCTATTGGAAATGCTTTTTGTGACGCACTAGTCAATATCCTGGCTCATATAGAAGAACTGACTTAACACTGGTGCTGAAAATTCTAATTTTGTCCTTTATGCTGAGTGTAGAAAATTTCCAAACTGACTTCAGAGTGGCGAAAGTTAGCCTTGGTTTTACGATTCTGGTTTTGACACTTACATCCGTTCCGGCTGGAGTTGATAGTAATTAGTGCTGGCTGTTGTTGTTGTTGCTGATGGGATGATTGGTTACTTTTATCACCTCCGTTTTTGTTTTGTTCACTTGAAATCCTGTCTTCACTCGTTACTTCTCCTGCCAACTTGTTGATTTTCGTCTGTAAGTCTTCAAATTTATGTGACATATGACAACAATCATCCGTGAAGTTCAGATCCTATAGAGTCTTCTCGTTAGTTTCACGTATTCCTCTCTTCTCGCTTCCCATAGTCTTTCACATAATCCAGTCCACCACAATTAGGAATATCATTATCGGTGATAATAATAGTCGACAGCCTTGTCTTACTTCTGTCTTCATTTCATTCTTCATTTCGCTGAGTTTTCCGTTGTGGATCACATGACATATAGTATTATCGCATAGCTGTTAAATGAAGTTGATAACGATATGGGGCACTGCAGTATTTCATGGTGTGTTGAAGCAGTTTCTAAATTACTTCGCAATATAATAAACCAAAATGTTTGAATTACACGTGAAGTACAGAGAGTACAGAAGCATTGCAGTGTAACTGTGCGTGCATCAAGAAAAAAAATAACATCAATGATATGTGGAAAACAAATCCATGGTTAGAAATAAACAGGCCACAGGAATGTACAGAGCAAGAAAAAAGAGGGTTTTGAATAAACAAGGTTTAAAAGAGATCAAAACATAGAGGAAACATGTTCATCAAGTAGAACAGAATATTCATACATTGCATGAGATTCAGTTTTATGAAAATGACCAATTATGGCTAGCAGTGGAATCCACTGGATTCCACCAATTGTATACTAACTAAATGCCCGGACATCGTCGAAGCATCTGCACAAGAAGCCGACATGTCAACCTGAGACCGAGCACTTCGGTCCAATCAATCGACGGGAAAATCAAGAATTCAATTCAATAATGACCAATTATGCATTATAATAAAGATTTTTGTATTTCCCAATGAATGAATGAAAAACAAAACGATATTGCTGTTTTTACTGACGTTTCGCTATTTAATGCTAATAGCTTTATCAAAGTATTATTAAACGAGAATTTACAAAATCTCAGCATATATAAAACAAAGAGTTGAGGGGTGAGAAAAATATAGACTTAGTTCAACTTAAAAGGACATATTGAAAGTCAAAATAACAATGAAGATCATATATATCCAAACCAAGTTCACTTTTAACGGTTTGAAAAAATTTGGGCATTGGGTATATGATATTCATTATAATAGAGGTTTTTTGTATTTCCCAATGAATGAAAAAACAAAACGAGATTGTTTGTGTTTTTTCATTCATTGGGAAATACAAAAAACCTCTATTATAATGAACAATGAAGATTACTTAACCGAATAACAAAGAAAATAACACATCTGTTATGGTATCAAAACAGAGTTTGCTAACTTGATCATCGTTCGTCAGTCTGGGTCATTTTTCATTGTCAAGTTGGTCAACTGGTAAGGATAACAAAATCAAGTGTAGATTGTTGGATTTGATCAGTGTGTAACATTATAAGAGCAGTGTGTGTTTACATAGTGAACTTGCTTATCACATTCGTGTTAATTTTGTCGCTTCATAGGGGAGGATGGTGTTGTAACCAGGTCAAATTCTGTTTTAGTCCATCATTCCTATTCAGTTAAGACAATTCGGATTCCACTTGATATGAAGTGCTTCTGATGATATTAGACGTTCTTTGTGATTTTTGAAATGCTTTTGCTGGATGATGATTTCAATATTGTCAAAATCCATATTGTGGCCCGATTCTATGACGTGTAGACCACCATCTATGGCTGATGATTCTTCAAGCTTTTCTAGTTCAAATCGATTTCTCGGAAGTCGAACAGATGCTATACGGTGTTCATTTCTTCTGATTTTGATTTCTCGCGATGTTTGTCCGATGTATATCGCATCACATTCCAAGCATTTTATTTTATAGACACAATTAGAGAGAATCATTCAGGATTTGGTCTTTTATATGGACAAGGTTGTTTCGTAGTGTGTCTGATGTTTTGAAGAAAACTAATGTAGAGCTGATTGAGTACTCTTTTGATATCGTCTGACGTCTCTGCTCTATATGGAATGACGACTGTTGATATCCATGTTTTCGGAATGCATTTTCGGCCATACTTAATGTCTGTGTTGATTTTGTTGATGAAGTTCCTTGGATAGTTGTTTTGCTTTGTTATATGTAAGCTGAGGAGATTTTGTAAATTCCGGTTTAATAATACTTTGATAAAGCTATTAGCAGTACTAAATAGCGAAGCGTCAGTAGAAACAACGATATCGTTTTGTTTTTCATTCATTCATTGGGAAATACAAAAAACCTTCATTATAATGAATATCGTATGCTCAATGCCCAAATATTTTTCCAAGGGTTAAAAGTGAACTTGGTTTGGGCATATATGACCAATAATGGTTATAGAGCAGTAAGCAAAATATAAACGTATACTCCTTATTAGTGTTAGATGGCATAAAGCCGGCGATGAGAAGACCATTGAGTGGCATCGTGTGTCAGGCATACCCCCGAATGGAACCGGGACGGGAAACGCCGAGTTAGGCGTCGGTCTGAGGGTGATATACAGAAGATTATACGAGGAGGCTGAGATGATAGCCTATGGTCAATTGTGAGGGCAGCAAAAGAGGACTTCAGGGAACAGAATAAACTGGAGGTGTCCTGTTGAAGCCCCTCATATGTTCCAATCGCAACACAAAGGGATTATATTAATAATTATTAAGATAATGAGAATAAGGTGTACCTTATGAAATCATGCAAACATTGGTAAACAAAAAAATAAATAAATTAGTTCAATCAGTTTTATTCAACTTACCCAGATATTTTAGTATTACACGCTACAGGATGTGTCGACTTTAAGTGTTCTAATTTTGCATCAATTTTTGCTTTAGCTTCAGGTTTATGACCTCTGTCTGTTGGTTCAAAATTTGGTACTTTTATATCGAACCTATAAAAACAATAGCGAGAGCAAAAACACATTCATTTGAAGAGATCCAGCATATAGTTGAGATATATGCAGTAGAGGTTATCAGTATTTGATCCTTTCACAGATGTGTGTAGCACAATCTAAGTCTGTTTACATTAGACAATAAATCAGGTGAAACATCAGCTATATCGAATGAATAAATGGTGAGGTTGAAGGAAGTATGAAAGTATGGTGCGAGGGGGAGGAGAGGTAGTAAAAGTCAGAACATTATTGGTCGGTGGCACAGCACATGGTCCGAGGTTCGATCCCCGGCCACCGACTCACTCCTTTACCTCACTAAGCCAGAAAAAATGTAGCTAAAGAGGAAAGGTTGGGCATGGGACCAGCAACCCCATTCCGTGAAAATAAACAATGCTCCAGAAACTTCAAGCCACTAGCTTGAAGCCCTATATTCCACTGGGAACGTGAAGGAAAAATTATTATTATTTTTATGAAATGAACGATCTTTCAAGCATGAGAGTTCATATCAGGCAGAGAAATTGTTATCTAGACTGAATGATGCCAGTATCATTTGCAATGTAATATTTTGTAGATATTTTCTTCATTCCTCATTTCACGAGTAGGCGGCTTCTGCCTTCGACGGTCCGGCAGCAGCCATGCAGTTGTTTTTGTTTTTAACGAGGTGGGTTGTTGCTGACTTCATTTGAAACTTACCCTCTTTCCCAAGCCTACTACTGCTAGCTGAGTGACGTTTAGAAATGAAATAGCCTGGATTCAGACCTGTACCTCCAGAGTGGCTGGTGAGCATTCTACCGTCGAATTGTCAACGCGCAAAGATCCAACGATAGACAAATTTAATTAAAAAGCTAGCCATTTATGAATATACACATGCATGTACAGCTAAAAACGCATATAAAGCGAAACGAAGAGTATATGTGTAAAAATTGGGCACTATGGTGGTATTAAGTAATTCCATATTAGTTTATTTATTAGATATATCACACAGTGAGGAAACAGTATTATTTACTGGACAACAAAGTTTCGAACACAATTTATTGCTGTTCATAATCATATCAATTGTAATCACACGACTTGGAAACTTGAGTTTTATAGCTTTCTTTGTCCGCTCTTATTTGTCGTCTCAGGGGTAGTAGAATTTTCGAGATATATGGCTGAACAGGTGTTGAATCATTCCTATTACATCTATTTGCAGTTGACTCGATAAACAAAGCTTCTGTTATCAGTCTGTCCCTCCACCCTGCTGTTATTTTAGATTTTAAAACTGTTATTCTATCCTGTCCATCTTATTGTATTGTTGTGATGGTTGTAGATGACAGTTTTAAAATCTAAAGTAACAGCAGGGTGGAAGGACAGATTGATAACAAAAGCTTTGTGCTTATCGAATCAACTGAATGAAAATACGTGTATTGGGAATGATTCAACACCTGTCCACCCAGATATCTGAAAAATTCTACTATCCCATTGACGATAAATAGGAGAGAGAACAAAGAAAACTATAAAACTCACGTTTCCAAGTCGTGTGATTATAATTGATGATATGATTATGAACAGTAATAAATTGTGTTCGAAGCACTGTCATTCAGTAAATAATACTATTTCCTCACTGTGTGATACATCTAATAAACAAACTAACAAAAAGAAAAGACTCTGGCTGCAGAAACTAAGAGAGCCAATCCGACAATGACAAACCAGATAAGTTCTGGTAATACGACAACAAAGTTTAGCCTTTATCGAAATTATAACAATACTGTATTGTAGCGGCAGTCAAACCAAAACATGGTACCAGTCAATGAAATCCACAACAGTTAGTTTAAGCCAGTTAGTCTCATAGGAAAGTGTAGACTTCCTGGTTGGTGTCCTCGCGACGGTAAAAACCAATGATGGCTGGAAACAATTGGTGACATGGCTCAAAATCGTTCTCAATGGCTAGCGTAGATGCATCCACTCCTTGTGACTTACGATTTCCAATGAAACTGTTTTGTTCTTCGTTATTACTATTCTTTTTGTCTCACACCTCTGTTTACTGTCTCTATTATGCATTTCTTCTACCTTCTGCTCTTGCTTTGAGTGCTACAAGAGGGGAGTGTGGCGACTTGAACTGGTGTACATATGTGCAAAGTTCTATGTCGAAAACACACAGACAGTATTGTCCGTCTACCTGTCTATTCCTTTGATAATACATCATTTTCTCTCATCTCCTATGAAAATCAGGAAACCTGATCTACGCTACGACTTTTAAGTAGGTTTGAGAACACAAACGAAGTATCACCAACACCATCACCACCACCATCACAGTGTATTCACCTAATCACCGCTTTCTTCAACTTTTTATTTATTCCTTTACGTTCCTAGTGGAACATAGGGCTTCAAGCTAGAAGCTTGAAGTTTCGGTAGCAGTGGTACTTTTATTTTTACGGAATGGGGTTGCTAGCTATACATGCCCAACCTTCTTTCCTCATCAGTTGTATTATTGGCTTAGCGAGGTGAAGTAGTTAGTGCACCTTCAACCACATGCGTGGATAGCGAGCATTCTACCGCTGTGCCATCGACGAACAGCGGTGCATTTCTTGCCTAGACGTCTAGAAATATGAACTTCTTAACCGATTCCTTAACTGAATAAACACTAGAGTACTGCTAATTAACAATACAGGTTGAAAGAAAAATTTTTTAAATATGGAATTCAAAATTTTATATAAGCTTCGATTTAAATATGTGGCTTGACTTCCTATGAGAAGAGGATTAAAGCATAGTGTGACTGGACCCAATTGAAGAGGGGAAATTAAAGCTAAAAGATTATTACATACAAACGAATTAGCTATAACAAGTCATACTAGTTATGATATTTTGAATACATCTGATAACTCAATTAACATGTGAAAATATCAGAAATATTTATAATGCATAATGATTGCAGATGAATGTTACAGGTATTCGGGAACATTTATTTCCCAATGTGAATTTAAAACAATCAACAACATTCTACTCATACTATCTTAATCTTAACTTCGCAATAGAACACGAGGAAAATGATACCGTTAAATTCCCAGATATGAAAAGGACTGATGGTACAATAGAAAGATCTATATTTAGCAGTCGTCATAGACAGGACAGTACGTCTAAGAATGCATATCTTAAGAAGTTCATCAATAAATACTGTAGAGAAATGAGATCCAGTATAACTATCCAAACAGTTCCGAAGAAATATGTCTATATCAATTTGCAATTCAAAGGAGATGATGTACAAGACGTAGGCGTCAAACGAAGACTCGATAAAGCTATGAAGAGAATTTATTATGCTGCCAAACACCACCGAGTGAGTGTTTCAACAATCTAGGAACAACCAGTAGACAATCTTCGACACTTCAAACTATGCATATTAATTTGTGTGTGTTTGTGGAAACAAGCACATAGATCGCACAGAAACGTGACTGTTTACTCTCATGATGCAGCATTTACCAAGGTGGTTGAAAAAAAACCCTGAAGTCAAAACACCTAAAAGTTCAATAACAAAGCATCTTGTAAACTACAGACATGATATTGACGCTGCCAGTCGAGTCATTCACTATTGTCAGCGAGCAGACAAACAAACAGGAAGATGCTTGTAATTGCCAAGGGGACTTGTGTAATCAGAATTTATACACCAGGTCTCTGTGTGTACAAAAGGAAATGGTCGTCACTGTGAATCTATAATGGTAATATGTTTTACTTACTAACTTATTATTGATATTTTATTCTACCTCATATTATTACTATTTCTAATTCATTGAAAACTGTCATTTATCATTACCATTACTATTATTAGTACTGTTATTACTATTACTATCAGTATTATTTAGTTCACAATTGTTGATATATTCAAGCTCTTACACTCACCGATAACTAACCAATTGCTCATTTGAGTTAAGTGATGTAATTGAACCGAGTAATGCTTTTTATCTTAATTTTATATCACTCCCTGTATGTAAAGTATTCGGCTGAAGAAGAGTTTTCTACCGAAACTTGATGAATTCGTTAAATCCTGCCCCTGTAATAACACCTTCTGTTACTTGTTTTACAGGTATCTGCACAGTGGCAGTATTGCAAATTTCCGTTCTAGCTGATACATGGATATTTTGTCCTTTCATTTGTAATATATTACCCCCACCCGTTTTAATTTCTAAACCTCATTACCACTGTTACTGACTTTACCAACGCTCAATTTCTAGTCATTTATGTTACGTCATCCAAATTATTTTAGTCCCAATTTAAGTGGCATCATTCTCTACTCCACCTTTATTTAGTCTCTACCTGTTATTACCTCTATTGCTATCTTGACCTAAGTTAAAACATTTTAGCCAGTTATATTACGTCATCCAACTTGCTAACTCAATCTTACTTTAGTTGCTATCTAATTAACCACGTTTCTATATTAGATCATTCTTATATTACCTAATTAATTATCTAAACTCGACAAACCTCAGGTACACACACACACACAAATTAATTTTGTTCGTTTGCCTGTTTCGTTAATTGCTTATAATTTTTGTATTTGTCTAGAACTCTTACGTAATTTCGTATTCTCTACTTTGTTCCTATGTGTATCCTGAGTACAACTCCATTAACAAACTATTCATATTATTACGAAACTCCTTTTTAACAACTGTATACGACAACTCATCACCTCCGTTACTACACTAGTTTCCTGAACACCCAATTTTCTTGACCGTTTTTGTATTACGTAACTCAATCTGGAACTTACTAATTATCACCTTTTTAGTTAAAATAACCATAACCAATTGTACAGGTGACCTTGACCTGTACACAATCTGACCTGTATTGTAATTATTCATGCCTTCTATAAAAACTGTGTATGACAAGTACATGTGTGATCAGAATGTTCGAAATGTCTTGCGCCAATACATTACACGTTTCAGATAAACTACGTCTTCTTATTATGTTGTCAAAATTCATAAAGGGAACTGATTGCTTTAAATAAATTCTAAGGCTTGACAGTGTCTTCAACTTCTTAATTGTAGTGATATGCTCTACATGTCACCGAACCTACGAGGATGAGACGTACACACGACTCTCTCTCTCTCTCTCAGGTATCATTCTGGAAAATACGCTCAGGAAATATAGTCGTGTGTTTACAAAGAGTATGAAAAGTAAGTAATTGTTAAAAAATAAAAGAGATTTCTAAAATCATAAACTTACCAACTTTGCAATTTTAAATGACTTATATCAGGGAATGGAATAATACTCGACACTGGATATAAATGTAACGATTTCCATCGGAAACTTAGCGTAGATACACAATTCGATATTGTCTGTAGAACACTGTTAGAAGATTTGTGTAGAAAAAGACGAAAAGAGAAACATTAAAATATTATGTAATGCATATAAACGTTGAAATATATTTTTTCTGCATGTTCATAATAGACAAAGGGAGTCTTTATCTCAAAATAAAGATATTATAAGTTTTAATTGTTAACAAGAATCAGAAGTTACTTAGGCAGGCGTCAGTAATTACAAATCCTTAGAATTTGAGTTAAGTTACACGAGAGGTATTTCGTCTTAGTTTGAGATTCTTAGGCAGTACACACCCCACCTGGGGTTCGAAACCTGAACCTTCCGGTTACAAGGCGAGCTCGTGAAATATATTTATTGCAATCGCCAGCTAGTGTCTCAGGCAAGTAATTGTCCCCTTACCTGACTTGGTGGACCCTGCTGGTTACAACTTCTCAGTAGAACTCCAAGTACCTTCTTGTATAGAGCCACTCTCTAGAAAGCATCATATCAACTGTTAAGTGTTGGTTTGATTTCAGCTCGTCACCAGTCCTGTAGCCGATGTAATCCCTCTAAACCAACTCTTGTTTCTTGGGTAAATCTAAATTGAGCGTAGCATCAGCCTTACTCTCTAAGTGTTTATCGATGAGGGAGATTGAGCAGCCATTCTTAATTATACTATTTCTGAAGGATTCCAATTTCTCCTACTCAATGTATCTTCCATACACATGCTAGACAATCAACTAGCAAAAGAGACGACGACAATTCCATTTTATGGTTATTGATTGAGAAAAATCTATAAACTTTTATTAGCTGTCCATTGCATTTTGGCTCGTGAAATAATTGATCTTGTTCTTTTGACAGTTGAACAGGTGAGTCTAAACTTTAATTACCAAAATGTAGCAACCGATCGGTGACCTTGAATGCAACCAATCATGTGATAAAGGTGACTTTTATGCCTAGACTTATGCTTTTACACTAACTCGAATTAACCCTATTATCGCTCATATTACTTTAACCTAACCCCAAAACAGTCCATAGCCTAAAACATTACCCTTAATCTTTCCCAAACCTAATATGAAACTTACCACCGGATATCTCGTTTAAATACCACAAAACTTCATTCGGCATATTTTATTAACCAGGTTTCACTAACTAGCACAATGAGTGTTTAAGTTTCATTGGTACAGAGTCACACTTCATTGGGTACTTACTTACTTACTTACGAGTTAAAGTTTAGCTTGGCCTCTGAACATGTTAGAAAGAATAATTTACCTTTCCTAGTCAACTTAAATTTTTGAAATTGATTAATCTACTGTTTTCAATTAGATAGATGGCAGAGAATGGTAATAAGCATCATTTCTTTCCATCCACACACATTGAGTAGTTGAATGATGCGTTAAAAATAAAATAAGATACTTGTTTCCTAAAAATGCTTAAGATATGACATCAAACAATGTTTTGTTAATATCAGTAAAAAGTTTGAGCATTGTGGATTAGATCAAATAAAGTATAATTATATTTCAATAGGGCAAAGTTAAACTTTCGCCACTACTAACAACCGCTCAGTAAACGACCTTGAACGGACCAATCACATTAAAGAGGCATATATGATGAATGGAAACGTATATTTATAGAAAAAAGCATCAAAAAGGATAAAACAGTTACAAGGGGTATCTTTCTCACACATGTGAGAGAAACATCTCCCAGTTTAGCATGTGACTGTCAATGGCGAAGTCACACCATAAATGAGATCCTTTTGAGATCCATTTATAACCCTTATTTTGTTTTTCAAGAGGCTCCAAAAACCTTCAATGGAATTCGTATGAGTCCTCGTAACAGGATCCACCCAGCAAACAAGTGATTTTCGCTATTTTACACGAAGCAATATCTCTGCGATGTTGGTACCACTAAACTGTTGGGACGAGACTATTCTCCGTCTCGGCAGCTGCTGCTCTCACTGGCTGTTTCAACACTCAGTAGTTGCAGATATACAAAATCTGGGTTAGGGAGAGATGCTACCTAGCGAAAAAAGTTCCTAAGAAATATTAAACTCTTTAATGTTAGCACGCTTCAAACATATAGCACAACGATGAACAAACCCATCAGTTGATCTGCTGTAGCTTTTTAAAGTCATGATACCAACACAAGAGCTCCTTCAGGAGCAACCCTAAATCCAGGAAATACTGGAAAACACTGTCCTCCTTGAATTGCAACCGTAACCTTGTAAGGTGACGCATTAGAAATGAATCAAGCGCTCTACAAAATTGAACTACGTTCGTGAATCTCATTGGATAATTCGCTGATTGGTAGTTAGTGGTGTCGAAAGTTTAACTTCACCTTCAATAGTTTACACACACTTATCATTGTGTGTAAACTATTGAAATATAATTATACTTTATTCAGTGTTTTGTTCTTCGTCTAATTATCATCTACTATGTAATATCCTTATAACATGGATGAGTTCCATTGTGCGTAAAATTAATTTTGATAAGGCCTCAAAGTGTCATATAGTAACATTTATGGATGATGTGCTTAGAGCACAATTTATTGTCACTTATAATCGTAACACGTCCCTTTGCTGTAATTTTATACTATATTATTTTCAAAAATTAAGTAGTACGAAAATTAACGCAAAATTGTATACAATAAGTTCACCGAAGATACAAGCATTTAAACAAATGACAGACAAGCAAACTTCTTCATCGGGTGCATCATAGTGACAAACTACCTAACATGGAAGGCATACTGCAAAGGTGATTGAAACAATCCAGTCTGCATCAACACCAAGGACTAGAAGCATCAAATTTAGTTATTGCCGTCATTGTCCAATGAAACGCTATTTGTTCTTCCGTAATATTATATTCTTTTTCCCTCACTCACACTTGATTGCTTTTCTGAAGGTTAAACCTTAAGATTATTCCCTGACCACAGCAGTGCAATCACAAATGTCATAACCGAATCGTAAGGACAGATTACACAGATTTCAACAAAACAAAGATCCTGAGGAAATATTACTTAAATGTGAATTAATTATTATTAATCTGAATGTGAACATAAGTATGAGTGAATTTTCCAACTATAACAAAACGAACCACCAATTGAGTTAAGCGTGAAATCCATCACGATGAAAAATATGTATGTATCAATGAAAACCAATAATGAATAGTTGATTACAAGCTTCGAGTTTTGAGGTATTTCGGTTCTGAACAAAGAATATTCTTTTCGATAATTTCTCCTCTTCAGGTTCTTACAATGATAAAATATAATATTTCATGTCGTTACAATAAAGGCCAGTTATGCGGCGGCGGATACATTTTTAACACAAAATAACAGATTAGTTTAGTTATGGGGTGTCAAAATAAATAATCGTATTTGAGTGTGACAAACATTGTGCTAGGCTGAAATCGATTACCAAAATATTGTAAAACAGGACACAATCATAATAGATTTGTTGAGTGTGGGGTAGGAGAATAGACAAATCAGTTCAAGGTTATAAAAAGTGTCAGGTGAGTGGAGGGGCTAGTACAAAGTGGTCTGAGTTAAACAGGAGATAGTAAGACTGCAATGAGAGAGGGGTTCATAATGAAATAACGAATATGTGAAATGAAATAGGTGGAGGCATATACTGAGAAAACAGATAATATCATTAATGATAATAAGTCCGGATAGTATAAGTGGTAAATTCGATAGTACTGAGGGAATGTTTGCATAAAGGGCATAAAATTATGACGAATAATAATATTTATAATAATAAGCAAAGTAAAAAAAACAACGACAAAAAAACCAAGAGGGTTAAGGGGAAGGAGCACTCTTGGTGAGGAGAAAAATCTTCAATCCAAGGTTGGTCACGTTAGGAAAAGAGTCTGGACGTGTTCTTTTTGGGTACAAAGTTCCGGTTTAGTCGATCTTATTGCAACAGCTTCAGCTATGTGTAGGAGACGTAAGCGAACTGTACATGATAACGACTTCGGAATTCGGTACATAACTCTGAAAGCTGTGTTGACATCGATGCGATGTCCAGGATCGACTAAGTGTGACAGTATCGAGCTTATTATGTACTTAATTTCCCCTTGCTGAACCAAGCTGGTAAATGTTCTCGAACCCGTAGACGAACCTGCCTAATCGTGCGCCCTATATAACTTAAGCTACAGGAACAGTTGAAATGGTATATGCATGAAGAAGAGCTAAGGTTAGGTAAGACATCTTTGAGTTGCTGGGTGAACATTGGACGGCTACTGAAGGATAGACAGAGACGTGCAGAGTAGAAAGTTTTCTTGATCGCCCTGATTAAACGTTGCGACAGAATCTCCGCAGGAGTATCTCCTTTGAATTGGAGACATAAAAACAAAGGCTTTTTTCCACCGTTTCCAGTTCATGTTAACGACTATGTTGGCTTCAATGAACTTTCTCTGGATATCTGTTCTCGCTTAGAATGTCTCGGATGACCTGGAGTTCTTATTCTACGCAGTCTTCGGAACAAATAGACCTCGCTCTAAATGCTAAGCAGCTGATTAGATTACGTTTGTATTTCATCGGTACGAAGCTAAAGAAGTGTGTATACTGAGCTTTGGTCATATATAAGCAAGGACTAAAGACATAGAACAAAACAAAGTGCACAAAGATGTGGTACATTGTTAAATATAAATAGAATGAGAATTTCTGTAAAGTATATCATATTAAGAAATTGGCGCAAAATGTAACTTATACTACTTATTATCAGCAAGTAGAATGAAATTTCGCTCAAAAAAGAAATAAGGTTTAAGAAAGTACGGACACCAATCCATGTTATCGGCGGGAAATCCAACCTCACTCCCATATAGCATGAACGTCACTGGTAACGACTTTTCAGGAGTTTGATTTTTAAGGATTAGGTTTATTTTTTGAGTTTGACCACGGTTTGATATCAGTTAGAGAACCATTGAAAACCAGGGTTCCAGTGGCTGAATAGTATACCAGCTCGCTGGCTTTATAACTGGAAGGCCCTGGGTTCGAACTCCAGTGGGTGTGTACTGACGATGATTCCCAAACTAGGATGAATAAGCTGTCCAGTACACCCAGCTGGTTTTAAATAGTTCTATAACTGATATCCGAAAAACAGACCCAATCCTTACAAATCAACTCTTGAAAAGTACATACAATCAGAATATCTCTGGATCGTTTAACATTCGTGAATATGATTGGGCAGACAGACAAAACGACGAGGTGAGGCGACAAAACCGGGAATAAGCTAACCTTGGATTAATTGGTTTCATTGGTTCTAAAGATGGCATGGGATCACCAAGTAAAGCGGATAAAGTATGACCAACTGATTCACCTAATGAATCCAAATAATAACCACCCTAGAGATTGTGGAGAAAATGAAAAGAAAACGATGTGAATACATAAACTGCGACGATAAAGAATTGCATAATGTACAGTTTTAAATTAGAAGTTAATGGATACGCCAAATAGAAATTCCAAAAGAGTGGATAGTGAATATTAGTCAATCGACGGGAAAATCAAAAATTCAATTCAATAATTAATATGACCCGTTGCACAAGAGGTGGCTCTCGTGCCCCAAGTCGTCTAGTGGATAACGCTTTGGCGTTTGAAACTATGGGCACTGGGTTCGAGCCTCGGTGAGAACATCATCATCACTCACTGAGAAATGCAGATACATCCAACTGACGACTCCCAAATAGGACGAAATGCGCATTGTCCTGGATACCACTGCTAGCCACCATCCACCAATTGTATACTAATTAAATGCCCAGACATCGTCGAAGCATCTGCACAATAAGCCGACATGTCAACCACCTGAGACCGAGCACTTCGGTTCAATCAATCGACGGGAAAATCAAAAATTCAATTCAATAATATTAGTCGTTCCCTATATTATTACCACTTACAACTGCCTCAAAAAGTTAGTAATATGAGAGCATCGAGAGGTGGATTAGCAATTTTCGAGCTTTGCTCGTTAAGGGATTCGTTTGAATTTTAAGAGAGATTTTATGCCACATCACTTACAGAAACATTTATTACAGCGACAGGGATTGAAGAGCTGTTTTATCCTAGATTGTGACTCTTCATCGGCAATCAATCCTCACTGCACTTAAGAACCCTCTATCAGAGACCGAAAATCAGGTTCTTTGGTTCAGGAAGTAAAATCCATTGGACATATTTAATCATCCATTTAGAATTAGATGCATGACCTGTGGAGAGTCCTAAACTAGGAGGAAAATGAAGTTCACAGCTCCCTGGTCTACAATGTTTCTCCGTCTGATGTTAGTTAGAGACAAAACCTACCCTGTGGCTAAAATATATCCGAACAATAAAGTGAGACGCCACATCTTCTCACCTTACTGGATAGAGGAACTTTAAAGACGAGGTAAACGGAAAATGATGTGAAATAAGGAAGGAAAATGTTTGAATACATATTATGTTGCAGAGATTCTCCAACGATGTCGACGGCTTATTAAAATATCAACTTATATAACCAAGAAGCGTAAACCACCACCCCAAACAATTTGTATATAGACAGGGTAGGAGTACTTTAGACGCTGCAGCCGTCTTACACAACAGTATCGTCTAATCATTAGATAAAGGTGCCAAATGCGTTCGCTACACGTTTCTCGACTTTGCTTCTGCTTTCGACTCTGTACCTACCTATATGTCCTTGCTAAATAAGCTCTCGATGACACAAACTGAGTCCTGGGTCACTAACTAGTTGCATTCCTACTTCTCAAACAGAATACAGTACACTGTATACCAAGGTAAATCCTCCTCTGCTGTGCTCACTGAAGCTGGTGTCCCCCAAGGTGCCGTACTCTTCCCACTTCACTTTTCTTTATTTCTACGTGACCTACCATCTTCAAATGACATTAATTTTGTTAAATATCCAGACGACCTGACTGTACCTTTGCCTGTCAAATGTCAAAGTGACTGCTGTAAACTATACAACTTTTTATCAGAAATCAGACAATGGTCCAAGGAAAACGGTCTCACCTTAAACCCCTCCAACTGCCAAACAGTTAATTTCACCTTAAAGCACAAATCTGACCTAAACAAACTGGTTAGCACTCACGAGGTGTGCAACATTGATGGCACTGAAATAGAAACCAAGTCAGGAATTAAATACCTAGGCGTCACTCTATCTGCTGATCTTTCCTTGTCGTCTCATATCTTGATGATTTCTGAGAAAATATTCCGTCTTACCTTCTACATGAAGAAGTTAAGACATTCTGGTATAATCCAACCCTTACTCCTAAATTCGTTAACTCCAGTATTCTGCCTATTATTCTCTATTGTTCCCCCTAGTTTCTCCAGGGTTACTGAAGAAAGACTATACCCTACTACGCAGGATGTTGAAGGTTGTTAGCAGGGTAAGCTGCATGCAACTTAGCCAGCTTGTTAATATTCTGGTCGACAGGCACATGGACTCATGTGAAAAATGGGCTAAATCCATTCTATCTGTTTAACTCACACCACCACCCACTTCATTCACAACTCTCCCCTTGTATCTCATCAGGCCAGACCAGACCAGAAAACTATATGCGCGCACTAGCAAGTACAAAAACTCAAACATACCCTACCTACTTATCTCGTATTCTGTGCGATAATCAAAGCATTAGGCGTGATACCTATAACTCATTAGATAGTCAGTAGAACAACTGGATCTCGTCTTTCCAACTCATATCATCATTTATAGGTACAACGTTTTCTTTCTTTCTTTTCCTTTTCTCTCCCTTTTTTTGCTATGTGTTGTTTTTGTTTCTCTCTTCCTTACAAACTCTACCTAAAACATTCTTCTTCGTTCTTTCACACTCTGTATATCTCGACCTTTTTGTTACCGCTTACGCCAGTAAATATGCTAGTAGTATCTACTTTTCTAACACCTTCAAACACTTTGTTCAATTTTTGGCTTTGCTATCGACATGCCAATATGTTGTTGTCAAAACTAACTGAGATTACCCTTAATCTATGTAGAATTTCATTTATTGTTAATATACAAACTGGGTGCAATACTGTATGTAGTGAAATGCTGAGAATTCCATTCTGTATCACATGTACTGTTTTGGAATAAAGCAAATTATTATTATTCAATGATGTAGGTCGATACGGAAAGCCTTCGTATGTTCAGAAATATGTAATAAACGCCATAGAACACCATACGGCTGAGAAGACCTTCCTTACAGCAACCACAACATGTTGCGAAAATCTTATACATTGAGGTCGTCTGACTTTGAGTTCCTTCAAATAAATAACAATGTATAAGCCCAATAGAAAGTTACCTGAAAAAAAAACATTTGCATGTAAGCTTATGATTGAGCCGACTATTTGATATATTTCTCTATTTATGTGCAGATGTGGTTCCTGACAAAACATCTAGACACACTTACCACGAATGAGATGAACCGAATGAATATCCTTGGACATAGTGGCCACACATTTGGGATAAATGCCACACAACTTGGTATCTTCAAAAAGAGCGACCAAGTGGACTTCAATGACTTCTTGGAGAGTAGATACTACTGAGCTCTGGAATTGTAAGCCAATAATCTTGAAGTCATGAGAGATCTTACGAATGAAACGTTAGAAGGGCAATTTTCGGATCAAAATTTCAGTGCGTTTCCGTCAACAGTTCCTGGCTTGTATCCGAATAGTTTCTTAATGCCACACCAGTAGCTAGTGAGGTTCCATGGCAGCCTTAGTAGCCCGTAGCTTTCTTGGAACCATGACCATAATGAAACTTCAGGAGACCATGACTTCCAGGGGCGATATGTCGCGGGGTTGAATCAAACTCAACGTAAGTAGTAGTATCACTGACCCATATATACATAATTGTGTGATTAACTACTGGGTACACAGAAAATTTATTCTGAGTAGATTAGTTCCTCCAAAAAGAACACAAGGAGTTCTTCGGTATACAGAATTTACTAAGCACATGAGATTCCTTGATGTATACAGTTATAATAAATATTTGAGAAATGAATAAGACATAACGTGAATAAAAAAATAAATAAACAACAACAATAAAAAGTGAATGGCTTACTTCTAAACCGACAATAACTTTTCCTTCAGCAAGAACCATCAACTTATGCGTTAAATGAGCATATACAGCAGGACTAAGATTCAATTCACCCTAAAGTGAAAAATTATAAAATTGAAGAAACCTAAATCAACCAATCAATCAATCAATAAATCAATTAATTGATTAACTCAACATTTTTCAATATGAATGAATATTTATATATATATATATGTAATGATGAATATGTGGAAGAGTAACCGATGATAAACGCGCCATACACCTGACTGACTGATTGACTGGTTTCAACCTAGAACGTTGCATAGATATCCAGCAGTTCGTGTTGCCACACTCAACCGATGTAGCACACAAAGCAAGAGAAGAGAGTAAAGAAAGGTTCAACAAAAGAGAGAGATAATAAACACAAGTGTGAGTGAGGGAAAAAGAATAGTAATGTGGAAGAACGAGGAGGAATTTGAGCTAAATCACCAATTGTCTCAAGTCATCAATGGTTCTTACCATCCAGAGGACCCCAACCAGGAGGGCCATCTACACCTCCCTACATGGCTGACCGGTTAAACTAACTGTTATGGATTTTATTGAGTGCTGAAGCTATAGGTTTGATCTATGTATAACACACCGGTTGAAGTAAGATTACATTCGAAGAATGTTAAGGATGATCTAATCAAATATATTACTAGTAGTCGATGAAGAACTTTTGACTGTGAATTTAACCCAATGAAACGGCCTGACCGGAGTCCTTGGGATGCGAAGCATAAGTGATTTGAAACTTTTGCTGATATGGTGGCTAAAGATCATTCACAAGACCCTAAATGTGTGTGGTGAGAGCAGGCTGCTAGCCAACTGGTCGACACTAATCTACGTCAATGTCTAGTTCACTAATATTGGCCGTGAGAAAATATGAACAAGGCTGATTCAACAACCAATCACAGCAAACTTAACGTGGGCAAATATGATTTGCAGATAGATAGCTCCACTTTCCGAGAAACCCGAAAACAAGCAATCAGAAGACTGTGTTTGTCTACTTGAATAAGCTATAATAATGTACAGGAAATATATATAAATACGTGCTGATTTCCGCAATAAAACGATCTGTTGCCGGCCCTTGTCTCCTGTTGTTACATTTGTAGTCACTGCCAGGATCAATTAACGGAATTTCATGGTTTACCTTATCGCAATAGCCGTATGTTCAACCCTCACATGAGATCCAAAAGGACGACTTCCATCCATCCGTCTTACAGCTCGATCAGCGTCTTCTGCATACTTGAATACTATAAAAGCAAAACCTGGTTTTATCGGTATCTGCCAGTATCCTGAGCGAAGATCGAGAACCGAAAACACATTCGCGCCTTGTAGGCGATCTACAGTTTCTACCACTGCTGGCATGGCATACGGTCTTGACTCTGTCATACTGTTTAACTGTCTAAAATCAACACAGAATCTTTACTTCCCATTCGCTTTTTTTACTAACAGCACTGGAAAGTTGTACGGGCTATCAGCTTCCTCAATAATATAATCTTTTAACATCTCCCGCACTTGTCGCTCAACTCCGCCTTCCAGATAACATGAAACTCTTCGCGTTGTAAACGATCTGTTGCCGACCCTTGTCTTCTGTTGTTACATGCATTCACTTTATGATTTATTAGATCAATCGATAAGGTTTTTTCAAACTGTGTCGATTGAGATGGCTAGAACATGCGATACAAAACACATGCCATGCTCCCGCCTCATGCGTCAAGCAATGTTGGCTTACATAAGATTAGGTTGGTCAAACTAAAGTATGGTACCAATCAATCCATGACTGTTGTTCTCAGCCACATGAGGTGTTAAGTGTTTAAAAAACCGAGAAGTCGCACTAAGTAGCACAAGAAAAGACTTACATAATGAAATAAAACAGATAGAAGAAGCGTTGGTATCAAATAACTATCCTATAAAATTCATTCGGAATGACTCCCGAGGTATTTAAGAACGGTGGAGACAGTTTACTGTCTGCGTTAACTGCGATTCTAGGTAGGGTCTGGGAATCACAGGAAGTCTCATTGGGTTGGTGTAAGTCACTGATTATCCCATATACAAGAAGGGAGACAAGTCTTCCCGTGATGATAATCACAGAGGGATTAGCTTGACTAATATAGTATCTAAAGTCCTAGGCTCAATAATCATGCGTAGACTAAGTGGTGCTCGGGAGGCACAAACACAAGAGAGCCAGGCAGGCTTTAGACCAAGAAGAGGGTGAATTGATCATATCTTCACCCTCCGACAGATTCTAGAACATAGGAATTCCTACCGGCGTCCAACAGTCATTATATTTCTTGACCTAAAGGCAGCATTCGACTCTGTCGACCGGGAGGTTCTCTGGAGATGCTTGGCTGTAAAGGGAATTCCAAGAAAATATATTGCACTGATTAAGGCACTCTACTCGTACTCATACAGCCAGGTGAGGGCTTACGGCGAGCTGTCATCTGAACTGATGACGACCAGTGGTGTCCGTCAAGGATGCCCATTATCTCCTTTTCTATTCAACTTCATCATAGATGTGTTAATGGACTTAACCCTAAGTGACTTCAGCGATTCAGGGATTGACTTGCTACCAGGGAATAGTCTCGTTGACTTAGAATATGCAGACGATATAATCCTTCTAGGCGAGGACGCTGATAAGATGCAGAGTCTTCTGAACACGTTGAGCTGCAATCTATGAATGTTTGGCAGGCAATTCACTCCCGTCAAATGCAAGATGATGTTACAGGACTGGACTACACCGACTCCTAGTTTGGAAATAGGGAGTGAAGTGGAAGAGCACGTTGACCGCTTCACTTATTCGGGAAGTACCATCAGTCAGCACCAACGGGTTGATCTCTGACGAAATCTCAGTACGGATAAAGAGGGATAGTTTCCCATATGCCAGTTTACGCCATCTCTAGCGTAGACATGATATCCGGCTGGCTATCGAACGAAGGGCGGGTGTACTGCTCATCAGTCTGTTCCGTCCTGCTTTATGGTTGTGAAACCTGGCCATTCAGAGTGGAAGACATGAAAAGGCTAGCTAGCTGTCTTTGATCATAGGTGCCTGCGTTCTATCTCCCGTGTGAAGTGGCATAATAAGGTGAGCAATATTGAGGTGAGGCATCGGTCGAGTTCTAGGTAAACAGGGGAAATCAATCGACGAGGCTGTGAAATTACATAGACTGAGATGGTTAGGACATGTTTTACGTATGCTGGCCTAGTCATCGTCTTCCTCGACGGGCAATGTTAGCTGATTGGCATAGTGTCAGGTTGGAAAAGAGCTAGCGGCGGTCAAACCAAAACATGGCACCAATCGATAAAATCTACAACAGTCAGTTTAAGCCAGTCACGTAGGAAGGTGTAGACTACCTGTCTTGTTGGGGTCCTACGGACGGTAAAAGTCAAAGAAGGCTGGAAACAATTGGTGATATGGCTCAAAATCGTTCTCAATGACTGGCACAGATGCATCCACTCTTTGTGACTTATGATTTCAAATGGAACTATATTGTTCTTCATTATTACTATTCCTTTGTCTCATCTGACAGCTCTGTTTACTGTCTCTATAATGCATTTCTTGTACTTTGTTCTCTTGCTTTGTGTGCTACATGGAGGGAGTGTGACGACTTGAACTTCCGCACATATGTGTAAAGTTCTATGTCGAAAACAGACAGATAGACATAGTCATTCATCTTATTGTATATGAATTAATTGAGTCACACTTACCAGGGGACAACCAAATGCAGAATCATATCCAGCAGAAATAAGCACTAATTCAGGATCGAACTGGAAAAACAAAATAAGAACAAAATGAAAACAAAGTTAGCAATAAATGGGCAAATGCAATTAGTTAAATAATAAGAAATAACATTTATCTAACTCTGTCATATATATATTTGAAACTGACCCCGGCAACAACGAATAGATCGCTCTTTCCTAGCAATACTAGTTAGTTAGAGCTTAATTACCCCCCTTCCCCAGCTCCCCGAAGATTGTTTATACACTGTAGGTGTCGACCATACTTATTATGATATGAGGGTAGGCTATACTATCCGCTTAACAAGACTGAAGTACGTAGACGAAGCTGGTTTTGAACCTACAAAAGTGGTGGTGGTATATAAGCCAACCAATCACGTCTCTGATTTTCATTAAAACATTAATTTCGATTTGCGGTATGAACTATTAATTATGCAGCCAGTGGGGATTCGACTAAATGACCAATTCATGATTTTCAGCTCGACCACCAGCCAGTTTTATCACAGTGAGTGTTTTTTCCTTACACACTCGACCTGGTGCACCTCACTGGTCACCACTTCTCATTAGAACTCAAAGAGAAAACTTCGTTCTGTGGCCAGTCACTAGCGAGCTTTAAATTCATTTCCAAAAGTTTGCTTGTAGGCATTTGATTTGTCGTATGTTTAATCACGGAATGATATCAGATAGAGAACAATTGAAAACCAGCTGGGAGTACTGGAAAGCTGTTTTATCCTAGTTTCAGACCCTCAGACAGTACGCAACCATTAGTGTTTGAACTCAGGACTTTCCCATATTGAAGTACAGTATCATTTTAACCGGTTATATAAGCGATAATGTAAGGACAGAAGACAAGGATCAGGCAACAGATCGTTTATTGGGAAAACCAAGAGATATAGATTTTTATGAGCATTATTATTCGTTATTGTTAGCAGAGAAAGAACCTCTTCTGATTGGTTGTTTCCCTGCTGAAGGTTATTCTGTCATCTCTTCGTAACCGTTTCTCAGAAAGTTAAGCCATACATCTGCGAATCTTATTTGCACACGTTAAGTCTGCTGTGATTGGTTGGTGAGTCCCTAAAGGTTAAGCTATGTTTTTGTTTCTCTCATGACCCCGATTAGGGACGTAAACATTGACGTACATTGCAGCCTACAATTTTGGCTTGTTCTCAGACAGCTCTTACCACAATATAACTTAAATCTTGTGCAATCAGCAATGGGACCACCTATAAAACCCCCAGTAAAATTTCAGAACAACACATGTAAGCGAACAATATTATTTTCAATTAGATCTCATCATGCCTAACTCTTATATACATAGCTTAATCAAAAAATGTTAACTATAAGCCAATCCTGGTGATTTGTCAATAGGATCATAAGATTGTGGCTACAATTTGTGCAATTAGTCATAATAACAGTAAATAATAATTCTATTGATATTAAGGGTGGAAACTTGAACCGATAAGTGATAACAAGAATACGAAGTCATTGGAAAGATTCGGTAAGATCAAATATGAATATTTATATATATGGCGCCTGAGACACTGTCCCTCATGGTTGCACAGGAAGGTAGCAGAGGCTTTATTCGAAGTAAAAATGTGACAGTCGGAGACGAGAGACTTGGTTAAGTTATGTTTATCAGGAATCCGGTATCTCTATGTAGCGGAATTCTGTAAACCTTCTCTGAAAGTCATCATTTGCACAGATCTTTCGTGTTGTGCTCCTTCTGCTCTTAGTATTGTGTTTCTTCGTCCTCTACTTTTCGCGTCTTCCATGTTTTACCGCAACGTTGGTTCATTTCTTGTCTTTGACTTCAAATCTATCTCTCCGCTGTTTGATGTTTTTATGCTGATGAGCGTCTCGTTATATGCTACTGATAAACCTTATCAGTAGCACATACACCATACAATAACTGAACACCTTGCAGACACTGGAACAGGAAAAGCATTAGTGTTGCGTGATCGCAGAGCACAGAGGACAAACTGCTTGAGACCAGTCTCACACAGCTAGTTTGAAACCATGTTTTTGTATTGTGTCAGTATTAAGATTTCATCGCCGACTATGGACGACCGCAACATAAGTCGGAGTCAACCCTTTTCCAACCCTCACCTCTCCAGAATGGAGAGGCCACCATTGCTGGGATACTGATCATCTGAAGGAAACACCTTACTGCCTTGTTCATGTAATAACTTGCTGCTAACTAACCCTTACGAATTAAACTCATCCTGACTTCCATGTTGCTCACATCTACGAGTTAATTTGTGTTGACGACACTTTATACCTGATTTTCACCCCTTTTTATATTCTTTTACGTGCACAGTCAAACATAGGGCTTCGAAATAGAGACTTTAGGTTTCCGTAGTAGTGATGTTTTTATTTCTACGGGATGGGGTTGCTAGCTACATACCCAGTCTTATTACCGGGTTGGCGAGGTAAAGGAGTGCGCATCGGCCAATGCTCAAACCCCTTAACCACGTGAGGTGTCGTGGTCGGCGAGCATTCTACCAGTGTGCCGTTGATACACTCTCTCTTAGAACCTAAAAGAGTGATCATTTATGACTTATAAAAGTTACACAAGGTGTAGAAAAAAGTATGAAGATTTACCTCATAGGCTAAAGGAAGTATAATACGATGAAATATAGTCAGATAATCTGAATCCCCGACATCTTTCTAAAGGATAATGGTAGAAAGAGAAAAAAAAACAAGTGGAATCAGCAAAAGAATTGTAAATATGGAAACGTTCAACGATAACAATATAAAATTGAAAACAAGGCAAGTTAGTTGAAGCTACGAGTGAATAAAACTGACTGAAATTAAAGACGAACTAGTGTTATGTAACTACAGAGTCCGAAGGACAATTGGTCAATGATAAACGGAGTGTTTGAAGTGGCTGCTGCAGTTGTGTGTCTATTTTGAAGACCTTACCACTCCACACCACACTGCAATCTACTGAGGGATAAGTCGGGATGGAAAAATTCCTCAGTAGACTTTTTCGAATCTCAATCCTTCCCAAAGTAGAGAGGTTTACTGTTATTGTACTCCTATTCGCCAGTAGCACGACTTCGTTAACATCAGATATGGTGTGGTGTAAGCTACATACATACTTTGATGATGCCTGTTTTTTTTAATCTAATCATTATCCCAAGCGACCATTCCGATATGGTGCATAAACGTGCAGGAATATTCGTTTCAAGCGCTACACCTGGTTTTGAAACGGCAGAAGACGAAAGACTTGGTTAAGGAATGATTATTTGGAATTTGGTTATCTCTATATAGCTAACTTATGTATACCTTATCTTCAACGCAACATTTCCACAGATCTTTGTGTTGTGGTTTTTCTGGACTTCATGTTGTCTCTTTGTTGTTCCTTTCACCGCTTCTCCTTCCTTGAATTTTGCTTATAAATTTTTGAATTTGTGCGACATAAAACACAAATCATCGCCACGAAGTCAGGCATTTCTAGAAACTCCTTGTCGATCCAGTGTATCTACTACCATCCAGTTACTTAGTCTGAAGTAACTGATGTGGGATTTGAACTCTACAATCGATTAGCTGAGAGTTTCATTCTCATATATATTCTAGTCAAATTGTATATAACACAATAAGTTACATAAAATGATAAAAACTCTCCTACACAAAATGTGAATACATGCCTACACCTACCTCATTCAATGAAATATTCACATTATAACCACGACCACGACCACTACCAATGAAATCATAATTCGATTCACGTAGATTAGGCCAAAACTGACCATTATCATAACGATGAATCGAGATGAATAGGACTCTGTGACACAAATAAGTAGAAAATATATACATATAAATAGTGGAAAGCTAAGAATATTTGAATAATATAACAGTAATAAATGTCAAGTGATCCACAACGGAAAACTCAGTGAGGCATTTGGAGTAAACACAGGAGTCAGACAAGGGTGCTTATTATCACCAATGAACGATATTCCTAATTGTGGTGGACTGGATTATGCGTCAGACAGTGGGTGGGAAACAAGAAGACAGGGATATTCTGTCTGGATCGACGTGAAGAGCCTAGAAGACCTGGATTTCGCGCGTTGATGATTTATATTTGATGTCACACACACAAAATCGAAGACTTACAAGCGAAAACCGACAGAAAAACTGGTCGAAGAAGCAGTCGGCGAAGACAGGATTCCAAGTGAACATAGACAAGACGGAGGTTATGAAAATAACAAACCACCACCACCACCACCAACAACAACAACAGCACCAACATCCAACGCCATGCCAATCACCATCAACGGGAGGGATTTGAAAGAGGTTACTTCATTCACTCACTTATCTAGGGAGCATTGTCTCAACAACAGGAGAAACGGACGAGGATGTCAAATCGAGCGAGAATCGGGAAGGCAGAGAAACACATTCATCAACCTGAAACAAATCTTCGTCACTCAGCCAGCCGGCGTCAACAACAAAATCCAGTCGGATTTTCAATACAAACAAGGTCAAGTCAGTCAGTTCTTCTATACGGATCAGAAACTTGGCGGGTGGGTCACAAAGAATATTTCCTACAACCTGTTGCAGACCTTTATCAACCAACAACTGTCTTTGCTGGCTCTATACTGAAGATCAGATGGACGGGCCGGAAAGAATCACCAACAAGAAACTCTGACTGGGAACAAACAAAACAAGAACCAATCGCCCAACAACAGCAAATATGCAGGAGAAAGTGGAGATGGATTGGACACTCTCTGAGGAGGAGACCGCTGGGTAACATGGCGCGCGCATTAGGCCATTGCTCGAGTGGAACCAGTCCTAAAGGGAAGCGGCGAGTGGGCTGTCAGTGCAAGGGTGGCATAGAGGAGATCGTGTGAAGAGGAGGAGGAGTTGAAAGAGTATGGACTAAGATGGATTCAGGTGAAAAGTACAGCAGAAGGAAGACAGAAGTGGCAAGTGGAGACGTGCAGTTGAAGCTCTATGTTCCACTAGGAACCCAAGGGAACAATAATAATAAAATAATAACAGTAATAAGCTTCAAGAATTAGTTTTTATGGATTGTATTTTTTTCAGGTTAGACTACGGATTGATATCAGTTGGAGAACCATTGAAAACCAGCTGGGAGTACTGAGCAGGTGTTTCATCCCCGTTCGGGACTCATCATCAGCACGCACCCACCGCCAAGGTTCGAACCCAGGACCTTCCGGTTACAAACCTAGCAAGCTCGTATACCATCTACCCACTGGGACCCGATTCAATAGCCAGTCCATGAATTCTAACTTCTACCAATCGGTGATGCATTTAGCGCAATTGTCACCAACCAATGCCATAGGCGGGAACTCCATTCTCACTCTCGACTGGACAGACACCCCACTGGTCAAAACTTCTCAATAATCTCTTTTTTCTACTCGTTTGCATTCCCAGAAGGGCTTCAAGTTTGAGCATTTGAAGTTTGAGTGGTGACAGTGTTGTTAGCTTCACGCTTAGCCTTCCCTCCTTATCAAACATACTACATGTCTATATAGGAACATACCAATTGTATAGGAATGGATAAATTATTATTTAAATTACATAAATTTAGTATATTGCGAATTTACATGATTGCTGTTCCCTTCAACTTTAGCCAGTGTTGTAGCAATCAGCTAACTGCTACTAGTCAAGGAATGTGGCACATTAAGAAATATGGAAATATTACTTTGGCATTAACAAAATAAAGGACCCAGGTCTTTGCTGGATCACAAATACCAGGGAATAATCCCGTTGATGTAAAATATGCAGATGATATAGTCCTCCCATCTGAAAGAAGACACTGACACAATGGGGAGTCTTCTGAACACCTCAAGTTGCAATCTGAGAATGTTTGGCACGCGATTCGCTCACGCCAAATGTAAGATAGATACAACAGGACTGGATTACATTGACTTCTAGTTTAGAAATAGGGAGTGAAGTGGTTGGTGGAGCGTGTTGACCAATTCACTTATTTAGAAAGTTGCACCAGCCAACACCAACGGATCGGTCGATGACGAAGTCTCAGCATGGATACAGAAGGCTAGTTTCGTATATGCCAGTTTACGCCATCTCTAGCGTAGAGGTGATATCCGGCTGGTTGTCGACAAAAAGGCGGGTGTACTGCTCAGAAGTCCGCTGTGAGACCTGGACATTGGGAGTGGAAGACATGAAAAGGCCTGGCTAGCTGGCTGTCTTTGATCATAGGTGCGTGCGTTTTATCTCCCGTGTGAAGTGGTATAATAGGACGAGCAATATTGAGGTGAGGCATCGGCCGAGTGCTAGGTAAAGAGGGTAAATTAATCGACGAGGCTGTGAAGCTACATCGACTGAGATGGTTAGGATATATGTTACGTATGCCTAGCCATCCATTGCCTCCTCGACGGGCAATGTTGGCTTCATCAGTCAATGAAATCCACAACAGTTAATTTAAGCCATGTAGGAAGATGCAGACTTCCTGGTTGGAGTCCTCGGGACGGTAAAAACCAATGACAGCTAGAGTTATTTGGTAGCGATATTGCTCAAAATCATCCTCAATAACAGCGCAGATGCATCCCCTCTGATTTAAAGTTTCCAATAAAACTATATTGTTCTTTGATATTACTATTCTTTTTGCCTCACATCCCTGTCTGCTGTCTCTATTTTGCATTTGTTTTTACTTTCCTCTCTTGATTTGTGTCCTAAGCGAAGTGTGGCGACTCGAACTGTCGCACACTGGTGCAAAGTTCCACGTTGAAACCACACAGACAGATATAACTTTTCCATGTACGAAGTCGAAACTTATTTTTGATTTATAGTCAGATGGTGTGTTCATTTAAAGTGAGTAGCATCTTTGTAGCATTTCCTTAGTAGTATAATTGTAGGGTAGCATCAGGAGTGAATTGTACCCCATGCAGAAGAATCTCAGGCATATCTATGAAGGTTTATTTTACTGCGTCAAATACACGATAATTCTTACATCATCTCTGGCTTAGTAGACGTGATATCCGACTGGTTGGCTATCGACAAAAGGACGTGTGTACTGCACAGAATCAGTTTAGTCCGTTCTCCATTATCACTTTGAGTGAGACATAGCCATTGGGAGTGGAAGATATGAAAAGGCCTGGCTAGCTGGCTGTCTTTGATCATAGGTGTCTGTGCTGTATCTCCCATATTGTGTTGAGTGTAATAGGGTGAGTAATATTGAGGTTAGACGCCGGCCGAGTGTTAGGTAAGAAGGGAAAGTCAATCAACGAGGTTATGAAGCTACATCGGTTGAGATGATCAGGACACGTGTTACGCAACCTCGTGCCATCCATCGCCTTGCTCGACAACAGTCAATGTTAGCTGACATAAGATGGATCAAGTTGGAAAAGATTTAGCTAATGGTAATCTTACAAAAACATGGCTTCACCAGCCAATAAAATCCATAACAGTTAATTTAACCCAGCCAGCCACGTAGGTAGGTGTTGACTTCTTGACTGTTTGGGGTCCTCCGGACAGTAGGAACTAATGGCTAGTGGTGGTATGGCTCAAAATTGTTCTCGGTGATGGCTGGCACAGATGCATTCACTCTTTACAATTTGCCATATCATCCGATAAAATTGTATTGTTCTTCCACGTTACTATTCTCTTTCCCTTCCTCACACTTGAGTTCATCATCTCTCTTTTGAATCGCTGTTTAATCTCTTCTCTTTTTTTATGTGATGCATGGGGGGAGAGTGGCAAAGGGGAACTGCTAGACATATCTGCAAATTTCTATGTTGATGCCAGTCAGTCAATAACAGGAGGGAGTTGAAAGTCATAATTAACTCCACCAACTCACTTAGATAAAAACTGTGTGACCTCATCGATTTCTCTTTTCTGAAGTTCATTAAGCAAAAAGTAACTTAGTTTATTCAATATCATAACAATAATGAATATATGGGATCGAATATAAAGGTCAAATGATCTGATCAGGGTCAATCATCAAATAAGCAGCAATCTAGATTAGTAGACTCTAATAAGATAAGAAATTTAGAGAGAGAGAGAGAGGAAGTCCAGATGTATCATGTCTTGCCATCATCAGACACAGGCACACAATACGATTGGGTGAGTAAGATGAAGTAATAGTTTAAAAATTCAATGTAACAGGGTAGAGAGATAGATTTAACATAATGAGCTTTGTTCACTTAAAACGTTTTACTACTCTTAAGTAAATGGAAAAGAATATTATACCAGTAACACTCAAGATTTAAAGTTGTGCAGTTAAATTCGATATGAAGTAATTTGATGAACGGTGACTAGCAGTGGAACACACGATGATCATTTCGTCCTATTTAGGACTCGTCATCTGGATGAGCCTGCATTCCCTAGTAAGTCAGTGATGGGGTTTCCATTGAAGTTCGAACCGAGTATCTATCATTCCAAATGCCAAGATGCCATCCACTAGACCGCTCAGGCCACGAGATCCACCTCTTGTGCAACGGATGTCAGTTATTATGTGGTTGAACACTTTAGTTGAATCAATCAACGGGAAAGTCCATATTAAATTCCATAATTACATTCGATATGACTCTAAACAATTTATTATTATTATTTCCTTTAATTCGTAGAGGAACATAGAGCTTCAGCTGCGCGTCTCCATTGCGTTCGGTTCTCTGCTAGAGTTTTCACCTGACTCATAGTCTGCCCACATGTTTTCATCTCCTCTTCACATCATCTCCTCCAAGTCACCCTTGCACTGACGACCAACTCGCCACTTCCCTTTCGGGTTCCATTCGAGCAATGGCTTGTCTAGTGATGTCACTTGATGGTTTGTTTTCTCAGAGTATGTCCAGCTAATCCATC